CCCCGGTCAGCAGGTCTTCCGCGCCTGGCAATCTGATGCACCTCCCGTCAGGGAAGAATGGTACGCCAAGCCTCAGAGAATATTACCCCGTGCAAGTGCTCGTCAGTCGAGCTCCCGCACCTCGCATATGCACCGCACAGCATGCGTACGTATCACAAGCCTCATTCGTTCCCGCGTCAATGTCGTTGAACAGCAGCAGCAGCATCCTCTTGGTGGCGAGGAAGCAGGCACCTGTGATGATTCAATTTTTTCCATACATGTTAGACTACCGAGCCCCTCATTTGCATTGACGAGGCAAACAAACGCAACTGATCATTCCTGCATTCCTGGGCAGCGGATGCACGCGCGGCATACCAGTTCAGCTCGTGTGGCGTGAGCTAGAGGCGGTTAGTAGGACGGCGAGCGCGAGCTCAAAGTGAAGGAAGGACGCGATACTGCTGCTGCTGCTCTCCCTACCAAATCTTTCTTTTTAAAAGATGGCGGGCGAAAGTGCTGACCACGTTTTGCCCTCTCTACTCTGCACCACATGCCTGTGGCTCTCCAGCACAACGCGCAATCAAGCTCAAAGGCAAAGCAGACGAAGAATGCGGCGGAGCCACACCCGCTTATTGGGCGCTCTGAATGCGCATCGCAGTCGAGGTATCAGCACACTCTGCCCCCGTCGGTTCCAGGGATGTCCAGATAGCTCCCTGCGTCACGCCGCGTGTCATTCTCGCGTCGTTACATTCCGCCAGACGACGCTGGCCGCTCATATCTACATTCGCATCCACGCACAGCACAGCGCATGCATGTACGCGAGAGCCATTTGCACCGATGACAAAAAGTGTGTATGATAACCGGGAAGCCTTGTGACCCGTACACCGTGAACGGTGCTGTGTCCTCCACCAAGAAGCTACGGTCCTTCTCCATCTGCGATCAGCGTGGCTGCTTGCTTCTCCAGCAAGCGTCTGTGTACATCGACCAACCAGCCCAAGATAGGAAGGGAAGGACGAAAGACAAAGACCAGCTGATGAGCAACAAAGTACGCATGCCAAGGGTGCAAGAGACTCACCGCCTTGCTTCGAGGATGACAGCTTCTTTCCTACTCCGCAGAGCCTGTTCGCGCTCCTGGCGCGACTCGCTCCAGCTGCCGGTGCTGCTGCTTGCACTGCTGCTGACAGCAGCCTGCCCTGGCCTCTCGCGCTCTTTGCCTTTCCATCCTGCTGCCGAAGGCACTGTTTCGCTGCTGCTGAAAGCAGCAGCAGGACCAGTCTTGACTGCAACCTCGGAAGCAGATAGACGCGATTGAAGGTTGAATCGCGAGATGAGGTCTTGTGCTTTTTCGTTCGCTGCCGCTGATACTCCTGCAGTGGGCCGCGCTGCTGGTTCTATTGATCCGGACGCAGCTCTTTGCCCGCCAGGGGCATCAGACCGTGCCCCGCCTGGTGGTGTTTGGAACAGACCAGAGGGCGGCTGTGAGCCAGCGAGTGGGAACAGGGGTGAGCGTCGTCCAAGTGTGTGGAATGTCAGCAATCTCGTCGCTGCCTTAGGCTAAAAAACCTAGTTCTGAGGGCAGCTCACCGGCGGCAAGGCGCCTTCACGCAGTATTCGATCACACGTCGCTTCAACATTACCAGTTCGCGAGAGGTCGTACCGGATCGACGCCTCGGGTACCTGTGGAAACATGGCCTGGACCGTGTCGACCTGCATGATCGAGAGATATAAAATCCTTCGATATCAGTGTACTTCCCCAGCAGCAGCACGACAATCGAGACTGCTCACCAGCTCCTGCGGTACAGGCCTCGCCCGGGCTGTCGTTAGGCCCCTGGTCGGGCGTGCATTGGCGCTGCCGCCTGTCAGATGCACATGTTACAACGGTCAGAGCATACTCCCTCATTTGCGCCTCTCTTCTTTCTCCCTCGCACACCATACGCACCGCCGAACGCGAGCTTGACAACCAGCCATATGACGGCGATGGCGAGCAGTGCGCCGAGGGAGTCGTTCATGGTTCGCGTCTGAGTCCAGCGCTTGCGCCCGGCGTAGCACGTCTTGCGGCAAACCGTTCAATGTGAGGCGCCGCAGCCACAGTCTCCGCGCGAACAGGACGGCAAGATGGTGCAGCTAGCTAGCTCGCTTGCGTGTGCAACATGGAAGTGTTGACGGGGTTGGGAGTCATGAGGAGCCACTGCATGAAGGCGCGACCCAGGGATGCATGACATGTACATGTTCCGTCAAAGTAGGGTACGAGTCTGAAGCGTGTGTCGACACTGGCAAATCCGATGGGTGGGAAAATACAATACAATTAGGGTTGTGCGCCTCATCCCCTTGATGTCATTATCAATTGCTATCATATCCCAGATTCACACTAGCTAGACTCAGCTGCCTCAACATACACCTGCTTCCCCCTTGGCAAGCACACGCATCGACACCAAGAGGGTGAGCGAATGATGGGTGGGCATCACTGTGCACAATCGAGACGCACGCCGATCAAATCGAAGGCACGACCCCCCACGGCCGAGCATGGGCTAGGCGTGCTTGCTTGTGGCCGAGATACCCAGGGACGAACAGCTGAACAGGCGAGAGGCGTGCACCGTGGTCAGCACGCAAGCGAAAAAGTGCCCAACTGGATTCGTACTGCTATGTCTTCAATCTTGCTCACAGTATTCCATTCTTTTATGTAACTGGGCATGTTTTAAAATGGCAGAATACGAGGGTGCAACATCTCTTTCCCTGGTGCCATTCCAGCCTGCTCTCTCCCCGTCTTTTCAGTGCTGATCGCCGAGCTCTCGCCTGCATTAAGTATGAGCTTGACCCATGGATCAACGCTATGGGCGTCAAGCCACCTCCCCTAAAGTGCGTCACACCGTACTGGTCGCGGCACCAGAGCGAAACATTCGAGTGCGTCCTCCGTGGAATCGCACCGGAGCGCTCCGCGACCCTTTGAGTGGCTGACACGCTCACGGTCGCGCGCTGACCGTCTCCTTCCTCCTTTCCTTGCTTCTGAATGTGTCCGTAAGGCAACAGACATGCGAGCCACCCGTCGTGCGCCTCGCCGGCGAGCTCGGCTTGCCGTACACGCTCTCCACGGCCGACAGCGGCGGCGTTGGACGCCGCGACGTCCTCGGCACTCAGGGTTCTGTGTACGTGATGAAGAATGGCCTCGGAGCGCAGCATTCCCAAGGGCTCAGAGTCTTCCAGCTGTACTTCCAGCATGACAAGGAGCTCGCAACCAGCTTGCTGCAGCGCACGCACGATGACGTGGATGTTGACGTTGGGCGCGTCTCTTTCGTCTTGATCCGTCTCAGTCATTACATGAATTACTTGCCCAAACTTGAGGGTAAGAGACACGCGGTAAATCGCTTGGCGCTATGAAGGTTTTGAGTGAGCCTTCCTCTTTGCGCATACCCGGACCCAGGAACACACCTGATCACAATATTCAATTCGCTGTGGTTTCAGACTTACCAACTATGGCTGTTATCGTGTGACTGGAAACGGTCAATGCACATAACCGGGTTGGCAATTGTTTGAACTCAATATCCAGGAACTTGATGGGGGCCCTCCGTCCTCTACGCACAGAGATGGGGCTGAGCGACCCAGGATTCCAACAACGGTTGCAGAATATGGCATCAACCCCGTCATGGGCCCAAAGGAAACCGGCAGGTGCATTCACATGTCTTCTTGCCTCGTCAGATCGCACCTCACATGTATGAGGCAGCGTGCTGGCTCCCCTTGTGCATCTTCGCTAGGAATTGGATCGAGTCTGTCTGGGACGGCGGCGCGCACGCCTAGGACTCCATGGCGTAGGCGCAGGACGAGTGGAAGCGCATCAGCGAAGGAAAGCCGCTGGTGTCGAAGGAATCCAGTGCGTAGAGGACGCGGAGAGATGCGTGCAGCAGGGACATGATTTCATGTGTCCAGAAATCGCACCCGCAAGGGCTAGGGCCCTCGTCATAGTTGAGTGCTGCTGCTCGTGTTGCCACCCGCGCCGCGCAGCTCGTCATGTCCAACCACACAGGCGGGCAAGTAGATGGTGCGATCGGCTTGCTCGACATGTTCGCCGCCATTTCCCCGCGCGCTCCAGCATGCCCTTCTTCTTCGACTCGAGCGTCCGCGCTGGCTCAGACGCGTTCAAAGCCCTCGCCCTCAGCGCGAAGCTCGTCTTTGTCTGCAGACTCTACCTTTGGGGCCATTCAATACAGTGCGATGTCGGCTTGCGCCATCGTCTTGCGCTCGCGCTTGGCCAACTTTGACAATGTCGCTAGTCATCCGCTGCGTAGCTGGCGCGTGTAGCATGCTGACCTCACATTCCAACTTTGCACTCGATGTTGATAAGCTCTCAGATGCGATTGCACAGTTGAACTTCGCTGGGCTCCGCAACTTCAGCTAGATTGATTGCCTGGCTCTTCTGCACGAGGCTGAAGCGCCACTGGCGGCTCATTCGTCGAGGCTGTAAACGCCAGTCCTCACTCTCCATCAGCGCCTCGCCTTCGAATACGAGTCCCCGGCGTCTCTATATCTTTGTATGCCCACAATGTTGCATCGCACCCATAGGAATCTTAACTTCATCCCCTCTTGCACCTTTGAACGTCTTGTCTTTTTCGATGGCTCTGAATCGACTGTGCTCAATCTGAAAGTTCTGTTTGTGGGATACGGGAAGAGTCTCTTTGTGGTTCGAGTACCACGAGAAGCGGGCAAAGGAGGAATTCACGATGGCGATCAGGCTGCAAGCAACAGAACAAAACAGTGATGATACAAAGGCTGTCTGAGTGACCTGCGCAAACCAGTCACCGAACAATTCGGATTCCCATACTTCTGGCGCTGCCCAAGACGACCTTGCACATCTGCTCCTCGCCCAACGTCGCCACTGCTTCTCCTTGAGCACCCCCAGCAGCAGCAGTCGTCGCCCCACTAGGGCTACTCGCAGCTGGTGCGTCCCCAAGCTTGATTTTTGCAATCTCGTATATGTGCTTTAGCGATATAGTCCCGCGCAGCTCGTGACCTGCCTTGCCGGAGCCGGTGGTAATACCTGCTGCGCGTTTGAGGAGGAGGGAAGTTGGTGGAGCTTTTGGCGAGCGGAACAAAATGAAAGAGCGGGCATGGTCAGATTCATGTCTGTGTTTTATACTCACACAGGACGACGACAGAGATGACCCCGCCTCTAGCTGGTTGACTCACTCTTGGTTGAAAATGTGAATGTGCGATCAGGCGCAATGGTCACGATGGTCGGGATCGGTATCCCAGGTTCAAAGTGTCCTGTTCGTGCGTTGAATTCTTTTGCAAAACTGGTGTCGCGTCGGATCGAATTCGCATTCGAGACAAGACTGTAAGCCCACACTTCCTAATCTTGCCGCTGGTAGTCCCATGCACTCACTCCATAGCTTTTACACCTTTCGCACCAAGTGCAGGCCCAACGGGCGGTTGGGCACTGGCTTTACCAGCTGGCACAAGCAGCTTGACTAGCGTCGAAGCCGCCGCGGCTGCTGACTGGCCGCCTTTTTTCGACATGGTAGCTTGGAGCACGGAGCACGGTGACTAGTTCACGAGATGCTGTTGGCACGCCTGGAGACTTGCTGTACCTGTGGCGAGTGTGAGCAGATCGCACTGCAAGAAAGCGATGTCTGCATGTGATGCCTCGAGCGGACAAGAAATACAGAGCGACATGGTCAAACTCTCTTCCGCAAAGACGAGAGGCACGAGAAGGGTTACGTAATCAGTGTTGATACGTTGCACCGAATGAACACCAATTGACTTATTCCCTTCCAATGCTTCATGAAGAAGCGGTCGTCCTCATTGTTGGACTTCGACGGAGCTGGGACTGGATTCTAAACTCATAAATATTTCAGCTCGGAGGAGACACTTTCCAAAAGGCCACTACATCAACTCCATCGTGACGGTGATCTTTCGCAAGCCCTGTGATCACATCCAACAGAAGAGCGGACAGCAGAAGCAGTCTCACATTGTTTGAACGTGCCATATTACCGCATCTGCTACCTTCCCTGTCGATATGACATCCACAGCCGCTTCGCTCCTCTCCAAGTCCGTATCGGCGGCCGGCAAGACGCTGAAGCTGGGTATGATCCCTGCCGATGGCATTGGTCGCGAAGTTCTGCCAGCCGCACAGCGTATCCTCTCGCAAGTGTCCGGCGCCGGGGCCCCGAAATTCGAGTTTATCCCGCTCGAAGCCGGCTGGGAGTATTTCCAGAAGCACGGCACTGCTCTGCCCACCGAGACGGTGCGCGTGCTAAAGGAGGAGTGCGATGGTGCCATGTTCGGCAGTGTCAGCAGTCCGAGCCACAAAGTGGAGGGATACTCGAGTCCGATCGTTAAATTGAGGAAGGAGCTCGATCTGTTTGCAAACATCAGGCCGGTCGTCAGCGTTAAGGGAAAGACGCTTGAGGCTGGAGAAAAAAGCGTCGACACAGTGATCGTCAGGGAGAACACAGAGTGCCTGGTACGTCTTGCACTCCATTTTTGTATTTGTTGCTCGGATCGTCGCGGGCTGATGACCCTTCCTTCGCGCAGTACATCAAATCTGAGACCATCGAGAACACTCCTAAAGGGCAAGTATCACGCGCCATTCGCCAGATCTCCGAATCGGCGTCCAAGCGCATCGGGCTCAAGGCTTTCGAAGTCGCACTTGCGCGCGAAATGCTGCGCGTGCAAGCTGGTACGCTGCAAAATAGGAGCTCACAGGCAAAGGTGACGGTGTGCCACAAGGTGGGTTGACTTTCATCTACTTTCCAGTCGGTTCGTTTGCTGACGGGCCCGAAACCACTCCATCTCCAGTCCAATGTCCTCTCGACAACCGACGGTCTTTTCCGCACCTCGGTCCGTTCCATCAAAGAGACCGACTCGGCGCCTGAGGGCGCAAACAAATACGCTGCGATCGCTCTAGATGAGCAGCTTGTCGACTCGATGGTCTACAGGCTTTTCCGCGAACCTCACGTCTTTGATGTCGTCGTCGCGCCCAACCTGTACGGCGACATCATCTCGGATGGCGCAGCTGCACTCGTCGGTAGTCTCGGACTGGTTGCGAGTGTCAATGCCGGCGACAATTTCTTCATGGTACGTCCTCTTTTCGTTAACGGCGGGAAAGCAGAATCTGCAGAGAAGGGAACGCAACGTTGACTCGTCCATACTTCCATCCTCGCCCTTCCTTCCCATGCGCTATCTCTCGCAGGGCGAGCCAGTACACGGCTCAGCGCCGGACATTGCCGGGCAAGGCAAAGCGAACCCTATCGCAGCAATCCGCAGCGCGGCGCTGATGCTTGAGTACATGGGCTACGTCGAGCCCGCCCTGCGCATCTACGACGCCGTCGACACCGTGCTGAGGGAAGGAAAAGTGCTCACGCCTGATCTGGGAGGCAGGAGCAGGACGGAGGAGGTAGAGGAGGCAATCAGCAAGGCGCTGAGCAAAGCGTAGATGACGTGAAGCTTTTGCTATTGAACTCTTTGCACCATTGCTCGCATAATGAGCAGAATAAAACGCAGAGTCGAACAATTAGATTTAAAATATGGCATCAATTCCTTGGCGTTGGCACATGTTACCCTGTTCTCCTGATACTCCTGTGGCGAGTAAGCGAGAATCTCGTATTCGCGCTGCTTCACCTCGAGCTTGCCCAGCGCACTGCGGTTCTGCCTGCAAACTCCATTTAAGTCTTCCTTTCCATCAGAATCGAGATATAAGCTGAATGAGCGGCAAACAAGACTTCATATCAACGTGCACATTCTATAATCTGTATCGTGAATGAATGCGCGCAATTACGTGGCCAATGCCTTTCCCCATTATTCTGCTACTCAGCCGCCTCATCGGCATCAGGCATTGTCTTCGCGCCGACAACTTCTCTATTTCCGTCCTCTCGGCCATCGTGCGCATGGGTTTGCTGGGGATTCGCCATCAACGCATCCCCAGGGTTACCTGCGGCAGCAAAGTTTTCGCCGTCTTGGCACGCCTCGTCTTCCGTTATCAATGGCAACGGTGCGATTGGTGGCTCAGGCGTCCTCGAACCTCGCTCCACAGGTCTCTGTTCCTGCCCTTCGGGCGCGGGAGTCTCGCCACCTTCCGCACTGTCCTCAGTTTGTACTGGCGCCTCTGCTTGTAACGGCACGCCAACATCAGCCGGAGTGCCCACTGAGTTCTCAGGCGCTTCGTCAAGGTCGAGATCTTCAGCCTTGCGCTTCATTGCCTTTCTAGCCCCAGGGCCTGCTCCGTTCGTGCTGTCGGACACCTCATCTCGTTCCCCATGCTCCTGTTCCACCTCAGGCTTCTTTTGAGTTTCACTTTCGATACGCTCGCTAGCAGCTTTCTCCTCCTTTTCCTTCCGCTTCGCCTCACGTTCCTTCTGCTTTTCCTCGCGTCGCTTGCGCTCCGAGTATTCTTTCCACTGATTCAACGCAAATGAAAGGAGGACTCCCTCAGCAAGAAACGTCTTTGTGGAGAGCAAAGAGGATGCAGAGATCACTCACCAAGCTGTCCGCGCCCTTCTGCAGCAAATGGATCGGCAAATCGAGCAGAATACTTTCAAGCCCGGCAGCGAGTCGCGCAGCTTCAGCTTCGTCTATCTCTCTCTCCCCGGAGGCGATGTCGAAGAAAGCAAAGAGAGCCAGGCCAAGCCGATCCGATGATCCGAAGTTCATCCAACGAGAACGTGCATTGTCCAACGATTGCCCGAAATCCGAGGAAAGGTTCCCGCTGTTTCCGAAGTGACCCCCACCATCGATGCGGATCGCCTTCACGAAGAGCTCTACCAACACCTTGTATCCGTGCAGATGCTCGTTCACGAAGCGCCTCCTGTCTTTCGGCGATCCGCTCGTGGTCTTGTTGTGCAAATTGGCCCATTCCATGAGATGATCCTTCAGTCCAGGAGGCGGATCGGGATCCGCAACCTCCAGTTTGCCGAACCAGGGATGCTCCTGTGGCCGCTTGCTGTAGCTCTGCATTTTCGCCAGCAAGGTTTTGATATTCCCTGTGCGTAGCCACGGCTCGTTCGGAAGAGGTTGCAATCGATCGAGCTGAACGAGAATCCGAAGCTCCTCGCCAACGGTGGGCGGCTCCCCCGACGTCTCGGGTAGAAGACGAAAGAGAGGCGGAAGTGTGTGGTCTACCCCCTCAGCTGGCAAGGCATTTCCAGGCTCTCGACCAAAGCTCGCCATCTCGCCGTCCCATGCTCTGTGCAGAGCAATACGAGGCACCGCCTGATAAATACCCTTGTCCGAGCCACCTTCGCGCTTCTCCACCTGCAAGTCGCACGTTCTCTCAGTCATCGATCGTTAAAGTCCTACTCAACTCCATAACTGCGGTACACAGAGTCGCAGAGAGAGAGCAGAAAAAGAAAAGAACAAATCCGAAACGCAAGCTCACCTGCAGCCCTTTACACACCACCCACTCCTGCTCCACGCGATCGGCGCCCTTGCTCCTCACCACGCTCGACTCGTCCAAGGCAGCGGTCGCTTGGGTGCCCAGTTGGACGCTAACAACAATCTCGATAGTCCTCTCCGCCTTATGCACTGTGGCCTTCTTGATGCTGTCCACATCGATGCTCAGCCTGTTCACGCCGCGCGCGTACGTGATGACGATGCGGTTCGAAGCGATCTGCGGTGGACCACGACTCCAAGGGGTCCACGTGCCATCCGCACCTTCGACATCACCGTCAGTCGTAGCGTCTTCAGCGGTGTCTTCGCCGGCTCCATCCTCCAACCCCTTATCCTTGGTGGCCTTGGCCGCAGTAACAGTCCCCGACTCGCCATTGACTCTCGCTTGCTTTTTGGGGCCAGTAGGCGCGCCGGGAGGTCCCCCGCCTTGCGGCACGGCAAATTGCAAGCGTAGCTTAGACGATTCGGCTCGAAATTCTGCATCCGCCTTGACATTGCCATCTGCGTTCCTTTTGGCGCCGCGCGGACCCTTGGGGGCCGCAGGCACGGCGACCAAAGTTTCTGCGTCCTCCTCTGTCTTTACCTCTTCCGGCTTTGGCTTCATTTCGTGGTCCGCCAGCGTGTTGGCGTTGTCTGCTTCAAGCGAGTTGCAAGTAGTACTCGTCTCTTCTTCCTTCTTGGCCACGTTTTGGCTCATTCCATGCACGGTCGTCTCAGCATTGTCCGCCTTTGAGTCTGGTTTCGCACCTGCAACATCTGGGCTCGTCTCTGCTTCTTCTGCCTTCGGCTCGGCATCTGCTTCCGCCTGCATCTCGGCTCCCTCTTCTACAGCAGCAGCAGCAGCAGATTGCGCCTGCTCCTGCGCCTCCTTTTCCTCCGCCAACCTGCGTGCTTCGCCCTCGATCTCTTCCAACAGGCTCCACTCCCAGCCGATTGAGTCAATCTTAATGCCGGCAATCTTGAAATCGGAATGCATCTTCTTTGCCTCATGTGACTGCGCAGATGATATCGAGCCTGCCGAGCTTCCCGGACCACCATTCACTGTTGCAGCTGCTGAGCCATTCAATCCTCCGCCGACACCGAGGTTGCCTCTCGCGCCGAAAAGTGCAGATTGGGGAAGCTGCGCGGTGCGGTTCCCTCTCTGCGACGGCAGAGCTCCCTGCTGCTGTCGCGCAGCTTTTCCGGCCTGGCCTCTACTACCTCCGCCGCCGGCAGTGGTTGCGGCAGGACCGGCAGGGGGCACAACGCCGTGCAGCATTGACTGAGCCGCCTTTCCCGGGCCTGGGTTAGAAGGGCCAGAGGGCGCGTGAGCGATGGGCGAGTTGGAGCCTTGAGTGTGATGGTTGTGATTGGAGTTTCCCGAGCCTAATGGCCCTTTGGGTGCGTTTGGCGGGCGACCAGAACCAGACGGACCGGACGGTGCACCGGGAGCCCCTCTGCCTATGGGCTGCTGATTGGCCTGCATCATCCTGCCCGAATTCATTATCATGTTGTTATTCATGAGCTGACCATTCGCACCGCGACCCGAGGGCCCAGACGGAGCTCCAGCAAGTCCGAGACCTGCGCCGCTGGTCGCACGGCTCGCTCCTCGGCCCATGCCACCGGCGATGGGACTCATACCACCACGCATGAGACCGTTGCCTCGCAAGCTTCCACCTTGTGGCGACAGACCACCGCGCATGCCCATTCCCATCGCACCTTGCGGCTTGTTCGGCAGGGCATGTTGCATCTGCGCGGGGCCAGCTTGCGGCATCGGGGGCACAGGGCCGATAAAGCTATTGCTGGCATTGTTAGAGGCGTTCAGGCCTTTGGAATTCGCATGCATTCCGCCTCTATTCATTTGCGAAAAAGGCTGCTGTTGCTGCGGCTGACCTGACGTGCCTGCCTGACCTGTCTTTTGGCGCTTGTTCATGAGACCTCCTTGCCTACCGCCTTGCCCCTGCGAGAACATCTGTTGCGCTTGCTGTGGGTGCATTTGGCCTTGCTGTTGCTGTTGCATTCCCACTAATCCAGGCTGCATTTGCTGGAAATTGAACTGGCCTTGGTGTGCAGCGAGCATATTCTGCTGCAGCATCTGTGCCTGTTGTGGATTGAAGGCCCCAACTCCTTGCGCCTGAAAAGCCGCCTGCTGTGGTGGTAACTGAGCTTGCAGCAAGCCAGCCATTTGTTTTTGCTGCTGCTGCGGCTGCTGCTGGACAGTGACAGACTGCTGCTGTTGCTGCATAGCAGCTTGTTGCGCGTAGTATTGCTGCCATTGAGCATGCCATTGCGCCTGCTGTGCTTCATGAGTCAATGGCGTTGAACCGGAAGCAGCCGGGGTGTTGGCAAATCCTGGGGGTCCTGACTGTCGAAACGTCTGCTGGACTTGAGGAGAGTAGCCATAGTTAGCGAACGCTGCGTTGTTTGAGGGGCTCGGTGCTGACATGGTGGACCTTTTTCACTTCTTGGATCAAGTCCGCCCGTCGCCTCTCCACAAGTTAGCGATGGTCACAATGCGACTACCCTCCGTTGCAGCTGTTTTCTTCACAGCTCGAGCAACCACTAAATCAGGTGTTCAACCGAACAAATATCTCTAGCAGCATGCCCTTTGGTGCAGTCGCATTCGCATTTCGCCCTGTAATGGAAAGATTTGAGGAGCGAGAATCGAGGATGTTGTGTGGGTGACTTGTCTGGGTGGGTCAGGCGTCGCAAATTTATTCCACGTGCCCCGTGCGGGATGGAGAAGCAACCCTAACTCTTCGACGTAGTGCCAAACCCCCGCTGGGAAACCAGAGGTGTTGCCACGGAAGCGACACATCGGGCAGAACGCGGAACTTGGTGAGATGGGTGCTGGAGGCAAGTCTACATGGAACACACGGGTCTCGTTATGTCGCCTGAGCTCTAGCGGCGTGCATTGGCCATGAGGTCAGGCTTGCAGTGAAGCGCACTGATTGTACTTTGTAGAGATACACCATGCCTTTAAAGCAGGCAAAAGCTATATATGTTCAATCTAGTGCCTGAGAAGCTGGATCACATCGAATCATCGAGCGCAATCGATCCAACCCATCTTGGAAGAGCGAGTGGAGCCGCAGCAAAAAGGAATGTCCGACCGGTATCTGTGCACGCGCCCATGGATCTGGAGGACGCGGCTCAATGGCAGTCAGTGGGGGCATGATCGTCATGGTACGTTTCAAGTAGAAACACTTGAGGAATATGCGCTGTCGCTCTTGGTCGCGCCGCCGCTGCCGCCCGGTCGCTGGTTCCTCCTGATGCTCTCCGCAAAGAGGGTCAGAAGAAACGCTGCGTGGGTAAGGTGCGCGCTCCCCGGGCTGCAACGCGTGGAAGAAATAGCGCAAGCAGCCCTTGGGCATGTAGGACCGTTTCAGTACGATGTGACACGCCTTTTACTGGCGAACGAGCAGTGAGAAGTTAGAAGTCCGCCAGGTGCGGATTGCAAAACGCGCACAGCTTCCTTTTGAGGTTTGTCCTTCTCTCTCAAGTGTATCTTACAACATCGTCCTGCCCTTTGCTTGCTTCATACGACCTCATGGTTCCTTCACCCGAGCCCGACCACGCCTTCCATGGCGCGATCGAACTTGCGGCTCCTGATCACCCGCGCATTGGCAGGTAGCAGCGCCTCGTTGCGCGGTAGCTTGGCGATGGAGAGCGACGAATCATTGAATGGGTTGGAGAGATACGCCAGGTAGGCATTGTTTATCGCGCGGAAGATCTACGGATGTAGGGATTGACAGGTAGGCAAGATGAGTGACCAGATCATGGATGTCCGCGCAAAGAAAGAGTGCACGTACGGTAATGATATCAATATCGCGCACGATCTGGTCGGAGAGCAGCAGCATAACGACAATCTTGACTTTTGTACTTGTTTGAAAGCCATATCTGCGCAGATTGGGTCGAGTGAGCCATAGCGGTCAGGACGGGGAGAAGCTTTGAGCGTCGTAAAGGTCACTCACACCGCTACATCTTCGATAGTCATCAGCAGCCCAAGGTACTGCTCTTGCTGTTTGTTAGCGGCTATGTGATAGATGTCGTGGTTTCGTTAAGGATGGTCAGAAAGCGAGTGTCAACCAAAGTCCCTGCGAATGCACTCACTCCTATCCTCAATGATGTCCAGTGCACTATGCGCAATGTAGTTGGTTTTGAGCTGTGCTGCTGCGACAGCCGTCTCGTCTATCCCAGGCGCCGGCGACGCGGCTGATGCTTCTCCTCCTGCGGTCGCATTGGCATTTAGATTGGAGGATGATGTTTGCGATCCGATAAAGTTGCGCACGTAAAGCGGACTGTTGCGCGGTGAGATTAAAGCTATGCTGTGCTACACTTGTACGTGAGGGCACAGGAGAATGAGGTAGGAACAGTGGTATACAGTGAGTCGCACTTCCTCTCAGGGGTAGAATAAGGACGCCAAGTCTCACAATACAGCCAGTCATATTAGCTGGCTGAATGATTCGAGGACTCACTATTCGATTGTCAATCATGGTTCCTTGCTACCTCGTGACTGCCTACGCGACCACACAAGCGCTGTTCCCTTTGCGGCAAGTTTCACACGTAGTTCTGAAGGAGTGTACACGCGGTACTCCGTAGCAGTATCCAGTGCGAATAAGTGGGATCTGTAGTGAGGTGACGATCGAGGGCTTCGACCAGCGTCAAGGGATGGGATTGAACATGGAACGCGAGGTTTGGTTTTGCCTCAGCCTCAACGAGTTACATACAGTAGATTCGCACTTGGTTATTAGGTATAATAGGGTTACTACAATGTGGCTTCAACCAAGACCACAGCTTCTTTTCGGTTGATGGCCTCAGGAGGGAACAGAATGGGCGTGGCTCACTCTACACTCCCCTCTCCTGATGGCTCCACACTGGGATCTTGGAGAGAAAGCAGGACGGAAAGACACCTTGGAGTGTGGGATACTGGGATCCGGATGGGTTGCCGCAAGTCCGACGTGTGGAAGAACCGAGCCGCCGGGAAGCATGGCGCACTAGGGAAGAGCGGCCCGATCACCATCAGCCTTACGGGGGCACGAGACAATACTGACGGAGATGCGGAATCGGAATCTCATGCATCATTTTGAGACCGCGCGAAAAAGATGAGCTTGATGGTCTCTTGGTTCATCTGGTCGCTCTACTTTACATGAGACAAGGATTGTTCCAGAGCGTCGCTCGATGAATCGAGGCCAGAAAAGAGCCTCTTCGTGCAACTCAGGAAATGCAAGAGCAGAAAAGTGGTCGGACGCCTGCCCATCGCCCTGGTGTAGTTCGCTTGTAGGACGTCCCACTGCCAAGCGACGAGCTGGTCAATTCACGCCAGAAGTTGCACAGAAAGGAAAAAGGGCGTGCGATCGGCCATCAGGTGGTCAGAACGAAGCCTGCCGGCCTGGGATGATTCAATCATGCGTAGTTTTGGCGGCTTCGACAGCCCGCGCAAATGTGAATGCATGTACCTACGAACGAGGTCACCGTCCTGAAAGTCGTATGAATGCATGTGTCCTTTTGCTTCTCCCCGTTGCCGACGCCCTTCACCAGTTCCTGAGCGTTCCCGGCTCTCGGCGTTGCCTTGTCGCCGTGCTGCATGCACCCATCGGTATTGCGACGCTTTCGATTCGATCTCTCACACGACACTACCATTAAACATCCCTCCCAATGTCAGTGATCTATAGCACCGCAGAGAGACATATGTAGGTACATCGTCATATATAACCAACCATCCTTGATACACTGGTACAAAATGTTTCCTCGTGCCCCGTCCACCGTCAAGAGGCCGCCCTTTGCGTTTGCTCGCCCTGCCTTACAGGCCTCCTAACCCAGCTTCCGATTCTCCACGCTTCACACTGAAAACACTGACTAGAATGCAGCTCACCAACGTGCTCTTGGCTATCGCCTTGGCCCCGTCTTTGGTCTCTTCCCTCCCAGCGGACAGCAGCGCGAAGCCTCTTACCAGCGACCCCACAGCGGCCAACGCTACGACAAGCGCTTCATCATCGTCGTCTGCGCTGAAAGCATGCTTGCAGCAATACCCCTTTGAGCAGGTGTACGCCGCCAGCTCCAACTACGCCACTTACAGTCGCCCAGAGAACGAGAACCTGTCATACAAGGCGTTCGCCATCGCCTTGCCTTCCAGCGTGGCGGGCGCGTCGGACGTGGTCAAGTGCGTCGCGGCACAGCAAGGCACCCAGAAACTGGCAGTGCGAGGCGGACACCACAGCTACGCGGCCTACGACATGGGTGGCGGCGACGGGTGGACGGTGCTGGATTTACGCAAGTTCAACAGCATCTCCATCGACAGCAACGCCAAGACCGCCACGGTCGGCGCAGGCGTACGGCTCGGCACGCTGGCGCAGGAGCTGGCGCAAGCCGGGTATGCGTTGCCACATGGCACGTGCGCCTACGTCGGTGTCAGCGGACATGGACTGGGTGGCGGTTACGGGTTTGCGAGCCGGAAGTGGGGCTTCCTGATGGACCACATCGTCAGCATGCAAATCATACTCCCCACCACCGGCGAAGTCGTCACCGCGTCGCCGACGCAGAACACCGATTTGTTCTGGGGTCTACGCGGAGGCGGCCAGAACAACTTTGGTGCCGTGCTCTCCTTCACGTACGCTCTCGAAACGGCACCAACGCAAATTGTCGACTTTAGCTACGGGTACAGGTCGAACAGCGACTGCGTCAGCGCGCTGCTTGCACTGCAGGATATGGTCAGCACAACCAGCAGCTCGGCTGGCTTCCCGGCCGATTTAACCGCTGAGCTGCTGTGGATCACCGAGAGCGCTGCTAATGGCGGGCCGGCTTGCACGCTCGGCGGTCAGCACATCGGCGCAACGCGCTCGCAACACGACGCTGTTTTCCAGCGCTTTCGCGACGCCGTCAAGAAACACGGCGGCAGTGACTACGACGCCAGTCAGACGACCGTCAAGAGCCACACCACCTGGGCAAACGCGCTTGCGGATGACCTGGTCATGGGCGGCTTTGACGTAAGCGACCCCAACTCTGATCATGAGCCTGTGAGTCGCGAGTTGCAGCTGCGTATCTTCAAGTGTGGTGTTCGTGAGAGCTGGCAATTGATTGGCTATTCCTTTCACCAACACAGTACTACGCCAAATCGCTCATTCAGCCTGAAGGCACACTATACACCAAGGACACGGCCACGTCGCTGATGAATCTCCTGAATGAATACAGCACCACAGACGGAACCGGCAACTCGATTTCTTTCGCTGGCTTTGGTCCTCTCTCACTCACAAACAACCTTACCTTATCGGCCAGCGCTGCCTATCCGCACCGCGATACGCTCTTCCTGTACCAGTTCTACTCGTACGGAACAACAACGGATAAGGTTCGGCAGCGGATGGCACAGTTGGTGGATCAGGCCAAGTCGATCTCATCCAGTGCGCAGTGGGGCGGGTACGTCAACTACATTGACAGGCAGCTGCAAGAGTGGGCGAACGCGTACTACGGAAGCGCGCTCACTCGGCTCAAGAGCCTCAAGAGCAAGTACGACCCGAACAACATTTTCGACTACGCGCAAGGTCTTGCACATGCGTAAAGGCCATTATTTGCTTCCACCCCGATAACTTTGGGTTGAAGGCAGAGAGACGCTGGACCGCTGCTATATTCTGCGTAGAGCGGTGTATCCTCCTCTCAAGCACCAGCGAATAGACTCTCACCTGTGCATTCGTAGCTTTCAATCATGGATTCTCCACTTTATTGCAATTCCTCAAGTCTCATCATTGGTAATAGCAGCTTCAATCCACTTTGTCCGTGGCTACTATCTCTCTGCAAACCATTTATCGACGATGCGCCAGCTGCTGTGCAATTGCGAGTGGTTGATGCACATCCAAAAAGTCGCACTCATGCCCCATCATGCACCATGGTCAACGCGTGCCAGTGCTTCCTGTTTGACCTTAGGAGTATGTACCTTGGGATTTGAATGGGGCCGTGTGCGAAATTTGGTATTGGACAGTGGTGCACAAACAATTCTACAAGGAGCCCCATTTGCTAGGATATGCGGAGAATCTGGGGCCCACCAAACGCAAGCAGGACTTAGCAGCTTTCTGGAGGGTTGTCCTTGTGTCCACGTAAGCAGTCCATTAACGAGGTGCGGGCTCATCCAATTGAATTATCTTGCATGGCTCGTTACGCTCCAGAACTGATAGGTCTATTATGCAGTCAAGCTTGTCCTTCCTTGTTTCGATCCGAAAAAGGATGGGGGTTGCCTGTGCTCGTACAGTGTACACATTTGGCCGACACCCTGAAGTGAAACAGAATGAATGTAAGACCACCGACACTTGCAATTATGTGTGCTACCTACTGGCTACGTCTTTGGGGCTTGCTGGATCTAGCCTCGTGCACAGTGCACACCAACAGCCGGCTCTATGTACACCCCGGCAGAGCGCTAATGCGAATCACTCCATCACTTCGGCATCTGTCAGTCGTCAGCAAGAGAATCCATACCAGAGGCAATACCGGGCTGCGCCTTCCTGTCTTTGACAGACGCCAATTTATTAAATACGCCAACCAAAAGGTACTTGTCCCACTTCGACTGTTTTAGTCCTTGCACAAGAGCTGACGAGCAGGTTCGGAAGTTCCGAACCAAACAAAATTTAGCAATTGGCATCAAATTTTATACCTGCAGTCATCAAGTGATTTCTGAAGATTCCAAAATCCAATGTCTGAACCAATTTGATGGCAGAATTTTATTCAGTCCATTGGAATTTCCAAGGGGTTTCCGTCCATCTCTCCCACTTCTTGGATGGTTCGTCGAAAAAATGCAATCACGCAACCTGTTTGCTAAGGTCAGCGCTAGTCATAGACAGGCACACTCACAGGGTGTAAGAGCGTGTGCCTCTTGGTTTGTGTTCATTCTGCGATCTGACAGCCCAGGGCAGACCTGAGTCTGAGGCACTACACAGCAGCAAGCCGACGATCAACAGCACGTCGGGTCCACCCTGCCAAGTTGCTACCGACGAGGATACGTACCTTGTCCAGGGACGATGTCGTCATTTTGCTGGACATGACATTGTACAATTCCATCGGAGAATGAGCTGACTGACGTCTTCGACGGTCACAGAAAGGTTCGCTCGAACATCTCGCACTGAGTGCAGACGCAGATATCTCAGTGTCCTTCATTTCGGGGAGCTCCCTTATCTTTGGTCACCGTTCGACACGCGCGATACTTTTTCGAACGTGTTACGATTTGAACACTCGTATAGACGACCACCCTTTCAAGGGTTTCCTTGCCACTTTGGTCCACTAACGTATTCGCAAGGCATTGTTCATCGTGGAGCTGCATCTTTCGAGTTCTCTTTGCAACGCACACGGATGATGCCGAGGACGGAGTCAGCCAATTCAACACGTTATCTGTAACTGTCATACTTCGCTTTGTACTCCCTCGACTGTGCCATCTCCCAGGCAAGATGCAGTCTGACGGGGAAGCCATCAAGGGAAGCGTATACAGCGCCGCCGCGGTATCTCGAGCCGAGCCTGTCAAGGCTCACATGGATAGCTTCGGCGATGTGGAATCGCAGATCCAAATCAGTGGTACGATTCATCAAGCACAAACCTCAAGAATGAACGGTGAAGAAGGTGAAGTGAAAGTAGATGCGTCGTCTCGAGCTTCGTCGCTCACGCCCCTGTTCACATTCAAGCCGGAGGAAGCGGCAAATCGGGAAACGACGACGAGGGCCAACTGAGTCGCTCCTTACAGACCAGGCACGTAGTGTTCATGGCTATTGCTGGAATCATTGGTCCAGGCTTGCTCGTTGGAAGCGGAAATGGTGAGTTGGACTAGGCATACAACTGCTCAGTCCTCCAATATGAATTCATGTGTGTGCCGCCACAGCTCTTGCAACGGCCGGGCCAGCTGGCGCGCTCATTGCCTTTGCCATCACTGGCTTGATCGTCTATTTTATTATGCAATCGCTCGGCGAGATGTCGACGATGCTTCCAGTTCCGGGCTCCTTCATCACTTATTCGACTCGCTTCATCGACCCGGCGTTCGGATTCGCAGTGGGCTGGGCCTATTTCTGTCTCTGGCTCTGCGTATTGGCCAACGAGTACGTTAGCGTCTCCATCGTCTTGCGCTATTGGCCTGCAGCCGAAAAGGTCCCCGCCGGAGCATGGATCACCATCTTTTGGTTCGTTTTTATGGGCCTCTCACTTCTTGGTGTGCTGGCATTCGGAGAGGTGGAATTCTGGCTGGCTACGCTCAAAGTCCTTTTCATCCTCGTCTTCTTCATCCTGAGCATCGTCATAACCGCCGGCGGGACCGGCGCAGGTGTCATTGGCTTCAAGTACTACCACGATCCGGGGCCTTTCAATGGCATCGGCATCGACGCACTGAACGGCATTGCCAAGATCTTCATAGTCGCCGGCACGCTGTATGCAGGTGTAGAGAGTGCGTTCATGCGCGGATAGCAGGCGGCCCAGACCGCACTCAAAGACAGCTACGCTGACCGCACCAAATCCCACAACTTCCTATAGTGACATCCGTTGTAGCTGCGGAGTCACGTTCGCCCGAAAAAGCGGTCCCACGCGCCATCCGCTCCGTTTTTTTCCGCATCGTATTCCTCTATCTCGGCACGCTCTTCTTTATCTCCCTCACCGTTCCATCCAACGATGACCGCCTCGTCAGTGCGGGTTCCAAAGCCGGCTCATCGCCGCTGACCATCGCGCTCGAGCGTGGAGGTATCAGCGCTGCCGCCAGTGTGATCAACGCCATCATCGTCATCAGCGTGATCAGCGCAGCGAATAGCAGCTTGTACATCGCCAGTCGTACTTTGCAAAGTCTTGCGGTCAAGGGACAGGCCCCACGCTTCCTCAGTTGGACAAGCAAGCGAGACAAAGTGCCAATTCCAGCGCTCGTGACGACAAACGTGTTGGCGTTATTCTCCCTCCTGTCCCTCGGAGCGGGTACTTCGAAGGCTTTTACTATCATCATCAACCTCAGCGTGAGTTCTTTCGCTTGGCGCTCACCCTCTGAGATGCCCGCGTCCCACTCATAGATTCTTCTTCCTTTTCGACCGGTACAGGGAGTCTGCACATTCATCGTCTGGGCCGCGATTGCCTGGTGCCACATCCGATTCCGCGGTGCGATGCGAGTGCAGAACAACGACGTCCACCAGCTGGTGTTCACTGCGCGGTGGTACCCATACGGCGCCTGGTTCGCGTTAGGTGCCAACATTTTCCTCTGCTTCTTCCAAGGCTACACGACCATTCTAAGCCCATTCGATGCAGGTAACTTTGTCGTCGCTTACATCATTCTACTTGTTTTCGTAATATTTGGGGTCACGTGGAAGCTCATCTTCAAGACCAAATTGTAAGTGATTGTTTGTGCGATGGAGCCTTGGGTTGCTCTCACATGGGCACCACTGACATCGCCAACCCTCACAGCATCCCTCTACATGAGATAGACATCGACACGGGCCGGCGGTGGGCAACGCGCGCGTCGCTCAAGGCAGAAAAGGCGCAAACACTGCACGATCATGGGCTGGGCCGCAGGATTTTGCGCTATCTCAACCGGATTGTAGCATAGTCACTTCATAGCGGTCTTTTCTGGCGACCACGAGCTTTTCATGGCTTCGAGATCGCCGAAATTTCCGCTCGCATGCACAGGTTTTGAGAGCGAAAAGTGTGGAGGAAGTCCCCCCAAGATTCATGCTCGAGACGTATGCAATTGCTGAACTCGGAAGTACAAGGTCGCCCTCTTGCGGTCACACCATGCTGCCAGCGTGGGCATCGCGCTCAGTGATGTGGTGAGTTGCCAGCGCTTTCGCCAAAGTGCATCGGAGGCTGGCGAAGAAACAAGCAGAGACATATTAGCATCGACGCACAACTCGAAGCTTTATCAGGCAGCGAAAGGTGAGCGTGTGAACGCACTGGCAGGTTCCTCTCCCTAGAAGCATTATCGATCGCAGCGACAAAGATCCAATAAGTGGAAGCGTATAGAGCGTCAGAAAGATCAATACTTCGGAAAGCCATTTCGCCAACTGAAGAGAGACGCACCACTTGGTGCCATCTTCGAACATGGCCGCTGTTTAGGCGTAAAGGACAAGGCCCGTCAGCTTAGCTTTCCAGCCGGAAGCTCTGCAATGGACAGTTGGTATTGAGACTCACGTCTGTATGGGTCAGGGTGACTGATACGCTTGAGGTTCTCCTCGGCCTCTTGTAGTACCCTCGCCAACTCCCTCGGGTTCCTGATATTCCGGTTACGCTCAAATTCAGCGCGGATCTCGATTGCCCTGTTCCTCCAAACATCCCGCCTGATGCACCAGTCAAGTGAGGTGCGCAGGTATCGGCGGTAGAGGCTCATGACGTACTGTCGATGGGCGGTGCTGAAGGCCGTGGGAAGTCGTGTTGCAGACGACATGGTGGCACGCAAAATCGCAGCACGCAGATCACGGCAGTGGGTAGCGAGCGGATTGGCGGAGGAGGTGTCGAGTGCGCCTGCACCTGCTTGCACCTTCCGGAAGAGAGCAAGGAGTGTTGACGGCGAGCCAGGCGTGCGAACGAGGATGGTCTTGCAAGCCAATCGTTGCTGCAAGCGGTGTGCTAGTATGAAGAGGATTGAGGGAGACGGCTGCAGCATTTTACTCAACTGGATGGCTGGCGGCTGGTTGCGGTTTGCCAGCTGTCGCTCAAAGCGTCGGCGGTGACAGCGGCGGAGTGCCCGCAGGGAGATCTTTCAATTTTGGTCACGTGTTGACCATTCCCGTACACCGCACCCGCACGCCAAGCTGCGCCATGTTGAGCACACCAATGACCTTTGCCATCGTTGGATGAACACACATATCGGGAGGCTCATGAAATAGGCATACTTGCAATTGGTCGAAACCAGACGGACGGACCGCTTGAGCACGCTAACCTTTCCTCACTTCTTTCTCGAACTTCGCAACTAATCTGCAAGAGCATCTTGAGAAGTCCAAAGTTCCATCCTCCGTCGATTCGCGTGCCATCCCATACCTATCTGACAGTGTCACACAATGTCTACGGGGAATCCAAACGATACAAGCAAGCCAGCGGGAAGCAAGGGAGCTCACTATCACCGAGAATGCACCGGTGCAGCGCTCGAAACGGCTGAACGGCACGCCAAATCCATCAACACACCGCAGGATGATGGCATCTGCATTTTCGGTGCGGCCTTTTGTCCTTTTGTCCAGCGCGCTTGGATCGTGCTTGAAATGCTAGGTGTCGAATACCAGTACAGGGAAGTCGACCCGTATCAGAAGCCTTCGGACCTGCTTGCCTTGAACCCGAAAGGGCTGGTTCCATCGCTCAAGCTCAGCTGCGGGGATAAGCCAGGTGAGGTCATGGGTCTGGGGGAGTCGACGGTTATGTGAGCAGGTGAATTGGCTCGGTGCGAAAGAGGCCACTCTCAATCTAGGCTCGTGGTCTAATAATCCCAGTGTCGAATACCTACTTGAGCGCTTCCAACCGCCACCGTCGGGGACGACACTTCTTCCCCCGTTATCTGAGCCGTACGCCCGTGCGGTGCAACGTCTAGCTGTCTTCCGCGGTAACCAGTCCGTCGTTCCGGCCTTCTACCGGTTTCTGCAGTCGCAGCCTGATTCGGATCCAGAGCACCATATCAAGCGGGAAGAGTACATCAAGACATTGACGAATTTTACGCAGAGCATGCATCCCGAAGGTCCATTTTGGGCTGGGAAGCAAATCTCAGTGGTTGACTGCAACTTGTTCCCTTGGATCTTCAGAACGACCAATGTGCTCAGGCATTTCAGAGGGTTACAATTGCAAGACTGGGGGGCCAAAGAGGGACGCATGGCGCAGTGGCTTGAGGCAATGATGAAATTACCGGCAGTTGCCGGCACGTGCTCGACCGAGGAGCTCTACTTGGACTCTTAGTGAGGAGCGTTCATCTAGCCGCGAGCGCGTGCTTGCCCACACTGACATGAATGTTAATTCCCGCACGATACCCTCAGTGCGCGCTATGCTGAGAACAGAAAGGGAACAAGTCAGGTAGCTGATGCCACCAATACCGGTCGTGAGTATCTAGTCCCAAATATGTGCAAACAGAACATGCTTACGCCATTCGCCCAACAGGATCATTACCATGAGAATAGCTCTTTCACAGAATACAGCGATTGCTTGCTACCTAGTGTAAAGAGGCGCTCGCAATGTAGGTGACACGAAATTCATTAGGTGGCTGGTGAGGTTCCAGTCTTCAAATTCGGGTTGTTGAACAGCCTTTGAAGGATATTTGTTTGCCAATTTAGTCATCACCATTGGGCCGGCAGAGGAAGCAAAGTGCAATGAGCCTTCCTGCTGTGAGCAGGCGTTGGCAGAGTGAGGTGCCGAGATCCTGAGATGCTGAGAAGGAAGCCATTGCCTATTAGGTAGCACGCTGATCAGGGAGGCGCTGCTTGGATACAATGAGTTGAATGCCGTAACTAGAAGCACATGTATCGCAGTTCCATCTGAGCCTCAGCTTGATGGCATCCTCCTCCTGCATGCGCTCCAGCCGTCTGTTCTTCGACTATGTACGAAGGCGCGACAGAGGCTGGTGCTGGGAGTGGAAGCTGAGTCAGCCAGTGTTTCGGGAAACACTCTGCCATCTACGAAATGGTGATGTTGGCAACGGTGCCGAAGGGCAGCTACATTGGGGGAGAGATCAAAGGTCCCACTCTCGGGCAAGCAAGCCTGTTGCGAAGCAGCAGGGGAACGAATGTACTTTCCAATTTCAGGCGTCAGGCACTCGGCGAGGGCTGTGCTTTTGTACACATGCACGCCTTGACGATCACCATGCACATAGCTTGTCTATATGAAGTGGCCTGTGGGCTGCCGTGCGAGAGACTCCGTGGGTGTTGGTGTGTATCACGCGGTCAAGTCGCGTCACGTCGAAAGCGCGACGCGACGCGTGGCTCGCGTCGCGTCGTCTTCGCGGGTGCACGTCTCCATCCATCCACACCCAAATGGTCGTCGTCGTCGTCGTGTTCATGTTCTCTTTTGCATTCTCCACCTCGCCCTTCTCGAATGCTAAACGCTTTGACGAGCTTATCCATGCCTCGTGCGCAACCGTTGCTTTCTCATTGGTGACAGAACGACAGGTAGCACCGAGTGTATTCCCGCCGTGATCGGGAATCTTACGTTTTCTAACATGGCGCGAACACGTTCGTGCTGCAACGTCAGCGACGTCGAGCACCTCCCCATCAACGCGAGAAAGCGTCACGCCCTTCCGGATTCTCAACTACGCAAAATCCAAGTTGAAGAGAAATATACCAAAGAAAACCACCAAGCGCCAAAACCGCAACCGCCGATGACACCCTCAGCTCTCGGCAAGAGGAAGCGCATGGCGCCAGTGTTGACCCCGATCAACAATGAGACCAAGCCGCAGCCCGAAAGCACCCTCCGGCGCAGCAGCCGCTTTGCACTGTCCAGCATCCAATGCGGCGCGCACGTACCGGGCAATTCGCCAACCAGCCAACGCGCTGCAAAGTGCGTCAAGCAAGTCAGGGACAAAGTCCGCGCGCTGCGCCATCCGACGCAGTTGGTAGAAAGCGTGGACGACGATGCAGACGAAGGAGACTTTGTCCCTCACCTCAGCAGACGCGACCTGTCTCATCTTCCGCCGCATACGAAAGCCCGCTATCTCCTCCATGTTGGCTCGACACCCAGCCTGCTGCCCTGTCGCGAGAAGGAGTTCGGCGAGGTTCTTGAAAAGGTTGAAAATGCCATCGACGAGAGCACTGGTCAATGTCTGTACGTCTCGGGCGTGCCGGGCACCGGTAAGACGGCGACATGTCGGCAAGTGGTGCGAACGCTAATGAAGAAGCGCGCGGACGGCAGTCGAGCCGGGTTGCCCGACTTCAACTTTGTCGAGATCAACGGCATGAAGATCAGCGAGGCATCACAGGTCTACTCCATCCTCTGGGACGCCATCGGCGGCTCACAGGCGCGAGTATCGAGCAAAAGCGCACTCGAGAAGCTGCGCCAGCATTTCGAGCGGTACTCGGAACGCACTGGAACTGATCAGCGCAGCATGACCGTCCTGCTGCTCGACGAGATGGACCAGCTCATCACTTCTCGCCAAGACGTCATCTACAACCTGTTCAACTGGCCGAACATGCAGAACAGCAAGCTGCTCGTCATCGCCCTCGCCAACACAATGGATTTGCCGCAGCGCGCTCTCAGTGCCAAAGTCGCCAGTCGGCTCGGCTGGCAGTCCGTCCAGTTCAAGCCGTACGACGACAAGCAGCTGACGCAGATCGTGCAGGCACGACTGGGAATTGAGACCCCAACGGTCGTGATCCCTGACAAGGTGAAGGAGACAACTCGAGGTTGCAGCACGATCTTCAACGGCAACGCCATCACGCTCATGGCCAAGAAGGTCGCCGTCGTCAACGGCGATGCGCGGCGCATGCTCGACATAGCGCGGCGCGCGCTCGAGAAAGTAGAGCAGGAGGCAGCCGAGCTTGGCCTACCAGAACCGCCACGCGTCGAGATCAAGCATGTTAACGCCGTCTTCGCTGACATGGTCAAGTCGGGCAAGACTATGCACATCACGTCCATCGCCCTGCACGCCAAAGTGCTGCTCTGGAGCGCCATCGCCTGCATTCGCAAGACGGGGCTACAGGAGGTCACGTTGGAAGACCTGCACGCGCACCACCTTGCGCTCTGCAACAACCACCGCTTCGGTACCGTCTCGCATCCGGGCAGCATTTCAGTACCCAAAATCAGCATCGATGCGCTGCAGGGAGGCCCACTGGCCACGCTCTGCTCGCTCGGCCTTTTGATCGCGGTCGGAAGCGACTTTGGCTCAGCGCACGCAGGCATGCACGCCAGGTTCATCTTGGGCGTCCGAGAGGACGAAGTGCGCTTTGCATTCCGAGAAGACAACGACGTGAGGTTCAAGAGTCTAACATGAACACCTCCTGGATGCATTGTATTGTGGAGCAGGCAAATGATTGCGTTCAAGCATTCTGCATGAATGCAAATGTATAATAGCTACAAAAGTCCGTGAATTTTCTGGGTTTTTCTTGCTTGCACTGCACTGAAAGCGTGCGACATACTGCAAAGGTATGCACCCTTGTTGCGGAGCCTCAATGTCCTTTCACATCGTGCCCTTCACGTAAGAGGTCAATGCAAACATATGCGAGATTCCCAACCCATGGCTTCATTTCCAGAGAGTGTCAGTTGCCGCTGAAGCTGCGTGCCATGAAAGTCGAGCGCACGCCAGCCGGCGACGCTGCCCCAGCCACGCCACCGAGCGCCAAGCCGAGTCCGTGCTGGTGACTTTCCACTTCGGCGGACTGCCGCACAGCCTCGTCGAACGTGTGCACTTCGGCCTTGGCAGCGTTGATCATATCTGCGGGCGCAAAGAAGGAGAGGCGCCTTGCAGGCCTGCCTTCGCCGGCGCCACCCACTGTGCCACTAGAAGAAAACGGCAAGCTTGAGGCGGACAGCGCGGCGCTGCGACGGATCGCTAGCTGTGCGTCCGTCGCGTGAGGCAGGGCCGATGTGGGCGTTACGGGCGATGTAGCGCCAGAGCCGGAGGCAGAGCAGGAGCCGGAGCCGGAGCCAGGTGTGAAAAGGAAAGCTTTGCGCTCGCGCAGCGGGCTGCCACGCGAGCTGTACGGCGCAGCGTCCTCGGCAGTGGAGCCGGACGGGAATGCGACGGGGGCGTTGGACGTGATGACGTCCGCAAGACCGTCAAGGGAGGTCTGGGCTGTGGCGACCTCCGTGCCGCTAATTACGGCGCCGTCGACGGAGATGCTGGACGGCGCCGGGCGCTCGCCATCGGCTGCCTCGGTCGGGTCGTGCGGCGGCGGCGAGGGTGAACGGTAAGGGTTTGGCAGCGGGAGTGACGGGAAGGCCATGGCGGTCGGAAGGTGGAAGGACGATGATGGGGATAGAGATGGAGATGGAGATGAGGCCACAGGCCCAAGCGCCGCTGGCAGCACACCGCTGCCTGGCAAGTGTACGCTACAGGGAGTCAGCAGGCCGCTGCCGCTGCCTGCCACGGCCGGGGCGGTGAGACCAGCGCTCGAAAGCGGTTCGGTGATAGCCACCGGACTCGGACCAGGGCTCTGCAGCGCCTTCATCTGCGCAAGGTGCAGGGCTGCCCTGGCGGAGCGCGGAGAAGCAGAGCCGGATGGAGGCCAGCTGCCAAGCGAGAAAGTGGCGCGCGTCGGACTGATGTCCGCCAGTCGTCCACGTATAGGCGACATGGCTCTGGCTCCGCTGCCGCCCATGCCATGCGCAACGCTTCCGGAGTAACTCGATGACGGCCGTTGCTGTCGTTCTTTCCCACCGCTCGCCCCTGCACCTGCCGCCGCGAACATCGTCCCAATCGCGGGCGGCGCCGACGGCGCGAATTTCTCGGCGATCTGCGCGGCGAGCGAGCCAGCGGGCAGCGGCTGATCGTCCATGCCGCTCGCGTACGAGAGCGGCGGCGATGGGCTGGACGCAGCAAAGCCGCTGGTGCCCGCGTCGAGCGGGGCCATCATTGCGCTGTACTGGCGCGGCGAGCTGGCGCCTGAGCCCGAACCCGAGCCCGACGCGGGTGTGGAGCCGGCGCGGGAGAGTGAAAGTGAGAGGGGTGCAGAACCGTGCATGGAGAGGGGGCCAGAGTGGAGGCTGGCAACAGAGCTGGGTTTGTGCGCGTGCGCTTGCGCGGCGAGCTCAGCGGACTGCGTGTGCGACGAGAGCGCACTCGCCGACAGCGCAAGCGGCGGGGAGGCTGTCTGCGGCTCGATGATCTCCAGCTCCTGGAAGGCGACCGGCAGCGAGCAGGCGACAAAGGAGAAGCAGTCAGCACCGCAAGTCACACACGCGAACATGTGAGCTGATCCAAGCGACGCACCTCAGGTCCGAACTCCTGCAGCGCCTCAACAGCGTCGCTCAGCACGCTGGGGATGGCAACATCGATCGCCTCGCTCTTGGAGAGCAGATGCGAGGCGTCGCGATGCTCAATGTCTCGCTCAAAGATGGCAGGAGCTGCCGCTGCAAGCGTATTCCCACTCGCGCTCGCAGCGGGAGCGGGCACGGCAGCGGTATGCGGCATCGTCGGGCTCGTGCTCCAGCTGCCTGCAGCAGCGGCAAGAGCACCGCCCGCGGTATGTGCAAAGGGTAGTGCAGTAGATGGGCTGGCTGTATGCGCACGCGAGATGATGGCGGTACTGCCGGTGGCGGAGGCGGAGGCAGGAGCGCGGGCGGGGCTCCGTGCCCGCGGCGAGCGCATGGACGAGTGCACGACGCCGCGCGCGAACAAGTTTGGCGACGACGGACCAGGGCTGTATGCTGGGCTAGGCATGTGGCTTTGGCTGTTGTGCGCAGCAGTAGCAGCAGCGGCGGCGGCGCCAAAAGGAGCATCAGCTGCCGTTCCCCCCGCGCCCACCGCGGCGCCGGTGATGAAGGCCGATGAGGCAGTGTAAGCCGACGCAGCTGGCGACGGCGGCGGTGGCGTGACGAAGAGACTGCGCGTCAGCGACTCGGCCGCGTCTGGGTCGGCGGGCATGTCGTTCGCGGACGGGAAGACTGCTGCTGGGGTTGTTGCTGGAGCGGTGCCAGGCGCAGAGAGCTGCGACGCGCGGCGTACAGGCGACACGGACGTGAGCATGGTCCCCTGTCGCGGGCCGCTGGTACCTAAAGTCTCGCTGCAGCACGCGGGACCGTCGTGGAGCATGCCCATCTCGTGCGGGTCGTCGTGCAGCGCGATGGGCATCTTTTCGCTGGGTGTCTTGTTGTTGGCCCAGTCGAACGCGCCAGTGTTAGGTGCTGGCGCTGCTCGGTCGTGCCGCTGCTGCTGCTGCGTGGAAGACTGTGCTTGAGCAGCGTGCGACGAGGACCGCTCTGCTGCTGCGTCCACTGCAGGCGCATGCGTACCGGACGCTGACCGGGCGGGCTCTGGAGCAGACATGAGTCTCGTCGCTGAAACGGGCTGGTCCTGTCCGCATGAAAGGGCCGGGAAAGTGTGTGCAACGAGGTCTGCACGCGCTGCCCTCACATTGACAGACACGATGCGAAGGAAGGCGCGGGTGATACACACGTGGTTGTTCCCAGATGCCCAACCCTGCTGGCCTGCTGCTACTCGTCTCGCTGTGTAGCAAGTATATAATACTCAATTTGATGTGAGCGGGCCTGGCCCTTGTGTTTGTCCCATTCGCATGACGCGTGTGTTGTATTGTGCATGGGCTGTTCATCCCGCGCGAATGGAATCCGAACCCGAGAATCATATCATCCAGGGAACAAGATGAGTAACATTGAGGCGAGATGAGCGCTGCTGGCACTCTGCTCTCGGGCCGTGCCCTGCAGTGCTAAGAGTGTGCCCGCACGTGCCTGCCTTGCCTGCCTCCCGCTTTTGCCGCAGAATGGCTTGCAGAGACAGGCGAAAGGCGAGAGAGCGTCCGCGCGGTGGCCCATGACAGAGTGGGAGATGGGGAGAGGGACGGGCTACTTTTCTTGGCTGCACTGTTGACTATGCCGGCTGGCCCCCGCGACGATTTGGATTGGATTGTTCGATGAAAACCTGCACACTGCGCGGTTTCCACTCATGACATGGGGTAGATCGAAAAACTGATGCCATAGTCTAGAGACGGCACCTTTTACACACATCGCTCCGCACTGGAGCACAGACGACTTGCGAGGGTTACACCATGTGCCCTCATTTCTGTTTCTGGGGTGTTCCCCTTGCCACAATCGGAACACATTGCACAGGGTAGGCTGCAGGGCATATGTATATGTGTATGTATGTATTTACAACAGTCCGTCTTTCACGGAATCTGGCTGCACAGCCGTGGAAGGACAAGGTCGGAAGAGCAGAGCGTCTCGTTCGCCATTGGCACGCGCCCGCCAATGCGGCAGTGTCGCCGGTCTCCACGCGATGGCGGTGCTGCACGCAGCGAGCGAGCGAGCGAACGCGCGTGCATACGTCTGTACCCCCTCTTGTGTTTTCGCCAGGTGGACGTCGCATGCTGCTGCATCGCCGTCGCAAGGACCAAACGCGCAGAGAGACTCGCGACGCGGCTCGTCGAGCCCACATCCCTCCAGGCCAGACCCACTGCCAATGTACGCTTTATAGCCGACAGGACGGAACGGAGCGGGGTGCCCCCCTCCCCCCTTTCCCTCTTGCATGCCCACCTGCCCACTCTCCGCTGGAGCCGGGCACAGGCGCGGGTACTCCGCTCGCGCTTCTGGAAAACATGAAACAGCCCAAGGCGAGACTGTATGCTTCCCTCCCATGTGCACCATCTCGTTCCGCCCACGTCAAACGGGAAAGGAAACTACAGTGCTACCTTGCCAACCTCACGCATGCCTTCGTCCCACAGATCGCTCTGCCCCCATCCGCCTGCGACAGCAGCGATGATCACCCAGGCGCTCCGCTCAGCCCGCTGGGCCTCCTCCGCCAGCGCCTGGCGCAGCAGATGCGCCATCGCCGCGTTGTGCGTCCCTACTGCTCCTTCGTCCAGACCCGAAGCAACACCAGCGGCAGGTAGGCGATCGGCCCCCTCGGCATCGTGCAAGCGTGCACTGCGCCCCTTTCGCGAGCCCCTCGCTTCTGCCACTGCTGCTGCCCCGCGCCGCGTCCTGCTCGGCGTGCCAATGTGCATAATCCCATCCTCGTCGTCGTGCTCCTGGCCACCCGTTTGTTCCTCTGCATCATTGTCCAGGATCATGTCCACCGCTGCGCTCACATCCCTTTCCTCCTCCTTTGTCCATGGAGTAGCACCGGCGCTGGCGTTGCTGCTACTGCTGAGGAGGTTCTTCGCCTTGACGCGAAAGCGCCAACGATTGCGTACGATCGCCTGCACGCACGCGCGCGCCAGCGTGCGCAGCACGCTTACCTCCTCGCCGTCCAGGTGCGGTGACAGCGCCGCGAGCAGCGCAAATGTCCAGCGCGCCAGCAGCGGCGGCACCGCGTCTGGCAGCCGCGCAACGCTCGCCAGTGCTGCCGCGTCGGGCCCAGAGGCGGATGTGCCACCCGCGCCAAGCGCCAGGCCTGCTCCTGCTGTCGTGGATTTTGATGTGTTTGATGGCGAGCGAATGACAGAGGATGGTGCTGATTCTGCTGCTGCTGGCGCTTGCGCAGCAGGATGCACGAACCATTCTGGCATATACTCTAACAGTTTGAGAACATGCTCCTGTCGTACGTGGTTTGAACGAACGTGCGTCAGCATAGTAAACCCTCCTGGCAGACGGCGACCTCCGGGCACCCGCCAGCCGACTCACATGCCCCAAAGCTCTTAGTGCGGCCGTCCTCGGTTCGCGCCAGAGCAGCTCTTGCTCTGCATCCCCCTCAGCTGCCGCTGCTGCTAGAGCAGAAGCAGTGCTAGAACCAGCCTGCTGCTGCTGCTGGTGGCCCTTGAGCTGGTTACGCCTAGCACGCATGCCATAGCCAAAAATCCACTGAAACCATAGGCCTTCGTTCCTGTCGTCCGGCGTCATGCGTGACTCGCTCGCCACCGCGTGAAGCGCCGCTTCGTTGGCCGCCGGATAGCTCAGGCGGTGCCGCATTGCTTTGAACTTGCACGTGAACATCTGCCGCCAGGCGAGCGACGGCAGCGGAGGCAGGTTCGTTTCTGGGCTGTCCGAGTCTCTGAAGCACGCTGCGGCAGCCGATACAACTGCGTCCAGGTCTGCATCGTGACGAGCCCTGAGCTGGTCCTTACTTTCCTCTTTCTTCGTCCCTGCTGCTGCTGCCGCTGCCGCTTCATACGGATTGAATGCGACGCGGTAGACGGGCGCATGAAGCGCAGCTTGGTGTCGTACCAAAGCGAGGTACTGGCTCCCATCCACTGGTACGCCGTCGAAATCTACAGGCAGGCTCGGCACGTCGAACGCCCTGCCCCCGCGCGACAGCTCGTCGCCATTCATGCCTCTCGATTTTTTGCTCGCCGCCGCTCTGTCCCTCCGTTGCTCCTCGTGTCCGCGCCTCGTCTTCTCAGCGCTTGTACGCTGGCCTACGGGCGGAGCATCTTTGCCTGGCTCGTGGCGACGCATGCGCTTGGCAGGCGGCATCCTTTCTGCTAGATGTGTGCCCCGTGACATTCAACGCTGCAGCGGGATTACAGGCTCGGCGCAACGGAGAACGCAGATTCAGGCGATCGCACGGCCGCGTTTTTACTGTTGTAAGCTGACGGCGCAGCGGTGTGCTGGCAGGGAAGTGGCAAACGGGCTTTGGGTTCATCGCACAGCCGAGGGAGATTTGCTACCCTCGTCTTGGTTCTGACGGCTGGGTGAGGTTATGAACGAAGCCTAGTGGAGTCCCGGCGAGGGGTCTTCATTTTTAAAGTGATCGATCAGTCAAGGTCCCGATGGGAGGAACACAACCCTACTTTACACGTGTCTTCATGACTCCCCAGCCCGCAGCGCACAGAGTCGCGCTTTCCGTTTTCATGCTTCACCCTGAGCCGCCTCTAGGTTGCACTGGTCCAACTGAGTCTCAGACGGAATGGAACCCCGCAGCTCACGAAATCCCCATTGTCCACATACAACAATCAAATGCGCTCCGCCATGATGGCAAAAAGTGTCGTCTACTCTCCATAGGAGCGTAACTATAGCCACGTCTGCATGTGTTGAACAGACAGCTCCTGGATTTTGGTGGAGACCCTGCGCTACGCTAAGTACTGCGAGAACTGAATAGAATGCCAGAGGTGCTGCAGCCTGCAGGGCGGCACCCCCCGCGGCTCAGTCTCGCAGCAATGATGTCCTAGTATTGTTGTGTTGTTTTGGTGCGTTTATTAAGGTTGCTTGGCGGGGCTCGGCGGCAGGCGCGTCGTCGCTTGTGCACCTTACTGCCGCGGAGTAGGGACGTTTGGACTGGGATCTGGTCTGCCCTGGTGCCGCCAACTTGGATTTGCGGCATGAGAACGGTGGAGGTCGAAGTGCGGAGGGTTGGAAGCTTAAGGCTGATGTGGTGCCTCCCATGGACCCCAGGCGTAGTTCCGCGTGTGTGCACGGGAGGACTTTTGAATCGAATTGCCCAAATGGCGCTTGCGCCGCGCTGTGCCTACACAGCCTTGGTGGGGGGTGCGACACCCCCCCTTTGCAGCCCTGCAGCTGAAATTGCCAGCATCCGCGCATGCGGTGAGCGAAACCATCAAAGAGCGCGAAACCCTCTTTTCATCCGATCACCTTTGTTCGACCCCCCCTTCTTTTGTCGGTAACATTTTGCCTCCCTCTCTTCCCTCCACCAACACCTTGCCTCTTCTTTCCTCAACCTCAACCTCAATCCCTTCACTTCCACCTCCATTGACAACATCGAGCTAGTCTCGCAGGCCTTCTATTACTCCCAGTACATCCTCAACTTGACGTCTTGAACCCACCAAAAGCAGCCGGCTTGAAGTCCACGCTCGCTTTCAGCACACGCTTCGTCAGGTTTCTCACATTCATTTGCTCTCGCTCGCAAAGCAACGGCATCAACACTACAGCATTTTTCTATCGTTCCGTCTCTTTTTCTCCGCCTCTCTTCCAATCTGATACGCATATCCCACGATGCAGCTTTCTCTCAATCTCATCTTTGTCGCGACCATTGTCGCGAGCGAGGCTCTCGCCCTGGCCACCTCGGGCAACGCAGCCGCTAGCGGCGTCGAGCTCTCTGCCAACATCAAGCGCCACCACAAGAAGCGCACTTGCAAGGCAAAGAGCAGCAAGAAGACGAGCTCTCGCATTGCCACATCCTCTTCTGGGTCCTCTTCTGGCTCTGTTTCAAGCTCAATCACCGGTCACAAGAAGTTGGGCTTGAGCTGGACATACGGCAACTACATGGATATCAACCTCTTTGACAACAAGGCTGGCTGGCGCTACAATTGGAAGGAGAGTGACAACACCAAGTCGAACCTCCCTTACTTCCCGATGCTTTGGAACGACGATGGATCCCGTGTCGCAGCATGGCAGAAGAACGTTGTCAACAACCCCAGCTCCGTCACAAGCAAGACCATCATGGCCCCCAATGAGCCAGATGTTTCCAGCCAGGCCAACATGTCCCCCGAAGCTGTCTGCTCGCTCATGAGGAAGCAGATGCTTCCGCTCAAGAAGAACCACGGTTTCAAGATCATCGGCCCCGCCGTCGTCAACCTCGAGGGTGACTGGTACCCGCGCTTTGTCAAGGCTTGCCCTGATGTGCAGAAGGAAATCGATGCAGATGCTGTGCACCTATACGACTCGTAAGTGTTATAATTGCCGGGAGCGCCATTGCCGGGAGCGCATGCTGATCAGATCACTTTACCTTGTCGCTGCAGTCTCGCAAGCACCTCCATCTCCAGGCTTCAGAAGTGGCACAGTACTTACAAGCGTCCGATCTACATCACCGAGGTGGCTTGCCACAGCTTCTACATTACCAGCAAGGCTCCTCAGTGCACTGGTTCCGGCATGGCCAACTCGTTCTACAGCGGTCTCACTAAGTTTGTCGCCAACTCCGACTACATGGCCGGTATCGCACCGTTCGGCGTCTTCAAGGCGAACCTTCCGGACGGTGTTGGCAACTTTAACAGGCTCAGCACCACGTCAGGCACGCCCACCAACCTGTGGAACATGATCACCTCGCTCATCTAAAGCCTTTCGTTCGCGACACGGTGTTGAGACGGGTGCCGGTCACCCCAGGCTGTTTCGGCCCGTTCGTTGGCCGTGGGACGGCGCTTGATGCGACTTCCGCGCGCTTTCGGGCGGTCGAGGCTACCTCGCCGCACCGTACCTACTGCCAAGCATTTGGTTTCATCACTTCATTGACGCTCGTGTGCTGCCGAAGGAAGACACAGGTGACCTTCCCCGCGCTGTACAGCGACACAACGTGTTCCACTGTATCTTGTCTCTTTTCTTTTTTTCGGGCTGCGCCCGTTTCATTTCCCGGATCAACATCATCAACTACGGCAGTTCTTGCGACCCTCTGCATTCGCATGCAGCAGCGGAGCAACGAGCGCGATGTCGTTCGGGTCGACTGGTCATCGCTTTTTCGCACGGTTGTACCCGTTAGCTTGCATAGCGGTACATTCTAACGGGAAAGGTGGTGGGACAGTGGTCCCACGGACAGCGCTGTATGAAATGCAATATATGAAATGGCGCCGCTGGGTAGCGTACAAATCACTCTTGTGCAGTCATGTTTTTCGGGGGTTTCGCTCGCTGCGTTCGGAGGAAGTTACTTCGGCGAAGACGATGGCAAGCATTGCTTGGCGTGGTGCTCAGTCATCCGGGTTCCAACGGGACGCTTCGCCAAGCGAGGTATGTGCATCGAAGCAGACAGTTTGTTGCAGCTCGGCAGAGCATGATGTCGATTTTTTGAGCACACCGAAAGCCATTTCATGTGCATTTTACGGCCAGGCATATCTATGAGGGCGATACCTAGAGGTGACTGACTGACGGGTGCACCGTCGGTCGTGGAACCAGCATTCGTTCTGAGAGGTGAGGCGATGGGCATGTTCCTCTTGCCGAGCATCGTGTCGGGACACGGAGGGGTAATAAGGTAGGCTCGGTACGGCGCCGCCCACGCTGCCCATTCATATCAAGCGGTGGCAAGGAAGTACGACCAGAGCTATACTATTCACGACGCTGTCTGCATTTTCATCGGCAGCATTTGAAGGCGTATAAAGGAAACGGAATCACTCTATTTATCATGGGGCTTGCACGAAGGTGACGCGAGGATGCGAACTGGCGAAGGCGTATTTGTTGGTTGGTTCAGGGCGTTTTCTGACAGTTTGTTGGTTTCGCCCAATAATGATTTTCCCCGGGGTGCTTCTACATTTTGCCGGAATTTTTGGAACAGCGTTTAGCGGCGCATACACACTCCCAAACTCTTGGCATGGGCCATGGCGCTTTAGGCTTGCGCGCAGTGTTCGGCATCGATTTCGGCGCCTAGTTAGTGTAACACGCATGCCAAATCCGGTGGGGTCTGCTTGCGTCGTGCAGTGTCACAGTGCCGGATTTTTATGCCCCAGTTTTCTTGACCGCTGAAGATAGTGACTCCGCGAGAACAGAGAGCGGGTTTTCGGCGAATCTGCAGCGAGCACTGTGTTGCGCAATATGCACAAGGCCTCCAGCTTTCATCTTTATGGGCCCGGGTCGAGCACATACGAACGCGAAAGTCCTGAATGATCCTTCTTTTGCGTACAATGCAACCGAGCAATGATGCCCATGCCGGCCGGCTAGAGTTTGGTGCACATACATACGTAGGGGCGAGCGTGGTCGCTTTGGGGTGTGAAATTATGAGTTTGCTAGCCATTTGGGGGTTATGGGATGTTTTATATGTCACAGAAAGTAGCGCAAATGTACATACGTCGGCTTGTCACTGTCCAACCCATCCTTTGCTCGCTATTCTGACCCCCGGCCGGGACCATCCCGACTAGCGTGGCTGTTGCGACTTGTGATGCAAGGAGAAGTGGTTAGTATAAAGTACATACATACCATAAAACGGCATGTATGATTTCTGCTTCTCTTTCGCCGTATGTGTGCTCATGCTAGAGAGAAGGGAGACTCCGGTGGCCCCCCATTGACCATGTACTTCATCGGCCGTCGGCCGTGTGCCATCCCATCGTATTTCGGAGGACTCTCGCGTGAGAAACACCGGAAAAGTGGTAGTCAAACCCAAGAGGCTGTGTGGTGAGATAACTTTTACGATGTTCGCCATTTTTAGCGTGCCGCCGGCCGGCGAGTCCCCTATGCCGCCACCAAAACTTGACTGTGCCGCCATGAATATCCCCTCTGTCTCAACTCGTGCGGCGTTGCTGGATTCTCGGCATCACACCTTTATGTCGGGTACCCACTCTTGACTGGATCGTGCCGGCTCGTCTCCAAACAGCTCTCTCCCAACTTTGCTTGGGGAAGAGCGTCGCATTCGAAGGGCGGGTCTCTTTTCGGCTGGCGTACATTTTTTTGCAAACAACATTCGGCACTCGGTATGGAGAGGTTGATGGGAGACGGGTTCCACAACTCTTCTGTACGGCGAACCTGCCGTAGGAGGTGGGCCAGTAGCGGCACATCTTTTCGTCTCTCGTCGCAACCTTAACAGCGAAAAGCGCAGGAGTCAACGCAGTTCTCCTCTCACAAGCGTTTTGTTGAGAGCAAGCCGTGGCATTGACAACAAATCCTGTCAAAACCGAGTCAGCAGCAGCGAAGACGCCGAGTGGAGCCGGAACGGAAGGACGTCATTAGCCGGATCTGACGCAATAGCCTGACGCTGGAGCCGAAATTTATGTGTTTCGCCTTCCGGCTTTGCGCTCTCCTTCATTGGTTCTCCACATCTGCTATCGGCGTCGACCATACCTGTCGGCGTACGTTCGGCGCCTCTCACTTCCCAGTCCATCTTGCCAATACCCGTACGCTGTCCCGTGCTCGTACCGCTTCCGCTTTCCTTGCCTCTGGCTGCTCGCGAAGTGCAAGTCTGCGTGTACATTGTACAAAACGACGTTTTCTTTAGGCAGCCCCGTACACAGAATCCGCCAATTCACCGCAAGTGACCCGACAACATGACATGTCACCAGCGGTAAGCCGCACGACTTTATCACATGATTACGAAGCCGTGCGCACACCGCGCAACACCAGCACCCTGGAGTGAAAGAGGCTTGTGGACAACGGGATCCCTTGTTGTGTCGACTGTCGGCAACTCGATCTTGCCGGCTCGGCAGACTTGGTGTTGTGATTATCGCCAGGACATGTTCGATCCTTCCCGACTGCAAAAGATATATGCTGGCCCTTTCGACACCCGACTGTCGATCTTTCCTCGCTGCTCCTTCTGAAATTTGCAGTCGTTGTCCAAGTCACATCCACCGTTCCTCATTTACTCGACAAGCGACAGGCACTACCAGCGGGATATATCCATCTGGCTACCTCCAACTCCACTGCGCTAGCAGAGAGCATGATACAAAGTGGACAAAAAGCTACGGATGGATGCCGCAATCACGACCCACCTCCGGATCATCATTCGCAATCGCATTCCTCACGCTCTGGACAAAATAATCGCACAGCAGATCAAAACGAACACCAGAGGATCAACAATCAAGCTAGGTCACCTCCATCTTTTGACTCTTCGCTGTCTCGTCGCGCCGCGCCATTTTCTGCACACTCGCCATCATTCACAAGCAGCGGCGACGACGCGAGCCCCAGCGCCGAGGAGCAGACCAGTACCAGTGTAGACAGCATGGCGACCGAAGCATCTCTCTCGACGCTCAAGCTCGCCAGACAGCAGCCGTCCGCGCATTCACCGTCCAAGTGGCCGGCGAGCTTCACAGCACTGTCGTACGATACAGCCAGAGCAGTCGATGGTTCCGCTTCGACCCCACCAATGCTGCCGCCCAGCGACACTGTCCCGAAAGACAGCTTTGCTGGAGGGCCATCCGCTTCTCGCGCTATGGAAAAAGCAAAAGAGACTTTCGGCACGCCAGCTCTAGATACTGACGCCCTTCGCATCGTCGACCTCTCTGCGATCAAGCTCGAAGGCCACGAGGACCCGCATCAGTGGTCCTACTCTTTCAAATGGATGACCGTGGCGATTGTCTCACTCATGGGGTTCATCTCGCCCATGGGCTCTTCTATCATCGTCCCAGGCTCCAAGCTTATCGATTTGGAGTTCAACCTGGACTCTCGCACCTTATCCATCATACCTGTCAGCACGTATGTCATCGGCCTTGCGTTCGGGCCATTCGTCTTTGCGCCGGCATCCGAGCTGATCGGTCGCAAGCCAGTGTACGTCAGCACGAGCATTGTGTTTGTAATGTTCAATATCGCGACTGCCGTTGCGCCAACCTATGTTGGCTTAAACATTCTGCGCCTCTTGGCCGGCGCGTTCGGCAGCACCGGACCGACATTGGGCAGCGGCTCCATCGGGGACATGTTCTCGCCAAAGGAGAGGGGCAAAGCTGTTTCGCTTTACGGCCTTGGTCCGTTACTCGGGCCGGTCGTGGGGAACCTGATCGGAGGATTTATTGTGCAAGGATCGCTCAGCTGGCGGTGGCTGCTTTGGACGTTAACTATTGTGAGTGTACCTTGCTTATGCGTCAGCACAAAGAGCCTCGCTGACGCGCCTGCGTGTTTCTCGCTCGCACAACCCAGTTTTCCGGAATCATCTGCCTCATCGTCACCTTTTGCCTCAACGAAACATACGGGCCAGTCTTGCTTGCACGCAAGCGCAGTCGCATCCGCAAGCAAATGCTCGCCGTTTCCGTCGCACAGTCATATGCTGCGACAGGATCCAACTCTGACGCACCCGCGACCAAAATTTCGCGATTCGCGGCAATCGTCGACAAGTCGAAGCGCGCGGCGCTGAAATGCATGCGGCCGTCGGCCGATGCGAAGGCCAAGTTCAAGCTCGCCATCACCCGCCCGTGCCGATTACTGTTCACCAATCCAATCTGTGCCATCTTCAGCGTCTACATGGGTTTCGTGTACGGCGAAATTTTCATCTTCCTCACGCAGCATCCGCTACTCTTCCAGCGGCGCGACGGTGGGCCAGGCGGACGGGAAGCTGGCCCGCCCGGACTACTGCGTCTGCCGACGTACAATTGGAGCGCAGGCGCAGCTGGATTATCCTATCTCGGCCTGGGTGTCGGCTTTCTCAGCGCTATGCTCATCAACGCCATGTTCAACGACGTCCTCTACTGCCGACTCGTCGCCAGCAATGGGCGACTGGGCTGGTACATTATCTTCTCGAATGCACGCGAGATCGAGGCAAAACTGGCGGCTAAGGATGCGGCAAAGGCTCTGCAAGCACAAGGCGGTGCTGGTACCGAAGTTCGGGCTCTGGAGGCTGCTGTCTTGCATCCTGGGGCGCAAGCAGACGCGGTTGCCGCCTCTGATGAGAAGTTCACGGGGATATGTGCAGCGAGCAGAGAGGTCAAACCGATAGAAGGCGCACCCGTCTGTCCGAGCATGGCGAAAGATCCGCTATCACCGTCCGCCGCCACGGCCCCTAAGAAGGGCAAACCGGAGTACCGCCTGCCGTTCTGCCTGGTTGGGATGCTCATCCTCCCCGCGGCTCTGCTCATGTTTGGCTGGGCAGCGGACCAGCGGCTGCACTGGTCGCTGCCGCTACTGGGCTCGCTGCTGACGGGCATGTCAACGATCTTGTGCTTCCAGACGATCCTGGTCTATCTCGTCGACGCGTTCGTACCGTACAGCGCGAGCGCGACTGCGTGCTGCGTGCTCGTGCGCAGCCTGCTCGCGGCGGTGTTCCCCCTGTTCGCGGAGAGCCTGTACACCAGCCTGGGTTTCGGGTGGGGGTCGACGCTGCTCGCGCTTGTCGGACTTCTCGGCGTGCCTGTCCCGATCGTCCTGTTCAGGTTCGGCGAGGCATTACGGTGAGTGTGCGCCGTGGGCTTGTGTTCGGGGTGCTGCCATTCGCTGTGCATTGTAGCTGACCCTCATTTTTTTCATCGGCTGTGACTCGACTCTTGCTTACAACAGGACTCGCTACAAGTTCAACGGTTGAGCTACCTTGCGCGTTTCGCCGCGTCGTGTCGCGTTGCGTCGCACATGCGTGTGTGCCATTACAGTGTCCAATTGCACCCTGTGTTGTACTTTTCTCCGTCTGTAACATCTCCGAATACAAACATCCTAGATCTCGCCCTCGCTGCTTCGCTCTCATAGGTCGTTCCCGTATGTGGGAAAGGGTCCGGCTTGCGACGGGGGCGCCTCGTACGGCAAAGAGGGAGGGCACGTGAGAATGGATTGCGCTCCCTGCTGGAACCACAGGTGCGTGGTGCGGGCAGGGAAGGCAAAAGCAGTGTCGGGCATGTACGCACGCCTGTAAAACGCAGAAAATGACGCGAAACATTCGATGCGAGTAGGGAAAGGACAAGGACCGGTTCGGATGCGATGCAATTGCAAAATGTACCGCGTCCACGCTCGTGTGGACGATGCATGTACATTTGCATATAAATATATGTACCTCTGTATGTACGTATTTTTGGGTGTATAGATGGATGGATGTCGGCATGGCATGCATGGCTGAAGCCGCCGCGACACGCTGCTCTCGGTCACTCAGACTGTCAGCGCTGCGCTGCCCCACCCCAGGCCGGCGGTGACGCGGAGGGTGTCGCGTGTGCGCATGAGCGCCTTGCCCTTCTCGTTGCGGCCCCTGTAATTACCCGTGAGGCTGCCGTGGCCGAGAGCGAGGCCGCTGCCCCAGAAGACCTCGTTGGGCGCGGCCTCGATGAGGCACGCATCGCCCGTCTGCAGCAGTTGGTCACGCAGGACCGAGTGCTGGGTGAACTTCAGCAGCAAGATCTGCCGCATCGATGCGACGTTGATCCCGTCGCGGATCCAACCGGGGCGCACCTGTTGCACGTGCGTGCGCGCCAGGCGCAGCGCTGCGTTCGGCGACGGCGCCTTGCGGATGCGCGCGGCCAGATCCGGCCGGTGTGGGAACTTGGACGCTTGGAAGAGGTGCTCTATGCGAGCGGAGGGAAGATGCATGCCCTTCGGCGTCAGTGTCCGCCTACGCGCGGATCGCGAAGCGGTTCATCTGTACACACCAGCAGTAGGATACTTGACGCCGTCGAGCACGACGGCATGCTCGCTGGAATTGCTGAGCCAGAAGTACGGCGCGCCTTGGTGGTAGAACTCGATGGCGTCTAGGATGCGACCTTTCCCTTGATCTTGCGCATTCTCTTCGTCGGTGTTGGCGTCGCCGTCGTCCCCCTTGCTCGACGCAGACACGTCCGCGCGCCACGCGACGGTGCGCTGCTTCGCCCCGCCCGACGGCGGTATCGGGCCGTCTCTGCGCACGGCTGCGCGATCAGCATCTGCGTCTGTGCTGCCATTCAGGCGCGGCTGTTGCTGCTGCGAGCCGCCGTCCCAGCCGTTGGCGCCGGGCGAGGGCCCGGCGAGTGACGTGCGGCGCGAGCCAGGCAGCGAGACGACGCCGGCGCCCTTTTCCCTGCTTAAAGAAGCAGAAGACGCCTCGTCCGCGTCTGCCGCTGGTGGTGGTGGTGGTGTTGTTTGGTCTGTGCGCTGCGCGCGCTCATCCTGCTGCTGGGCTGAGGAGGAGGGGGAGGGCTCAATGTCGTCGGCGGCGCGGCGGGAATGCAGCGCAGAGGATGTGATGCGCAGATTTGCGCCAGGAGAGAAGAGGCTGCGCGACGCTGATAGAGTGTGTGAAGTAGACGTGCTAGCTGCGCCATTCTGTGAGGCGTCTGTGTGTACTTGCTCTGCCGGCGGAGGGGAAGACGGGTGCGTGTCGCCGGCGACGGTGGAGGTGGCTCGTCGCTTGCCCTTGAAGATGCGCGAGATGGACTTGACGGTAGACATGCTTCTCCCAACCCTTGCTCTACTCACGAGTCTTTGCACATGGGGTGGGCCAAACGACGCTGGAAGAAGTAGCAGAATGTATTATGTACGTAGCACGGGTGCAGGGGGCGAGGTGCCTGCGATGAGCAAGGGCGAGCGTGATGAGAGTGACTAAAGATGAGAAGGGTTGGGGCGTTGTACATTTATTCGTCATTCCAGCAGGCCCGGCCCATCCGGGCCGGGCCTGCTGGACCGGACGAACGCATAGACCCACACACAACGGCCGCGGCTAAGAACGAGGACGACGAAGCGAAATGGACTTTGCCGTGCGTTGATGTGGGGGCGACCAGGAGATGGTGAGAACGAGCATTTGGAGTCGAGCACACCATTCTGCGCCTTGCCGTGTCCGTGTCGATGGCGCCATCGCAGCCCCAGTCCTTTCTTTCTTTCCACGATCAGCACATTTAAAAAAGAATGGGGTGGGTTCCGGCGACCTGGTTCGCCCGGTTGGAAAGATGGTCGATGACATCAAAGCAGCTGTCTCTTAAGCACACCCATGCAGCATATTGACGAGGTGAACCTTGTCTTGCCCTTTTCGCTCTTCAGTCTGGCTATACATGGGACAAGCACCCTCTCTATCCTCCTCCCCACCCCTGCTGAGCAGTCCGCAGCAGCGCCAGCAGAATCAAAATCACCGGCATGCCGTCCATGCCCACCGCCTCGTCCTCCGCGCCGCTTGCGCCGCTGCTTGCTCTCGGGCCGCACCTTCCCTCTTCCTCTTCCATACCCTCTTCGTATATGGCCATCACCAGCAGCATCGCGTGGCCCGTTGCAGCTCACGCTCTCGACGGCGGCGGCCAGAACCCGCCGCAGGGCGTTCTCCTCCTCCTTGCCCTCTCTCACCTGCTCGGATGGTCCTACACGGCCGCTTGGGGCCTCTCCTTCCTCCCCCAGATCCTCCTCAACGCCCGCCGCCACTCCGTCACCGGCATAAGCATCGACTTTGTCGCGCTCAACCTCGTCGGCTTTGCTGCGTACGCTGCCTACAACCTCGCCTTTCTCGCCAGCAACACCGTTCGCCGCGAGTACCGCGAGCGCCACGGCGGCGTCGACAATGTCGTCAGGTGAGCAACTTCATCTATCTCCCTCTCCCCCACTCTCCCTCTCCTTGACAACCCCCCGGTCCCTCAGATGGAACGACGCGGCCTTTGCCGTGTGGGCGCTGCTCTGCGCGAGCATCCAACTGGGCCAAGTGTACATGTACAAGCGCGCAGCGAGCCAGCGCCTGTCGCACTTCAACACACTCGTCCTGTACGCGATAGGCGCACTCGTGCTCGGCAGCTCCCTACTCTGCGCCAGCGGCGGCGAGGAACGGCTGCAGTGGCTCGACGTCGTCACCGGCTTCGGCTATATCAAGCTGTGGATCTCGCTGAGCAAGTACATTCCCCAGCTCCGCGTCAACGCCGCACGCCGCTCCACGCGTGGCTTCAGCATCCACAACGTCCTCCTCGACGCCGCCGGCGGCACGCTCAGCCTCGCGCAGCTCGCCCTCGACGCTCGCCTCAGCGGCGACCCGGCCGCGCTCACCGGCGACTCTGCCAAACTCGGCCTCGCGATCATCAGCCTTGCCATGGACGCTGCGCTCTGCGTGCAGCACTACGCCCTGTACGGCCCCCACGAGAGCCCGCTCATCCGCATGCACGAGTCCGCCGACGAGGAAGGCGGAAGCGAGCATGCTGGCGAGGCGCCGGCGCTGGCGCCGGCATCGACCGCCGATACGGAACGCACACCCCTGCTCGTCGCATCGTCCGACCGGCGGTGACATCCGTCTGCGGCGTGTACCACAGTGCTTCCGCGCCCGTACATCCAGACCTCTCGTTCTGTGTATCAGAGATATTCCTTGCCAATAAGCAGAGCATACACAGATGCACGACAACACGAGGCTATGATGGAGAGTTCTAGCCGCACAGCATGTACAGTGGCTGGCGCTGGTCGAACTCAGAAGTGGCGCTCTGCATCGAGTGAAGCAAGAGTGCCGCGTCAGCACGCACGCACACCCTGACTGTGCCTCGCACGGACGAACCCGGTCCCACTCACCGATCGGTTTGATGATCCTGCCCGGCTTACTAACCACGCGTGGCAGTGTCATCTTCTGGTGCTGCGTCAGCGTGTTCCACTCGGCTCCGACGGGCGTGCGCATTGCCAGTTCGTACTGCGCCGCGCTTGTGTACGGGAACGGCAGGTCCGCCGGGCGGTACTTTTCCGCCTTCTTGTCACGCCGCTGGTTGATGATGACGTTGTCCATGCCCGCGTCCTTACGTTGCGACGGGTTGAGCCCGGGGACATGCCTGACGAACCTCCTTGCCGTGTTCTTCTTGGCCGCATCGCGCGCGCTCTTGCTCTTCCGCACACCCTTGCCGCCCCAACTGCCCCAACCCGCCAGCGTCACGTCCTCCTCGCGCGGCGCCTCCGCCTCGATGAGCGCTGCTTTCTCCGCTGCAAACTCGGCCGCGACGTCGTCCCCCGCAAACGCCTCGGCGACCAGCTCGTGCTGCTGCAGTGCGCCTGCATTGCGTGCGCCGCTCCCGTTCCGCCCGCCCACGGCGACTTCCCGCGCGGCATAGCCCGAGTCAGAATCGCTCCCATCATCACCTTCCTCATCACCCGAGCCGCCGGCAGCCGCACCAGACGCCGCCGCCGCTCCGCTCTTCCGGCCTCTCTTTCGCTTGCGCACCTTCTTCGCCTCCTCGCCCGCAAGGCAGCTGTCCACACCGAGCTGCGCATGCGGGTCGATCTCCAGCGCGGCATCGTCCAGCTCAGCGAGTCGCGCATCGTCGCCGCGGCTCTTGTGCCGCGCAAGCTTGTTGGCTGACTTGCTCTCCGCGCTGCTCATCTTGCCGACCGTAGCCTCGTTGCGTTTCTTTGACAGCTTGCTGTGACTCGACGAAGAGGCTACGGACCCCGCGCCAGTCAGCATGCTCAGCCACGGGTTGGCGTTCGCTTCATCCGTAACGCCATCGACGTCCTTGTTGTTGACCGTGCCATCAACTGCTGCCGAGCTTCCAATCGCAAAGCTGACGCTTTTGGAGGGCAAAACGGACTCAAAGGTCCGCCCATCAGCAGCGTGCCCTTCTGCCTTGTCCTCTATCACCTTATTGCCATCTTGAACAGCCTGAATTGATGATGTCCCAGCCTGGCCTTTGATCTGGGTGTTGCCATAGACGGCACGGCCCCCGTTGGACGCCAACTTGATGACCGACGCTTTCCTGAATGCGCCCTCCCTATCGCCTTCATCCTCCGCTCCTTCGAGCTCACGTTTGAACTCCTCCGCCATCTGCCTTGCTTGCTGCCTCTCGCGCTCCCTGGCATCCTTCATGAACTTCATACCTAGGAGGCCTTTCCCTTTCTTCGAGCTTCCTTCGCCCGCCATCTCGGCCTCGTCCGCGGCATCCTGCGCATTACCTGATTCCTCGAGCGTAGCCAGCTCGTCGAAGGCGCGATCGCGGATCGCGTCCTCGTCCTCGCTATCGCTGCCCGCCTGCCCTGCACCGTCATAGTCATACTCGTCACTGTCTTCGTCGGAGCCGACGCCATGGATTTTCTTGCGCAGCTCGTCTCCTTGCGATAGCTGATCCTGCAGTGCCTGTCTCGCGTCAGCCGGCAACTCGTGTCGACCGAGCATCGCCTTGGCCCATTTGCCCTGATTCTTGTGTTTCAGCGTCGCACGCTCCAGCGCGCGCCTGCGCTCCGCCGCCAACCGCTCCCCATTCTCGTCACCATCGTCGCCAGCTTCAAGGTCCACCTCGCCGCCTTCCGGAAGCATGCCAAGCTCGCGCATCTTCTCCTTCATCCGCTCCTTCTCCTTGCGATGGATCTTGCGATATGTCTTGCTCTTGATCTTGCTCACACGCTTCGCTTTTTGCTCGGCGCGGAACATGAGCTCCCGCATCCTGCGCAGTTCGGCTTGCCTCCGCTTGACTTCCGCAGGATCCATCTGTTTGAGCTGCAGCTCTTCGTCCTTCTTGAGCTGCTTCTCACTCATACCACCTTCTTGAAGCAGTTGCGCAACTTGCGCCTCGAGAGAATCCCTCTCGAGTGGGATGGCCGAGCCAGGCTTGAAGGAGCTGATAAGCGCAGATGTCGAAGCCTTTTTTTCCGGCTTGCTCTGCAGGGGAAATGAGAGGTGCTGGGCTTCGCGTAGGCGTTTTATCGTCGGCTGCCAGCCCTGAACGTCCGACTTGGTTACCTCATACGCCGCGCTACGTTCCAGGCGATCTTGCACGACGGATGGGAGCGGCGCAGCGAGTGTGCCAGCATTCTTGCGCGACGCCTTCACCTCTTTCCCGTTTGCTGCGGCTGACGGGGCAGCGGCGAGCGCACGGGCGCTTGCACGAAAGGCTGACATCCCCTTCTGGTCTGCGATTGGCGCGAGAAGGTCTTCAACTGTAATCCTCTGCCGGGACCCACTCGTTGCTTCTTCTTGAAAGTTGAAAAAATCGTCATGGTCGGCTCGCTGTCGCTTGTGCATGTCTTCTGCGTCGCTGTCCACCTGGTTATCCGACGACCTTTTCTTCGATGCAGTGGCAATTTCGTTCATCTTCGCAAGCAGTGTATCGTCTTCATCGCCCTCATCTTCTGATTCATCACCATCGTCCTCTTCTTCACTGCTGCCGCCTTCTTCGCTTCCCGCGCCGTCAAGCATCTTCGAGAGGTCCATCATGTCGTCATCCTCATCCTCGTCACCTTCATCCTCTTCCTTCTCACACCCGTCCTCGTCTGTGTCCTCTGCCTCAGCTTTCCGGTATCCTTTCCCCTTGCGATAAACCTTCCCCAAGTGCTTCTTCGAGCTGCCAGAGAACTTCCAATCAGCAAAGCGATCTTCGTCGCTTTCTACGAAAGCCTCGTCGCTGTCAATGTCGGAATCGTGTTCTTCGAAATTCGGCGCTGCTGGTCCTGTGTCGTCATCGAATACCTTGGGCAGCCGAGATTGAATGTCGTCGTCGCCATCTGAGTCACCCTCGGAGCTAGTGATCTCCTCGTCATCGCCGTCCCGGCGTTTTTGCGAGCGACGTTTCGGAGCTGCGGCATCTGCCATTCCATCGGACGCCATTGCCCGTCGGTGAACCTTGCCGCGCCCTTTGAGGCTACCGTTCGCCTCCTGCTCGGCCGTTGCAAAGTCGTAGACATCGTGAATGCTGCTTGGACCTTTGCCAGACAAAGAGGATTTGCGCTGTTGGCGAGCAAGTGCTTGTGCCGCGTTGTACGCTTTGCCCCCGCCTCCACCTCCACGCCGTGCGCTACTACCACTAAATTCGCGAACCATTTTCACGTCTGAGAAGGACCAGAATCTATGCAATCACCTCTCATGCCGCGGGTTACGTCTTCTTTCGACCTAAACATGGATCAACCTGAGAGGCAGCATGTGAAGTCCAAACCGTGCAGCTGAGTTACGACTTGGTTGGAAAAATGTGACCTGGCGAGTTCCGAGTTCCGTCACAGCGAAATTTCTACGAGAGAGAGAGCGAATGAGCGAGCCACGCGACGACGGGCTGTCACCTCTCATTCCTCTTCTGCATCTTTGCGTGCCCATTCCATTCCCATCTTTGCTCACATCCTTAGTGTAGTGGTGAAAGCATCGGCACACGTAAAGAACGGCCTAGAACCCTTTTGAAGCTTCGACAGGGACAACGGCGATCTTTCTCTTTTGACGTCCTTCTTTTGCCTGCCGCCCTTACCCTCGCAACCAAGATGCGTCCGCTAACAGAGGCAGAGACGACGGCCTTATTTGGAAAGTTGGCAAACTACATTGGTAAGAACATCGTGCATCTCATCGACCGAGAAGAGGACCCGCATGTCTTCCGTTTGCACCGAGATCGCGTGTATTACGTGTCTGAGGTGAACATCCTGCTCAGACATTGTCCGAACACACTACAGTGACATGAAACTGACATAATCAAGCAACCTTCGCCTTGCTTTTCCTCCTTTGTTCAAAATTTGTATCCTTACAGGCCAACATGCGCCTTGCCGTCTCCATCTCGCGGCCAAACCTCATGAGTCTCGGCGTTTGTTTCGGCAAGTTCAGCAAGACCGGAAAGTTCCGACTGCACGTTACATGTCTCGACTATCTGGCGCAATACGCCAAGTACAAGGTCTGGATCAAGCCGAATGGTGAGCTGCCGTTCCTGTATGGCAATCATGTGGTCAAGGCGCATCTGGGGAGGATCACGGATGACACACCGGAACATGCCGGCGTTGTCGTGCTCAGTATGAGCGGAGTTGCACTTGTAAGTCCATCGACTAGCATTGCATGCGGCATGCCCGACGCTTACACAGGCAACTATTTCCTTTCTTCAGGGATTTGGTGTAACAGCTCGATCGACAGTGGACACGCGGAAGTTAGATCCGACGTCAATCATCGTCTTCCACCAAGCGTAAGTCTTTGGAAAGGCGGCACTGATCATCGCTATGCCCCGAAAGTGCTGATCTCTTCCCATTCGTTCCTTCAGTGACGTGGGCGAGTATCTCCGAGATGAAGATACGCTCTTTTAGTCGCTGCGTCCCGCCGATCGCAAGCAATCGCAGTCTGCATTTTGTATTTGTAAATCAGTTGTACATCATTAGAGAACAAAATGACAACTCCACCAGGTCCGCGGGAATGGCTGCTCTTACGTTTGCACTCTTGCACATCCCGCAACGCATTTTAAACAATTAGTGGTTGTTGATTTGCGGGGCTACTATGACTACAAGACAGCCTCTCGTCGGCGTGAAAGAACCGCGGTATTGCATCGAAGGAAGAGGGAGAAAGAAAGAAAGAGAAGAGGATGAGGAACTTGGAAGCATCGAAAGAACAGATCCCCGAAAAAAAAGGTTGAAGACAAAGCGAAGAAAAGGACAGATAGACAAAAGCTGGGTATTGTTGCCCCCCCCCAAAGAGATGTGCGGTGTGAATACGGAGAGACACGACTTTGGCAGGCCAGGAAAGGAAAGGAATGGCGGTCGAGGTTGCAAGACGAAAGAACATCACTATGTCGAAGTTGACGTTAAGTTGAAGGCGTAACGAGGGACAAGTGATATCCTTTCAGAATAAAATGGAGGAAGGGACGGTGGCGTGGCACGGGACCGAAGAGCTCGTGCAAGTGATAGAAACAGCTCCATGAGCCTAGCGGCACCCTTGGGTGAGTGGCGAGTGATCCATTTATCGTCTTCTTTTGTGTGAGTGGTTGTGCGTCTTGTGCAAGCATACGTGGGATGGAATGGGTGATTGATTTCATTTCGGTTCTTGCGTTGCGATGCGCCCCGGGTGGATCGACTGTCGCGCGCGGCCCCCACCCTTTCTCTTCTTTTTTCAACCTCACTTTGTATCAGCATACAGCGTCAACTTCTGTGCGCCGGTGCTGAGCCAATCTCTGAGATCCTCGTCGTCACTGAGGCGCATCATCGCGCTGCCGCCGGTATCGAGTGTCTCACGGTATCGCAGAACATTGATGTCGGCGCCCAATCGGTCCCGCACCTTCTCCATTAGCGCAGAGTGGGTCACAGACGGCGGCACGCGGATCGCGACGAGGTCGTCCGTCGCGCGATGGAAGATCTTGATCTTGATGAAGCCGGCGTTAGGGCCGGTATTGTGCGCGTTCGCTCCTGCACTCGCACCTGCACCTGTGCTCCCGGTCGAAGGTGTGCTGGCACCTCCCGCTCCGGGTAATGAGTCCTTCCGTCCAACAGTATTGCTGCTGCTCCCTGCACCTGACCAGCCAGCATGTGTCGAAGACGCACCGGAGCCTCGCGAACCGACTGTCGTCGCGGACTGATTTCGCGTCATTGAGTACTGCGGCTGCAGATAGGAGGACCCGCTTGGACCTGTCGCACCGCTACTTCGACCATCCGACCCAGACTGGGACATTCGATCCCGCTCGTCCATCTTCAAGCTCTCCACGCCTGCTGCCAGATCATTTGGCAGCACTGGGTTCGGGCCGACCGGCTGATCCTCAGCATATTTTCTGCAAAGAGCAAGGTCGAACAAGCCAAAAAGCCATGGCACGTGTCAGCTAGCTCCCCAAATCGGGTCTCTGGCAATGTAACACCCAACAACAGCGCTGATGTTGTCACTCACGATGTCCCATTGCTCTGGACGGTCTCAAGCATCGCTGCCGCCTGCACAACCTGCGCTGCTTCCTGGCCGAGCCCATCATCCGACGCGGGCGCCTCGCCGGCACCAGACGTTGGTATCACAGAGCAGTGATCGCCCGGCCGCGGCTCAAAAAAGAGGCGGATGAGCTCGGATCGCATAATGTACTCTGGTAGCGCGCAGAGCTGGTTGATGTAGAGATCCAGGTCGCCCCGTCGCTGCGCGGTGATCACGTCATCCACCTCCTCGAGCGGCCCAGGCATAAGCGGCAAGATGCGCTGCGTCGGATTGCCATTCGCGTCCGTCTCTCGCCCCGCTTCGGCGGGGAAGTGGTCGAGCAGGGCGATCTGGAACTCGTAAAAGTCCTCGTATAGGCGGTACAGGATCAGATCCCGCTCCTCGCCCTCGGGTGCCGTTGGCGCGCTGGGAGGCGCGTTAGCATTGCTCTGCGAGACGTGCGCTGCTTGGATGCGGAACCAGTAGTCGCCTTGCTCAAAGTGGAACGAGTCAACTGTGGCGGAAGAGATGATACCAGTGGGTAACGGCTCGCCAGGTGGTAAGCCAGGCGGAAGCTCTTGGTCGTCGCCCGCTTGCAGGTCCAAACTTCCTTGCTTGGGCGGCGGTAGTGGCGGCGGTTGATTGTTCGGAAACGATGGATCCATCGCGCCCATCCCATGATGCTCAAAGGACAGATCCATCGCTCCACCCGGGCCACTTCCCGCAGCTGGAGTTTGGAAGTCTAGTCTTCCCAGTGGGATAGCCGTATTCTTGTAGTCGGCTGTCATCTTCTTCCACTCCTCCACCTTGGGAATGACGCCCGTGGAAATGAGCTCGTTGACGTCCTCGATTGGTTGGCCGGTTGTGAGGTCCTTGATCTCCACATACGCCACGGGTATCAGGCCTGGCCCACCTAACCGGCCGATGGGCTTGGCGACGAACCATTCATAGTTGGACTGTGCGATGACGATGATAGACTCGCCCGCTTTGGCAGCGAGCTCATCCGTCCGCTCGGCTTCGAAATCATACTTGACGACCGCATAGAGGCCGCCGCCCGACTTTCCCGGCATTGCTGCCCCTGCCGCCCTGTCCAGATTCCCTGCTACTCCTGGCTGAGGCCCGCTGGCTGCAAGTGGGCCACGCGCGATGGTCGATGGCCCCGCTTGTCCCGACGCACCAGGCCGGTTGCTCCGCGTGATGACCTCAAAGTAGGCGGATGGCACGAGCCCTCTCGCGTTGGTCATCGGATTCGCCGCCTCGAACCAATCTGGGTTGCTGCTATCGCTAAGAACGTGAAAAAAGTCGCCCTTTTGGAAGGAGAGCTCCTGCGGCGCCCGCGATCGATATTCGCGCAGAGCCTTGATTACCATCTTTGGCGGCTGGATCGAAACGGCTGACTTGACGCCAGTGAACATGGCTGGCGTCCCTGTCCCTGGCTTGCCGCCGGACGAGCGGTCCTTGTTGAGGGAACGCCGGAAATCCTTGAGCCCCTTCATGATAGAGAGAAGTGGACGTGATCTATGATAGAGAGCCAATCGGTCGTGTTGAACAGAATTGCTCCTCTGTGAAGGTTGAGAGAAGCGCCTCCTTCGCTGCAGATCTGAAGAGACGCGACCGAGATCGGCCAAAATGATGGCTATCCCAGCTGCGTCCCGGCGTGAGCTCCACCGATGTTTGGAGGAGCGACGTGTTCTCAGCGTACTGAACAGCCTTGCAAGAAGCGTGTTTGCGCGGGGTGAAGAAGATGGCGGAAGTCTCGTCAGTCGCCCCCGGCCAAGTTCTGCGCCACGGTACCCCGTTGCGTGCTGGCTCCGATAACTGACGAGACGAATCACGCTGCTGGATGCTAGCGAGAGGACGGAGCAGCGAGGGCGGATGGGTGAGATGCTTCCATCGTCTGGCCATGAGGTTCCACTGTTAACACCAAATCTACGTGTGTACTTAGCCCTAGGACAATCATACTTGGGTATTGAGTGGAAAATCTTTCGCGTCAACGCTCTCTCTCCCTTCGTCCCCTGCCTGCGCTCTGGCGGCTCTTGTCCCATCGTCCAGTCATCGCCCAGCGCGAGAGTAGGGGGGGGAGGGGTTCTGACATTGGCAAAAAACGCGCTCATCACTCTTTGTCTCTTTGCCAGCTGGTCCACCAACTCTCCAGACTCTCTCAACTCACGGGCACTCATGCGTCAGCTCTTCCATCGTGCTCATGCAAGCTGTCTACAGCACTCGACATGACTGCCCTTCCGACCAATACGCACGCTGTGCAAGGAGCAGACCCTTCTCGGTGCAGAACATCGTCGATCGGGACCCGCCGACGAGCGACGAGTTATAATAGGCCGTGCAGTCCTCCCAAAGGTCTCTCGTTCTGTTCTTTTCCAATGCCCGCGCTGCTCTGTCCTGCGCCAATCGAAACGCTGAGCGAGCTGCTGCTGCGTGTCGGTGCCTCACGAAGATCGGTGGATGTATGCTGGACCGCGTCGCTGGACTCCCACGGAGACGTGCCTGAACTCTCTCGAACGGCCACTAGGTGTTCCTCGTCGACAGGGCGCATATCAGCAACCTATCGCCTGTTGCATCTCAATTCGCGCAGAGACGGCGTATCCGAACAACGTTGGCAAAACTCCACCAACAGCTGAGCGGCATGAACAAGCGGGTAGCGCGAGAACCCAGCTTCCTTGCATGCGATTCGACGTGGCGGCCCCTGATGTGACGTGCAAGTCTATGTCTTTTCTACGCTTCACTTGACCTCTCCGCTCTGCCTTACTTGTTTTTCTATCAATATCTGAGTATGCAACTTCTCCACCGCCTATAGTGATGGTCACTCCGCGTGCCACCGCGCTAAATCCTTCCCTGGCAGCATCGCATAGAGTCAGCTTAAATCACATGAGGCCGACGCCAGGCGCTCGCCCTGCGCTCTCATCTCTTTGCAACTTCACGTATGACAAAGCAACCGAAAGCGACACGCCCGTATCACTACATTTACCGACATGCGAGGTTTGTGTCGCAAGCTTTTGAAACACGTCTTGCACTCCTCTCCCTCCTATACTCTTCCTCTGCGACAGATTGCTGGGCGGCGTTTCTCAGTATATTCGCGCATTCTATCACGCAAGAAGGGGTTTATCCCGGCTGTCACCGCCGCCACCAAAGCAGTCGTGCCCAAAACCAGCAGTCGAGCCGCAGATGAGAGCTTCTCTTCTAGGCTTCGCCCCTTGCTTGTGAAGAACCCTAGGTCCTTCTACCAAGCTGGGAGTTGCGCATGAGCTGTCCATGTCTACAGGCCGCTCGGAGATACTTGCGGCTGACTTCTGGTGGGGGAAGTGGCCGACCATACAGAAGACGAAAGCATGTTTGAGTACGACTATATATAGCGCCTGCGTTGTACGCGTATGAGCGCAGCGCGCCACTAGCAAGTTGCGAAAGGTTGTGCATATACGTAAGGAATGTCGCTTGTTGATGAAAGACATTGCAAGAGGAAATACATCAGAGGCATTATATGTAGCCGTCGACGTTGTGGGTCAGAGATCCGCGGCCAGATCCCATAGTTGTATGTATATGTATGTTCAGATGGTCAACCGCGCATTAGCGTGCTTGGACGGGTGTGCTGCACAATGGACGTGCTGAACGCTATTCTATACGCGCTCGATTAACACGCTGAATGCTGACATGCTCGTCTGATGAATGATGAGCGATAGACAGATTAACGCTATTTGCCGATATTGATGTATTCATAACCGAAACCAAGTAATGAGTACTTGAGGTCTAAGAGTCTGAGGGATATTGGACGGGAAAGGATGTGGTTAGGATAACCTTGTTGAATGGCTTGCACCACAAATCGTGGTTGTGACTCGCGTGGTACGCTTGCTCAGTGGCGGGTAACCTTTGTCTTGTAGCGCGAGTACATATGGCGCCGGATAATGATAGCATGCGGAGTCCTGGAGGGTGCAGGGGTGCAGGCAGACGATTAGCGGCCAACATGATAAACACCGGAGACGAAAAGGCTCGGTTAAGGGCCGCAGAATGGCACAAGAGACAATGTTAGCAGGGTGGATCGCCAAGTTGGAAATAGGTGGGCCATACGTAGGAATCAAGACCTGTGGAGCAGCTTGAACCCCAGCGTGCTATGAACCTATGCAATGGGCTGTATCGACTCTCCACTCTTGCCAGTGTCGTCGTCGTCGCTTTCGTTTCAGGCCAGTGAAGCAAGACTTGGCACCACAAGATGAGACCGACGTTTATCGCATTAGCAAGAGGAGAGACCACAGACAATATACCAGAAGCCAAAGGAAACACTGCGCTGGAAACGAGCGTCGAATGGTGGACCACAGGAAGATTGAAGGACCCGGAGGCTCCGAGAAATAGCCGTTGGGGTGAGCTCCTCGCCTCCTTCCTGCTGGCTGTGAGTGAAACAGGAGCCAGTCGCTCGCAATGGAGCATGTCAGCAAATCCTTGATCAGCACGTGCAAACAATGGTTTCATTTGAGACAGGAACCGCCGTGTGGGTGGAGTCTAGTGTCTGGGTTCTGCGGGCCAGTGCTGCCAGACACTTGGCACAATTTGCAAGATTGGGCGAGCCACAGCACTGCGGCAGACCGGCAGCCTACGAATAATCGACGCGACTCGTGAATATGTAATCTCCAGTCGTTATATTGCCGACAGGTGCTGTCGCGGGCACAGCAACACTGTTGGAGTTTCTTTCAGTTTTTACCTTCATATGCCGCATGCTGTTGCTGCCGGTCGCCAATCTGTCTCGTTACATAGTACACAGAATGCGATCTCCTCAGCTCTGAACCCAGTGCTACTTTTTGCGGCAGTGCACATGACACGAGGGCGGGTGGCGTTGCAATACCAACCAGTTCGGTTATTGTTGCTGATAGCCGTATCCAAACTGAAACCGGGAATCGCAGCTGCAGTTTCTCTCAGTTCCGCTCAGCAGCAGCTCACGGCAAGTAGCGAATCCACATATAAGTGGCACTCCGAATGCGGACTGGAGCCTGCTGGAGCGATGTGTTGAATGGAAGAGGGTGTCATCATCGTTCGAGTATATTCCGCATTGAATCTTCTCTCCGAGTCGTCTCCGAGCCGCAAGCTGCCTAGCTGCAGTGATCGAGAGGCGGCAATCTGTGTGGCGGTGGACGCATGTGGAGCGATCGGCGGCTGTATGTAGCGCATCCCCCAGCACGTTTTTGCCCCAGTCTATGTGAACCACTATGTTCGACTGACAAACTTTCGTCCCACTGTGCTGCAAGCGTACAGTCCAGCCCATCGGCCCTGTGATTGCTCTGTCATTACTGTCGCTTTGCTGCCTTTTGCCGTGTACTGTACAACTCCATAGATTTCCGGGTTGACCCTGGGTGATCTCCAAGGCATCTTGCTTTCTTCTTGGTGTTGGCATCTAGCTATTGCCTGTCCAGGAGGATATATGTCATCACTTCCAAGCAGGTTCCAACGTCCGTCGTCCCCCTTCTTACCACCAAGTCTCGTGTTCCGTCCCCGTGCTCTCTTCTTCAGCCTCTCGCCCGCCCGCTCCGTCTCCTTGCACTCGGCCAACTATATCTGGCCGGCTCTATTCTCAAAGTCCCGGCGACGCCAAACCAACCCAAGTCGAAGATATCTCATATCAGACTCGCTTGACGCAAGCAAATCTGCTTAAATTCATACGCTCGTTACACCATCGTTTTCGACTAGAAGTCATTGCCTCTCGCCCGGATAGATCAGCCTCATCATCAATTAGCACACTTCTCTCAGTTTTTCGCAACTTTATCTAACCCACAATGCAACTCCAAGCCCTCATTCTCGCCGCCTTCGTGGCCAGCACGGCTTTTGCAGCCTCGGACGCCTCGAACGATGCCCTGAGCGGCGTCAAGCGCATGCACCGCCACCACGGCATGAGCCTCGAGTGCCGCAAGGATACCTCAAACAAAAACTCGACTCGTCTCGCTAGTGACAGCAACAGCGGCGACTGCATGAACTTCAGAACCGTCAAGAGAGCCAAGAGCGTCAAGAGCAGCACAAGCCAGTCGCATGCTGGCTCCAAGCTCGGTATCGCCACAGCCGACTACGGCATCGACTTCTCCAAGTTTACCTCCAGCAAGAAGGTTTCATGGATGTACGACTGGCAGGCGACGCCCAACGGCCAGACGCCTTCAAAAGGTCTCAAGAAGATCCCCGATGGTGTCTGGTGAGTTTGGCATTTCTTCTCCGCCAACTGTACCTATCTTCTGACACATGCCCTTCCACAGCTACTTCCCCATGCTCTGGGGCACCAAGAATGTGAAGGCCGGCAATGGTGCCCAGCGCTACTCGGACTTCAAGAAGTACATCGTGAACAACCCGAACTCGCCGCTACTGAAAAAGTGCCCCGATGGCTCGCCGCGCAAGATCATGATGTTCAACGAGGTGGATCTGGCGACGCAGGGCGGCATGACCGTCAGCGAAGCGTGTGCTATTGGTCGTCAGTACTTCCTTCCCCTCAAGCAGAACCACGGTGTCGAGATCATCGGCCCGAGCTCCATCTTGGGTAACTCGTGGTACAAGAGATTCCGCTCGCAGTGCCCGGACGTGTTCAAGGCGATTGACTACGACTCCGTGCACGACTACCAGACCGACCCACAGACGACGATTTGGACGTTCGAGGCCTGGCATGCCGAGTTCGGCAAACCACTTGCCATCACCGAGTACGGTGCTTATGACTACAACCACGGCGGCGGCGCACCGAGCAAGGCCAAGGCGCAGAAGTACGTCCAGGGCGTCATGGAGTGGGCCGAGAGCACAGACTACGTGAAGTTCGTCGCGCCATATGCCGTCCTGACGCACACCAACATCGGAAAGGTCAACGCGCTTGCCACCTCCAGCGGCCAACCCACCAAGCTGTGGAACATTGTCCTTAACGCCGTGAAGTCGTCATAAAGCTATGTCCCTGGTCTTGCAGCCGTCTACCTTTCGGATTTGTACCACCCCACGCGTGCCGTTCTGCATATCCTCTGCACGGTGAATTGACCCGTGCATTAAGACGTCCCACGTAGGTACCTTACCGTAGCTTGCAGCACAAAGCGAAGTCCGTAAACAGATAGTCTTCGTTCTTCATTCGCTCTTCAGTGATTCTTTTCACCGTCATACTCAGCTTTTTGTTTATTTTTTGTCTGATAATCACCACATTCTATGTTATAGATCTGCTTTGCTCTTTTCCTCTCCCATTTGCTGCAAGACTGCTGTGCTCCATAGTACAAGCGCAATCGCATGCGTGAGGTCTAGGACCACCTGTACTCAAGGTCGCCGACGAGGACGTTCCGAACGCCTTTAAATGGCTTGTACCCTTCGCCTTGCAGCGTGAGGCTATCGACTCGGACGCCCGACAAACCGTGCATGCCCACTTGAAACTGCACCGTGGCGCTGCTCGCGGGTCGGGGGGCGATGCTGTACGTCTCAAAGCTGCCCTTGGCACGTGCCAGCGATGAGCGACGTAAGGAGCCGATGCTCCAGCGGAAGACGTGCAGCGACGAGTCGTACATGAACGTCCCTGCGGACCCGACATCACGCTGAGCAGCGCTGCTGCTGCCCTCCCCGATGAGCACGGCATCGACGTTGGTTGCATCCTCTGGCAACTCGAACGACACGACGATCTCCTGCAGATGCCGGTCCTGCTGCAAGCGTGGCTCGATCTCGATCTCGAACTCGACCGTGCGCATCGCGCCGTCGCCATCTGGATCAAGATTAAGCAACCCGCCGCGCATCCAGCAGTGGCAGCTGAGCGGCGCGGCGTTTTCTAGGTTGCCTGCAGGTGACGACATCGGCGGCGGCAAAGAAGGGGAAGCGCCGGCGCCCCCTTGTTGTGCAGGCTCGAACAAGGCCACGCTGTGCGCATCGCCGACACGGAAGCTAGCGAGCTCGACGGAGCCGTCGGGCGGGATGAAGGAGAGAATCTGCTCCTGTTGCCATCTGCGCCCGCGCACGCACGGATGGAGAGACGCATCTCGCAGCAGCTCGGCTTTGCTGAGCGCGATGAGGATCTCGGGCATGCCTGGGTACAACCAAAGGAGTCCGTCACGCCCATTCAGCCGCAAGCAAGACGATGTGGAGCGCCGTTTTACCCCTATGTACGCACCTGACAATCGGCTGCGACAAACGACTGTAGCGTACAGATTTGCGCGGCGTAAGTGATCGTCGCGGCCAACGGTGCCTTCTAACCGCTCAACAACATCGATGTAGATCTCATTATTGCTGTAGCGCAGCGTTGGCATGCGCCAAGGCACTGGAGAGTTAATTGCTGCGTTGATGACTGCGGCCGCGGACGGGCCATGCTGAGCCGATAGACTTGAGAAGGGGTGGCCAGAGCCAAATTAATCAGACAAGAAGCGGAGCGAGAAGGAAAAGGAAAAGGCCGTTGTCAGCACCCATGGGCTCGAATCACGCGCAGCAGAGATGAAGTCGAAGTGAGATCAGAGATCCATGGAAGGCTTAAATATCTCCAACGGCAAGAAAATGCCAGGCAGTGGAATCCGCTAAGATAATTGGTATTTTTCATCTTATGGCTATCGCTAGCTAGCTTTGACCTCCACGAATGGTCTGAAATGAAAAGGAGAGAACACAGAGCACTTACCTGGCGAAGTGACACAAGCAGAGCATGAGCATGGGAGGCAAAAGGTGGGAAGCAAGTGAAATGGGTCAGTGCCTCGTCCAGCTCAGCTGACGTGTAAGAGTGAAATGCAACAGCGGGTGCGCTGAGAGCATCAGAAGTGGATAAGGAGTCTTCAAGAGAGCACCAAGCCCGGTGGCTCCACAACGGAAGCGGAGGGTGTATGCTCCAGTCCGAAAGAACACAGCGAAAAAAATATGCTTCATCCTTCAACCAAATATCGAAAAACGCTGTTGAAGTATGCACACCCCTCCTCCAACCCAGCAGGAGCTAGCTGGGGAGCCGACCGCGAGTCCGAGTCTTCCCAACTCTGTGCGCGCCGCCAGAAAGCCAGAGCCGCGCGAATCTCTGCTACTGCCAATGCCACTCACCTAGCGCCGAGCTTCTCCGCCCAGACCTCCGCCCGGCGCCTCCACCCACCCTGTTCGGCGGGGACGATTTCGCGGAGGATCATCTCGTCCGTGGTGAGTGGCCATGCGCCTCCATCGTCGAGAATCTCTTCGAGCAGCGCGTAGATGATGTCGAAGTTTGCCTTGATCGTTTCCGTTGTGAGCAAGTGCGCCTGGTTCGCCGATTGCACTTGCGAGGAGGAAGGCATCGGGGACACGTATGTGACAAGGAGGCGGATGAAGTGTGATAGGAATGTAAGCGGGAGAAGCGGCGGGACTTGACACATCCGGAATATGAACGACAGTCAGTCAGCACGCTAGCATGCATCAGCGGAAGTACAATCTATGGCTTGCTCGCTCACCCTCTGAAGATACCGGAATGAGGAAATGCAGGTCGTTGTGTCGCTTGTGTATCAAGCAGGTGCCACCCTCTTCCGACCGCGCTTCCAGTGGATCCCACAGATCCCCTTCATCCTCAGTTGTGCCATTTGGCGCAGGGGCTGCAGAGGATGGTGGAAGCTCCCCTTGTTGTTGTTGTTGTTGTTTTTGCCAAATATTTTCATGATCGCTCAAGGGCGCAGGTGTCGGCGCAAGCAAGTCGACCCGTGTGTCTTGTCTCTGATCTGCGCCGCTGGTGCCTGGCCGAAGACTATTTTCATCATTTGTCACGGAACAGCTTTGCCCTGACCCTCTCCATGGATTGCCCTCATTCGCACAGGCATTCAGCGGCGGTACTCCGTGGACCCACAGCACGGGCGGCACATCATCGAGGTTGAGGATCCTTGGCAGCTCGTAGTCGGTGGCTGGAAGCATCCGTTGCGCTAACATTCCATTTGGGTCGTCTTCCTCTTCTTCTCCAGCGTAACCATAGTCTTCCTCGGCTTCATCCCTGCCGAGAGGATCAGCCCCTTCGAGCGCGGCATTCTGGATGCTCTGCCCGGCAAACGCTTCTTGTAGTACGACGCTTCCAAACCAATCATCCCCAGAACCACCTTGTGCTGTCGTCGCCTTGCATTTTCCCTTGCCATTAACGGCCCGATCGGTCCGATGTGGACCTTTGTGAGCGGGCGCGACAGTTCGCCGAGGTCGGGCAAGCCGGGCATGTGCGCTGGTTTGTATTGCGTGGAGGACCTGAGCATTGAAGCGGTCTACATGGATACGGGCATATACAGCGCGCGCTCCACTGAAACCGCTGCCATTAGCGCTGGCGCCGGCGTCGCTATCCCCACTACTAGCGCTGTTCGCTCCATGCGAGGAAGAAGACGACGAGGAAGAGAAGCGAGACGTGATGAGCGGTCTGCCGTTGGAAGAGAGGATGATGAGGCCGTCCATGAAGCTCATCTCGAATGCCCTTCCTCCGTGTTTCCTTTGCACTGGTCGTGCCGCGTGTCTTCCTTTATCCCTTTCCTTCGAATGAGGGAATGTGCTGTAAACATCACCGCATCATGTCCAAAAGAGAGCTGCACGCGCAATTGAACTCAATCGCGTTTCGGTCGTCCAAACACCAGATGTCGACACAGCGCAAGCCGATGGCAGGACCACAGGTCAAAGAGGTTAAAGAACAACCCATCATCGGGACAGTCGAAGGTCGCGCTGCGCGTTGGCCCAGTTGCGACTCTCCCCAAAGGTAGGGTTGTTCCGCCCAGCTATGTTGTGGGCTCCCCAGTTCCCACTAGCTATGTGCGATGCTGGCGGAAAGGCGCCCCCCCTGTTGTGGCGCCCGTTCGGCGTCTGGGGTGGAGCGTCGAACAACACTTGTGACTTCACTTTGGCCGCGACATGCAACCAACAGCATCCTCAGCAGCAACAGCATATCCCTGTCTCCCCCTCCATTTGAACCGTGCTACCCGTTCGCCAAGCGAGTCCCACGCCCAGCGCACCTTATTTTTCGTTCTGTTCGCAGCAAGTAACCCGCAGACATGTCGTCCTTCTTCGGGTGAGTCCTTCCGACGCGTCGCAGGCTTCGATGCGTGTTTGAACGGCGAAATGTCCAGCAAGTGCCTCCCATCCGAACCTTGTCATGCGTCGAGCCACGTGTGCTGGATAGCGCATACTCCGAAGCGTCTGTAGAAAAGATACAGGTTGAACTGACTGCTCCTCGATTTCACCGTTGTGCCACTGCTCTCATGACGGACATTGCCGCAGTCTGTCTAAGACCAAGACCTTCAAACCAAAGCGCAATATACCCGAGGGAACCAAACAATAGTAAACTTTTTACAGGTGCTGTCGCTCTTGCAGACCACCGACTGATTGCGCTTGCACTTTCTCCCACTTCTCCGGTCTGTGACGTTCAATAGCCAACTCAAACGTTATGCTGAAGCGACACTCGGCAGTGGTAACCTCCGCGTCGCCGTGGTACTCCCTGAGGGCGAAGACTTGAATGAATGGCTGGCCGTCAACAGTGAGTAAACCAGTTTGACAGTCCGACAGGAAGCAGAGCGTGGTATTCTGTGCCACCATGCCCGGGTATGCCCTTGTGGAAAGTGGCAGCCAAGCCAAGCGAGCTAACGATGCCGTACTTGCACATTGTGACGCACTCCCTTAAACTCCCCTTAAATCCCTTTCGCAGCTGTTGACTTCTTCAATCACCTCAATATGCTCTACGGAACTATCACAGAATTCGTACGTATAAAGGAGTCCCGCTTCGTCGATTATTCTGGACACGAGTACTGATGGGGCCGTTCATCCCTTTCTCTCTTCGCGTCGCAGTGCACGCCACAAGAATGCCCGACGATGTCGGCAGGACCGCGGTTCGAATACCACTGGCAAGATCCGACCGTACCAGAGTATAAAAAGCCGACCAAGATGAGCGCGCCGGACTACGTCGACTGTCTCATGAGCTGGGTACAGGCTCAGCTTGACGATGATAGCGTTTTCCCTAGCAAGATTGGTGAGTCGGATTGTTGGGGTGGAGTAGTGCTTGGGATGAAGCAAAGGGTTAGAAAGGGGTATATACGTGGAATTGGAACCGGCAGAAAAGGTGAGGAAAGCAAAAGCAAGCACGGTTGGCTAACGATCGACACATTCTATACCCAGGCGTACCCTTTCCGAAAGACTTTCAAGCACGAGTCAAAGCAATCATGAGGCGTCTCGGGCGTATCTACGTGAGTCTCCACGCGTGCTGTTCTTTAGATGAGACCCGAGGTCGTGGCTCTCACCTTTAAGATCGAACCTGACCATGCAAAATGGTTGCCGGTGGAAACAGTACCACCTTTACTCTTCGCATTTCCACCAAATTTGCGCGCTCTCCATCGAGGCACATCTAAACACGTCCTATCGCCACTTCCTGCTATTCGTCAACGAATTTGGGCTGATAGACCCCAAGGAGATGGCCCCACTCGCCGAGCTGAACGAGGCGATCTTGGCGGATAGCTAGAGCGCGCAGGACAGAGCTGCGCGCTGACAAGCATGAGCGGCAGCATGCGTTGCCTCACCTCACGTCGACCCTCTCCAACGAGCCACGCACTTGTCTTCTATTCTGCAGGGAGGATCCTTCGCCTCCACTCCACGGCTTCTACAGTTACTCTCGAGCCTCTCCCACAATATCCGTCCCTGTCTATGTAAATTGTCCAAGTCCACTGTACTGCAAATGTGTTCTACATTGTAACTGTCTCCGACTTACATTACGTCGCAGCCTGCGAGCCGCAGAAATGTGCGCAGACTATCAGGTAGCAGAGGGTCGCCGGGGGCGGGGGTATTCAAACACCCAAAACGCGGATTGGACCGGCTCTACAATACATGTGTGGTTCTACAAGGCCACTGCGGTCGGCAATCGTGCCAACAGGAATATGGTTACAGGTACATAAGCGCTTCATTTGTAGTGCCTTGCATCGCTTGGCGAAGGGATGAGTCGGGATCCGGGAAGGAGAGGCAAAGGATGAAAGACTTTTGCGATGCTGATGAGACGGCGGGCAAGATTGGAAGGAGTGTGAAGCGATGAGCCGTAACCGCGACTGGACGCGGCTGCCGCTCGTCCAGGAACACGTCATGAGGCCACGCTACGTGGAGCTAGAGTTGCTCGGCTTCAGAGGTTCACCCAGAACTTAAAGAGGTCCGTCGGGTTGCCCGTGACGGTGGACAAGCGGTTGACGGGGTTGATGTTCAGCTTCTCTAGTACGGCATAATATGCATCTGTTGCAAAGGGAGGTTGTGCCAACGTCACGATGGATCAGCCGCCTGAGTCGCAACTTGGAGTCAAGGATAAGAAACACGTGGTGCTGTTACAGAGATACTCACATCCCTTGACATAGTCTGCATCATCGGCAAAGTTGGAAGTACGCTTGAGGAAATCATACGCCTGCCCAAGAGTCGGCGGGCCAGAGCCATCAAAGTTCATGCACCCGATCTCGGTGATCCAAATGTCCTTTCCAAACGTCTGGTGCCAATCTTTGATGTACTTGATCGCGGTGTCTGGGTTGGTGCCATAGTAGTGCACAGCATCGGCGTCAATCTTGCGATACACGTCGGGGCAACTCTTTTTGAACTCTTTCGTCCACTTCTTGCCGTCCGGCGCGCTGGTTGTCGACGGTCCGATGAGGTACCAGCCGTCTTCGTCCTTGAGCGGGATGATGTATTTGCGGTACAAGTCGCATGCTTCTGCAGGCGTCATCTTGCCTTGGCCGACTTGATTCACTTCGTTCGGTCCCATGGCAACTTTGGCCTTGTTTTGCCGGGCATGGCGGTCATTCAACACATGTTTCTTCCATTCGGCGATCCGCTTCCTCTCCTTGCCCCACAACATTGGGAAGTACTGAATGTCGTCCGGGAGCCACCACTTGCCGTCCTTCAGCGGCATGGAGGCAGACCAGCTGTAGAGCCAGCTCATTGATTTCTTGAACTTGCCAACGTCGACGTACGGTCCGTTTGCCCAACACAGACCGTTCTTGTTCCCCTTGCTGCTGAATCGATGGGACGAGGACGAAGCGCCAGTGCTGTTGTGACGGTGTCTTGACGAAGAAGAGTCCCAGAGCTCCTCCCCTTTGTTCGACTTGATCTTCTTGCTGCCTTTGATATGATGGTGACGGCACGAGTTACTGCCGCGCTTGTGCATCGTAAGCGAGTGCGAGCGCTGACGGAACTGTAGGATGGTATCCATCTCGCGCCGATTGAGCGAGGACGAACTGGCTTCATCGAGGAAGTAGGTCGTCGCTGTTACCAGCGCTGAGCTCGTCACGAGCGCCGAGATCAGGATGTTGAGTGCGCGCATCTCGCTAATGAGCTCTGCCCGAAAATTCTTGAGATATGGTTATGGATGAATGATAGTGATAAAAAGGAAGGAAAGATGGTTTGAGTAGTAATAGCTTGACACTGGACATTTGCATCTGATCCCTGACGCCTGACATTGGACGATCGACTGAGTGACAGTCCTTAGATATCAAGTTTGCCAGCCAGTATTTTGCAATCGGGGTAGTCAGCGGGAAAAGAAATGGGACGGATCTTTTCAAATGCGGCAGCCAAGAACCGGCGAGCATATGATCAAGAGGATACGCAGCATACAGCAGGCTGGTGAATAAGGCTTGCAATTTGACGGGTTTTGTGTTGTTCCAAGTGGCCAACGCAGATCGGGATTCTGGAGAGATCTTGGCAATGTTGCCGTTGCAAAAGGCGATGGCTATAGAAAGCCGCAGCATCGTTTACTTGGCTAGGGTGGGTCATGAGCGAGTCAAAGCAGAGGTTAGGCCGACTTAATTGTCAAGAGATCTGCCGAGCCGAAGACGACGTATCACCACAAACGAGCGGAGTGATATGAACGTGGTATGTATGCGCTGGTGCCTAGTATACGTCTATGTAGACAGCACGCAGCGAGGAAGGCATTCCGTAGGTGTCAGTTGGTGTCAGCCAAACTCAACTTGTTTCGCAGACGGAGCTGTGGAAGGCTGCGGGCAATTGGAACCCGCGACGTTGCGTTTGGCACATACTGTATGCACTTTGTAGCTGGTAATAGCACATCCATGTGCAGCGCGTACGCCGTACATGCTCCGGCGGCTGGAATCTGCTGGAATGTTTTCAGGGCCGTAAGGACCGCATACAGGGGATTGGTTAGGGGGGAAAACGAACACGACTGTTGTGACGAGTTTGACATGTGCGTGGCCTCCTTGTCTTGCCTTTGTGTTGATCTCGTGACTCAGCGCATTCTTTAGCGCGAGCATGTCTCTGCATCAATGCACAGACCGCTCACCGGCACTGCACTACTATCAGACGCCTGGCGCCTCGGCGCGTGGAGCAGGAGGGAAGCCCCGCGTGTGGCGAGGTTCTCAAAGGTTGGGCAGTGACGTTCCGCGCACAGACTCTGCTGGGCTTTACAAGCATTCTTCCGAATTTTATTCAGCCCAACCCGCAGCGGGCAGTGGTGGGAGCGTGAGTGGGGCTGCAACTTCTGGGAATCCAGTTGAAGTCAGGTCGCAGGTCGATACATGTATATTCACAGCTCCTAGGTCCAGCACTCTTAGCAAGCTATCGTGAGCAAGCAAAGTGTGAGTTATGGGATGGGCTAGATGGAAGACGCTTCTTCAGGCTCGCTTGCGCGCAGGAAGTGGAAGGCCAAGTTTGCTGCAAGGAAGCAGGATCAGAAGGCTGCACGTTCTCTAAAGGGTGCAATGTGCATGGAGTCTTGACAGAAAGGGTGGGCTAGCAGCGCTCATCCGGGATTCGCTGCGTGCGAAAGACAGGATAGCGGGAAGCTTTGGCTCAGGCAGTCCCCACGACTGCAGTTCGAGGAAGCCAGGCAGAAGCCGAGTTCGACGGTCGTCTCCAACCCTGGACGCACGCTCGAGCAGTCATTTGCATACAAGCAGGCGTACATTGCGACGTCAACCAAAGGGGGATTTGGGAGAATGATATTAAAATGCAGGCGGGCGAACGTGTCAGAACTGCCATTACCGCGGAAGGAGCGACATGCGCTCGGGCCGATTAATAGACACAACAGAACGTCTGAAGACTGCCGAGGGGGCAGCAGGCGGAGGATCATCAATCTTTGGCGAGAACGCAAGCGAGCTTGATCTAGGCCCCTTCCACGGTATCTTTCAGATGCTCAATATTGGACTGACAAGTGTGTTCCTTGCAGTGCCCAGCATGTCTGTTGCCAACAAGATCTTCCGCACGGCCAACGCGCCAGTCACCTCGCCGTCTGAGATTGAGACGACTGTCGCCCAGTCGTTGCTCGACCTCGAGGCAAACGTTCCAGAGCTTAAGGCTGAGCTGCGACCGCTTCAGATCTCTGCGGCCCGTGAGGTCGATGTCAAGGGCGGCAAGAAGGCGATCATCGTCTTCGTGCCGATGCCTCAGCTCAAGGCTTTCCACAAGATTCAGCAGAGACTCACCCGCGAGCTCGAGAAGAAGTTCTCGGACCGCCACGTTCTCTTTGTTGGGCAACGACGCATCCTGGGCAAGCCTGGCCGCCGCTCGCGTGTCAAGCAGCCCCGCCCTCGGTCGCGCACCCTGACCGCTGTCCACGACGCCATCCTCGAGGACCTCATCTTCCCCTCTGAGATCGTTGGCCGCAGGACAAGGGTTGCCACCGATGGCAGCAAGCTCATCCGCGCGTACCTTGACAGCAAGGACTCCACCTCCCTCGAATACAAGCTGGATAGCTTCAGCAGTGTCTACAAGAAGCTCACCGGCAAGGATGTCCACTTCTCCTTCAGGGTGAGCTTGAGCACAATCTTTCGCTAGTGACGGTGACATGTGAGCTGACTAATCCTTTGCGCATTTTACAGGATGCCGACGGTATTTAAATCTTCGTTGACATTCACGGAATTGACCATCGCCACTCTGATGGAAAGGTTCACGGAGGGTATCTCGCACTTGCGCCTTTTGCGATAGGCGCAACCGTTGTCCAATCAGCAGCAATGAGACAAGAGAAGTTATCTAGCTGCACTTGTCACAAAGCCCATAGCAGGGATTTCAAGGCGAGGGTTGGAGAGTGGAAAGGGGGAGGGGGAATGCGCGTGCGCCGGGTAGTGGGATTGGCGCGCGCAGGCCTGCTGGTCGCCAGCCAGATATGGCGTTGTTATGCCAAAACATACAGCATCCTCATGCATTGAATCGCAATTGTACAATTTCCTAGCCCCTTGTTCTTTTCTCCCTTGTTGGGTAAGCGCATCTAGAGGACTCCTCTTGGTGGCTTCCCTGTCTGGCGTGGGCTAAGTATGGGAAGATGTCGCGCGTCTTGAGACATCTAGGCGGAAACGCGATTTGAGTGAACGTGCATATGAGCAATCAAAAGAACGGGTCTTCGTGCGCTGGTCTGGTGAGCCGACCATGTTCAACCTCCCCGTCTTCACATTCTCACAGCTTTGGCACACGCATTCGTACGGCTGGATGAGCCATCGCCTCCCCTTCATCGCTTGATCCTTAAGGCGGAATCTACATTAAACCTTTCTCATCTTTCCACTCCCTGACAGTCCCCTCGAAGTAGGTAGCTGAGACTGCGCCACTGGGGTAATCGCAGGGCCAGTCAAATCGACACCATGTCGCGACACCGCGCAGTTCGCAACCTCGACCTCGACGAGGAGATGGCCGAGGATGACATCTACGCCGACGAAGACCCATATGGTGTGTCAAATGATATTTCTGTCCAAACCTCGCCTAGTACTGATTGGGTCTTACGTACGCGTTGTGGTCTGATCGAACGATTCCCTTACAGAGAACATTACCCCTGATGAGCGCTTCGAGCTCGAAGCGGCACTGGCGCAAGCGCAGGAGATCCTCGGCTCGGAAGAAAAAAGTGGCTTAACTGAACGCGAGGTCAAGGATGCGCTGTGGGATGCGTATTTTGATGTCGATCAAGCTGTCCGGCACTTGATGGAGGAAAAGTCGAAGAGAGAAGCAAGAGACAAGAAGAAAGCAGGTGAGTGCACTTCTTTCAGTTACAGGGGATAGCGGATATGAGGTGGATGGTAAGGAGGGAATAGAGCGGCTTTGGATATGGCTAGCTTCATGCTGTAAGCACTGTTGTATACACCACCGCAGAAAGGCTGACGCTGATTGTCGTCGTCGGTTCCATTTTGACACACAGGCGGAGAGGTTTATCCATCTGTGGCGACGTCAACCCTGTCTGCACTTCAGAGACTTTCTCTCTCGCGCAAAGCAGCGGCATCGAAAGTCACTGGTGCAGAACAACCAGCTTCCATTGCTACAGGTGCTGGCGCCAAGCGGGCCCAACGCATCGCGGGGCTGTCGGGTGGTGGTCGAGCCAAGATGGCGAAGCAAGCCCTGGCAAGTCTCGCGCCTGATCACCTCCAGGCTCGATCGCAGCAATCAACTGGAGCGCCTGAGCTAAAGCCCAGCAAGCTGCAAGCCCTAGCCGCTGCTCGACAAGCAAAATCTGCAACGGCTTCTGGCGCAGGCTCATCGGTAGCCTCGTCGACTGACGCTCAGGCGAAGCCGCAGATGTCAAAGCTTCAGCAGCGGGTGGCTGCAGCGAAAGCGGCAAAAGAAAAGGCGTTGATCACGGCCAACGGCGAAGCATCAGAACCGCACAGAAATGCAATAGCAGAGGGCAAACCGGATGCGGATACGAGCGCAGCTCATGAAGAGACGGGACCGGAGTTCTCCCTTTCGGGAATACAAGTGGACACCCTGTTCCCCAAAGCTAGCCTTGCTGTGAATGCAGGCGTGCAGTTGATGGGCTCATCGGTGTTCGGTTCGAGCCTTTGCAAGCAAACAGCATTTAAAAGCGGCGCCAGCGCCAGCTCCCACGGTGGCAACGCACTTGCAGTACCGGGGGGTTCCCCTTTTGACGCTCTGCACGATGGACACGAGCTGCTCAAAGTGTTTGCTGGCCCAAGCCCTGATGATACGGTCCTGAAAGCGAGGGAAGGGACACGGCTGGCAGAGAGCGGAATGGCGAAGGCTCGATAGTGATACGGGCCGGATAGACTAACTTAGTTCAACCTCTGATATCGCGCAGAGCGAGAGGCTGCAAAAGCGCAAAAGAAGCCGATGTCGGCGTCGCAAGCGAAGAGTGCGGCGAAGCCAACTCAGCCGAGTGTCTCACAGCTGCGGAAACAGGTCGAAGGGCTGGCGGTCGGCGGTAACCGCAGCAATGCCAGCTCCACGACGGCAAGCCCACAACTAACAGGGCCTGGCAGTAGCGGTGCACCGTCGGCAGTGGCCAGTGCAAAGGGCAGCGTCGCCTCTACGCCGAAAGCTGGCATCACACACGAGCGTGTCGTGGAAGAATTTCGCAGGAAGGAGCAAGAAGGCAAACCAGCGCTGAGCTTAGTGGTGGTGGGTCACGTGGATGCTGGCAAGTCGACAATGATGGGTCGGCTACTTTTCGAGCTGGGGACATTGAGCGAGAGGGAACATGTCCAGAATGAACGTTCAAGTCAAAAGCTCGGCAAGGGCAGCTTTGCGTATGCCTGGGCGCTGGACTCTTCTGAGGAGGAAAGGGCTCGAGGTGTCACGATCGACGTCGCCCAGGACAACTTTGACACTTCGCATCGACACTTTACATTGCTTGACGCACCCGGTCATCGCGACTTCATTCCGAACATGATTAGTGGCGCCGCACAGGCAGATGCAGCGCTTCTCGTCATCGACGCCGCCAAGGGTGCATTTGAGGCTGGCTTTGGGCCGCATGGTCAGACACGCGAGCATGCACTGCTCGTCCGCAGCCTCGGTGTCCAACAGTTGGTTGTTGTGGTCAACAAAATGGACGCGCTTGACTATGAGCAGCAGCGGTTTGACAACATTGTCACCACTCTCAAACCCTTCCTCGCGCAAACAGGCTTTGATGTGTCCAAGGTCTCGTTCGTTCCTTGCGGCGCGGCGGTCGGCGAGAATCTTTCTACGCGAGACCCCGAAGGCGGATTACAACGTTGGTATACGGGCCCCAAGCTGGTAGAAGTACTGGACAAGCTCGATCCGCCGTCACGACAGCTGGACAGCCCATTGCGCATGCCAGTGACGAACGTTTTCAAGGGACAGACAGCTATCGCTTCAGGGGTCGGCGCCGCTGGTCGCGTCATCAGCGGTATTGTGCAGATCGGCGACAGGCTTCGAGTCGTACCTGGTGATGAGACCGCAATCGTCAGACGTGCGTCAGTTGCGAGATGCGTAGCATGGTTTGGAGGCTGATCATCCGCTCTTTCCCTCCAGACATCGAGCAAGATGGCGAACCGGTTCCATGGGCAGTTGCGGGAGCCAATGTGACAGCATATCTTAGTGGAATTGATCAGATTCACGTGAAGTGAGCAGCGCAGGCGTGTAAGTGGTCATGACAAGCTGCTGAACTTCCCACATCTGCGCAGTGTCGGCTCCGTTCTCTGTCCACCGTCGTCACCGGTCCCGCTGTGCACGAGCGTACTCGCGCAAGTGCTCGTTTTCCAGCCGACATATCCACTCGTTGCAGGCACCAATATTGAAGTCTTCCATCATTCAGCCAACATCGCAGCTACACTGAGCGAGTTGATTGTGACGATCGACAAAGGATCGGGCGCAGTCCTGAAGCGCTCGCCTCGTGTCCTCGCTCACGGTACGTCAGCGCAAGTACGGATAGCTCTGCGCGCAGGTGGCAGCGCTGGGCAAAGTGCGGGCGTACCAATGGAGGAATTCAAACAGAACAAGGAGATGGCTCGTATTCTGCTCCGGCGGAATGGAGAGACAGTTGCTGCGGGGATTGTACTCGAGTGTTTGTGAGCAAAATCAGATACTGTTAGATGCAAACACGGACCAGCGACTACTGCGTTGAAACCAGGATGAATATATGGCACTGGCGCACGTGTCATCGTGGCAAGCTATCAAATGACGTCCACTACAAAAAAGAAGGGCGAAGAGTTGCAAGCTCCTCTGAAGATGCACCGATGAATGAGGGAGTTTTGAGGCTGTAACCGCAGGCGATATTGTCTCCCGGGTCTCGCGAATGTTTTCCAGAAGCAAATGGCCAAATGGAAGTGCGTGTAGAGAATATGTATCCGAGCAAACTTGGTCCACCCCCATTCTGTGGAGTAATTACATGCAATGCTATTCCCTACTCTTCCAATTTCAATACATTGCTTGGATCGGGGATGTACCGCCTTCACCCATTGCGCCAGACTGCGCCGGGTCAGGGCCAAGAGGCCAAAGTCATCCTTCGGTCGATTTTAAGGATTGTACGCGAAAAGAAGCTACCGAAGAAGGAGAGATTAATGTTGTATACAAGACATTCCCGGTCAAGACTGCACGAAGGAAGGGAAGAGAGATACGAAGCGAGAATGAGAGTGATAATCTTTGTGCGGGTTAAATCATATTCAGCTAGAAGAATGACGCAGTAGAAACATGCATCGATGTCACCCAACCAATACAACCGGATCACGTGATCATCTTATTGTACTTGACTCTCGCTATTCTCTCAAATCTCATTGACACGGAAGCCCAAGTCTATAATTTGCTACCTTCTCAACAGTCCTTTAATTGGTGAAATCATTGCTATCTTTATTCGTCATACATATCGACAAGACACCAAGTGGGATCAGTCAAGATGCCCTGGAAGCCGAATGCCCGCATGTTGTAAGTTTTAGCAACTACTCTGTGCTTTGCCTGCTGCCGATCCCGCGCGATGATCTTGGCATGCTAATTGCTCACCATATCTCCATTCTTTGCGTTCTTTTTGAAGGCGGGACATGTCCGCACGCCAATCAGTGCAGGCAAACGAGCTAGTAAGGCGGGCCTACAAGTACATCGCTCGTAACACTACGCTGTCGCAGCGAGTGCGGCATCAGGCGCAGCTGCAGCTCAACCAGTTTCCAAGCAAGAGTCGACCAGCAGCCGTGCGGAATCGTTGTGTAGAGACGGGAAGAGGCAGGGCTATTATCAATGAGTTCGGACTTTGTCGAGTAAGTAAGCCGTATCTGCCATGCGAGCGGCCTTTGGGAGCCTCAGAATCCGCAAAGGGTTTGCCGGAGTCGAGAGACACTGCATGACCCGATGCTGGCGGACGGTCGGAAGATTTCATGAAGTGCCTCCTGCCTTCAGACATATGACTGCCTCGGGGCTCCCATTTTCATCGATTCAAGGTGCTGACTCGTTACGTATCGTTACAGTACGAGTTTCGACTTCAAGCTCTCGCCAAGCAACTACCAGGCGTCCGAAAGGCATCCTGGTGATCACATAACCTTCCTCGCCCTCTCTCGCACGGGCTAGTTGTATTTTTAGCGCACTCGCAACCAAGCAGCTTTTGACGTTGTCTTAACATGCATGCGTGATAGATATGATACAGTGGCAAATACGTATGTGACGGTAAGCAAAAACAGCAGAAAGATTCATCTCCGTAAAGCATTCTTGCTCGCACTACGGCTCGTGTGCCTGCGATGCGTCCTGCCAAATCTAGCATCTTCTGACAGAGTATCAACACCCATGCCCTCTTCTGACCCAGCGCCCTTGGAAAGCCCTGCGCCGAATGTTTCGCCTTGCTTTTGCTTTGTGCCTCGTCCGTTTGAGCGCGTGTCCTGTCGCGCGTCATTGCCGCATCTGGTACCCTTGGATCCGCCGTCCATCGGCATCCAGGTGATTTCGCCACCGCCATCTTCGCCTTGGTCCTTGTCCTTTTGACGCCAGATGGAGCTCTGCGAGCTAGAGTGACGGGAATTGTTGCGAGCTTTCATGCGCTCCTGGAACGACTGCCGGCGCGAGCCACCCGGATTAAAGGCATCTGCCACATCTCCGTCGTCACCGTTGTGCAAGCGAACACCCCCGCGCTTGACATTATCGCGCAGGAGAGTGGCTGGGGCACTGGATTGAGCTGGTATCCTCCTCTTGCTCGGCATCTCGACGTCGCGCAGATCCCCTGCATCGCTGCTGTCAGCTTCGCTATCATCGTCTTGATCGTCGTCCTCCTCGCTGTCTCGGTTTGACATCGAGGAATCGGTGTCATTCTCAGCCTCGAGCTCTTCTTCCTCGACAGCAGTTCGCTTCCGCGGAACTTTCTCTGCGTCTCCCGCCCGATCGAGATTGAACGCCTCCCGCGCCACCGTGCTCGGGTTGAGTAAGGCATACTCCCTGCTCGTGGTGTCGACTTGAAACTCGGGATTGGTGAAGAGGGCCTTGAAACGGGCATCGTCCAGCAGGTTTGCAGACGCGGCCTTGCCGCTCTGTGAAACCTCCACAGAGGCCTCTCCCGCCGGGTCAGTAGCCGCTTTGGCCCGTCGCGCCTCTGCACGCGCCCTTTGCTTCTCGAGTTTGGCGGCGAGATCCTTGTTGACCTTGACATTGGCGCTGAGCTTGCTAGCTGCGGCAGTCTTTCCGGCGCCACGGATACGCGACTCGGCCTCCTTCTCAAGCTTGGTCTTGATTGCTCTCTCGCGCGCATCGGCGTATGCTGTTGGGTTCGCGACCAGTCGTGCTTTCTCGTATAGGCCAAGGGCGACGAAGTAGCCGTGCATATAGGGCCTTAGTAGATCCGTGCCAATGAGGTTATCCATGCCGAGACGCTTGAGTTCAGCCTTATCGACGAACTTGAAGTCCTCGTACACGCCACGCGCGCCAGCGCCGCTCACGTCGCCGTCCATCTCGTCGGTAAGTGTGTCGATGAAGTTGCACCATCGAGGCGCAGGGCCGAGCGTCGGCACGTACCATGCTGCCATCTGCGTTCCCTCGACAGCGGCCAATAGCAGACCAGTGCCGGGGACCTGGTGAATGTCGTTGAGATCTGCCGCTGAAGAGGGCGGCGTGATAGTCACAACGTTCTCGCCGGGCGTCTCTTTCTTCCAGACCTTGACTACCTTGGCGTCCGCACTGAGCACTGTCCCCTCCGCCTCGGCTCGCGTCCCGGCGACTTGGCGCGCGCCTCCATAGTAGGACTTTGAAGAGCGGTCACCGGGCCAGCAGAGGGACTTGATGGGTAAGCTGAACCCCTGGTCTTTGGTGGAGTATGCTCGCGCCATTCTCAGATCGTAGAGCAATACATGTCCAGTGGACGTGCCGACTGCCATGTTGAGGCCATCTTGCGCGCTGCTGAGTGCTGTGACGGATAACCCTGACGCAGCGGCGTTCGCTTCTTTCTTCGAATCGAAAATTCCAGGCAGTGCGGAGCGCGTGGAATGCCAAGCTGAGTCAAGCACGGTTCGCGTAGCCACACTCAGCGCTCCCACTTTGCGTCGCCATCGCGGATCCCAGAGTTCGACGATGCCTGCGCCGTCGGTGCCGAAAGCAAGCAGCCCATGTGCTGGGTTGACGTCGACGCTGTTGACACCAAGTACTTCACCGCCCACTCCAGCCGCTGCACTGCTGCCGAAACCTTCGAGAACAAAGGGGGCAAGGAAACGCCCTTGATCAAGATTCAGCCGGTAGACTTCGTTGCCTACCGCACCGACGATCGCGTCAGCAGAGGGGAAGTGATACCCCAATGCTCGACCAAACTTGGGTATTCGTACTCGTGCATATGTGCCGCCTTGCGAGTGGAGTTCGACAGACCTGTCGCTTTGCAGATGTAAGGACTTGGTCCAGTCGTCCGAGAGGAGCTGTATATTGAAGCGTGCGCAATAATTTTCCGTGTCAGTAGTCTAGTCTGAGCCAATACGAGCAATGTTTGGATGCTTGTACGCCAGGGCATTGGCAAGAGACAATCTCAGGTAATAGAAAACGTTATGTTCGCTTCATGCTATGTCGCTCAGCGAATGTAGATAAGGATTGTTATAACAAGTGATCATCTTTGACCGTCCCAGATGCCCCGCTTTTTAGACTGCTCATTCAAACGTAACTCACCAGAAAGTCGACGTTCTCTGCCTCTGTGTGCCGCTCAAACTTCAAGCTGAGTTGATCGCACTCCCAAACGCGAATCTGAGGTTTGTACGTCCCCGTCGCCACGACAAATTGGCCATCATTGCTGGTGGTGACCCTGTTGCTCGCTTCTGGAAATTCAAAATCCTGAATCAGCTCGATCTTCGCGAGCTCTGCATCACGTGCCAGAGATGCTTTAGACTTTGACGAGGGCCGCTTTGAGCGCTTGTTGGAGGATCCTTGTCGTCGCAGGAGGTCAGGCAGGGAGGTAGAGTTGGAAGATGCATTGGTATTGTCCCTCCCCGACGATCCACCCGAGACGACATACACTCGTGCAGGATCAGCAACCATGATGATGGTGCTGCCTCCGCCTCTTCCTCCTCTGGCCCCAAAGCTCGAGCAGATTGTACAAGCTAAGTGCCTAAGCTGAGGTTTGGCAAGTAAAGAGCGAGCATGTAAAGGCTGGCGTACAGAGATTCAGCGCACAAAATTTCTCTTTGAGAGACTCAGACTTTCAGAGAGGGTACAGGCATGCATGAATTCCGCGTTCCGCTCCACCCAAAGCTGCCACCAGGGCCCTACGCCATCTAGCATCTCCTCGCGGGCTTGATGGTTTACAAATGGAATCCTATGCATGCTTGAAGCACAACCCACGATTTACGTGTCGCTGGCGCCGGGCACACGAAAGAATGGCGCTCTCCTGTTGTCTTTACAGCCTGGACATGTCTCTTCCATAGACACCGCGCTTGATGTAGTCAATCAACAGCAGCAGCCTCGTGCGCGACGAGACTTGCTCGCTCAGGTAAAAGCTGCGCCACGCGTACATGGCAATGAGTCCGCCGGCGAATTGGCCGATGCTATCGGGCAAGAAAGGGATATCGAACGCAGCTGCGTTGCCGATGTACGCCAGAGAGCCGAGGTTGTGGTACTGGAATGGCTTGTAATGCGTGTCATCGACATCAACACGCCCAACGGCAGCGGAGGCCTTGTCATCTGTGCGACTCGCAACGTCGACGGTCTGCTTGCCCTCGCGGTGCGCAGCGTCGCGAACCTTGGCGAGCTTGTTCAGCTTGTGCGCCAGGTACTTTCCCTGCTGGCTCGCCACTTGTGCCGTCGCAGGCAAGCTGGTTAAGCCGCTCTGCACCTGCGTAAACATGCTCGCGAGCTCGTTGAGGCCCAATTTGCCATCGTTGTCTTCGTCGTATCGCTTGAAGATCTTGTCCATCTTTTCAAAATGCTTGCTGGCGAGTGGAAAGTTGTGCGCGATATCCTTTACAACGCCAGTGAACTCGTTGTATGTTAGCTGACCGTCATGGTCCGTATCATGCTTGTCGACCCATTCGTATAGATGCTCGATGAGCCGGTTGTCGATGGTCGAGGCATCGCCGAGCGCATACATTGTGCCAGGCTCGGCGCCCTTAACGCGCAAGTGTGAGTCGACTTGAAGCGCCTTCAGATGAAATTGATTGGGTAAGAGTTGCGTGAGTCGCTTGGTGAATGGGTTCATTGCAATGCCCGTCGACCACAGCGTAAAGCCGGATGGGATCTCCATTTCCTTGACTTCGTTTGAGTTAGGCTGCTTGACGGCTGTGTATTTGAAGACGAGATTTGTTCAGCGTCACCCCCTCAGGATCTATATCGCGCTTGGCAATTGCGTAGCGCCTACTCACTGTAGATGACCTTTTCTGGTTCGACGCGCTTGACGCGAGCGTTTGTGATTAAGTCGACTCCATCACGCGAGAATTTCTTCTCGGCGTACTCTGAGATCTTTTCCGAGTACGTGTTCAGGATGTGCTCGCGTGACTGGATGACGTGAACGCTCATCGCCTGCCGCAAGATTTTAGGGAACTGCAAGCGTGTAAGAGGTTGCAGGTAGGAACAGTCAAACGGTCAGTCGCAAGTCCGATAGCGAATCGACAGCCAACGCGGCTTCCCTCCCCATACGTAAAGCGAGTTACACGCACATGCTTGAGGACATCCTCGTTCATCATATCGTAGATCTCCGCAGCAGTCTCGATGCCAGTGGGCCCGCCACCGCAAATGACAAAGCTAAGCAGTCGATCACGTTGCTCCTCCGTTGTGGTCGGCAGCGCAGCCATTTCGAGGTTGTCTATTTTGTTATGGGCACAAAGTGGCGGACAGCTCATTAACGTTGTGCTCGCTTGAACGTAACGGGTAAGCTTCAAACGAATGACTCACCCATGATGTGACTCCGAATTGCGCGAGCATCTTTAATCGTCTTGAGTTGGAAGCAGTTCTCCAAGCCCGATACGCCATGTGTATTGCTGACACTGCCGCAGGCAATGACGAGCTTGTCATACGGAATGTAGACCCTCTTCCTAGAAGTCTTATCCTGCTCTCCTGTAAGGTTCTCCCAGTTGTGTCCATCGATCACCTGCACTTCGAGCAGATTGTCCTCGGTCGAGGGCGAAGAGGGGGAGAAGAAAGACTTGCGTGATGTGCTCGAAGGAAGGACGACGTCGACTGCGTAGCCCTCGACATAGTGGCCATGCACACGCGCGATGATTCGACGCAGAGACTCGACGAGCGAGCGTGGCTCCACAGTGCCGACTGTAGCAGAGGGTAGGAGCGGCGTGCTGCGCGCATGTTCATCGAGAGAATTTGTCTAAGTCAATTGGATGAACGCCAGTACAGAGCGTGAAGGAGAGGCCTGCTCACAAGAGATAGAAGTTGGTTGGTGCTACAACAGTCACGTTGTATTTGTTGGGATCAAGGGCGGACAGAAGCGAGACAGCTGTGGGATGTTCAGAACCGGAATGTGGTACTCCAGGTGGTCAGCAGTCGTATCGAATATTCAGGTGGCTCGCAGTGTCGACTCACCACCCCAGCCACCGCCAACAATCACGAGCCTCTCCTTTTTGCAGAGCTCCTTGCTGACTTCGTCCTGCCAATCATCCACGTTATTCGATAAAATGGGCAGGTTCTTCGGGCCGCCCGGCTCGGGGTGTAGGGCGAGGGGAGCCAGCGGCACCTTCCCGACGTGCGCCTCGCGATAGGTCGTAAAGTCATACGCAAGCATCAAGCCGATAGTCACGGCGAGGCCAAAGACGATAGAGCCGCACGAGTAGAGCGTCCACTTGATCACGGGGAAGCGGTGCAGGAACCGCCGGGTCGCGCCGACGTGCTCCGGACCTAGCGAAGGCGTTGAGAGGGGAGACGGCACGGCTGACCCTGAGTCGAGTCTGTCAATGTTGCTCGGAGGCGTGGAAAAGGGAGAGCCGGTAGATTTGAAGCGTCGTGTATGACTCCAGGATGAGCTTTGAGCGCTGGCTGCCAGGCACTTGCTGCTGATGCTGTTGAGTTTGCCTCTGTTGCTGACGTTGCTCCCCCTAAGTATAATGGTTGACAGAGGGCGCCCATGGGAGATCAGCAAAGAAGGCGCTCCCGCGATCCGCATCGCCGCAGAGGGAGATTGTATGGAGGCGCGCACGCCATGACGAATGGATGCGGTCACCAACAATGGTGAGGAGGCCATGGCGATCTCCGAAGCTGCACCTGATGATAGAGAAAGTTCAGGCCCGAATTTGCACTACGCTTGATAACTGCATCACCTGAGAGGCTGAATGCGCTAACTCGTGATCTACACGGCTGAATTTGCGGGAATCCCCTCCTTCAGCCTGCCTTTGAAACCAAGTGCTTTGCCAAGCAACGAGGTGTGTTTGTACCGGTTTGCCTGGGCTTCTGGCTCGAAGCCGCAGACTCGGCTCGACGAGAAGACCTCGCGCACAAATGGAAACTGATGACTATCTGGAAGCAATTTTCTCGTCCTCTCACTTTGGACGCGATGCTCTCCTTTTGTATGCCGCTCCTCACGCTCCAGGACATGTTCCATCATACTTCAGGGATACAAGCTTTCTGAGGTGTTTGCCTTCGCGTCGTCAATATCGAGACCCTTGACTTGAGCTTCTTGTCGTCATCGCGCGGAGCGGCCCCCTCCAAAACATCATGGGCATTGCGGCGCTGGGGACCACCAAGCATCGGCCACCTATTCCGATATCCGAGTTCCGAGCACCCTGACCAATGCCTTTCCATGCTCGAGACTCACTCGCGAATTTCCTGTTTTCGCATCCAAACAGCACGCAGCCGGCCGGGAACAGGGAAACTTCAACGTGTCCATGGCACTGCATATGTAACTGGGTGCGGTGCTTCATCGCTCGAAACCATCTCTAGACCACTCTTGCCGCACGCGACTGACTCTATCACGGAGAGTCAACAAGAACTGCGCTTGAGATTTGGAAGTCTCGTGCTGCTGCTGTCGCTTTCACTCTGTCTCCACTGTCAACAGGCTGCCCCTTTCATTGCCGCGACGGATTGCAGCATCCCCACCAAACTCAGACGTTCGAGGGGATCACTCCTCTTATCCAAGATGATGCGGCCAGAAGGCAACCCGCTGGCGCCCGGCGCCGGCATGGTGGGCAGCGGCGCACCTCGTCCCGCAGCCGATGAGCTGGGCGGCCCCTCGCCCGCCGAGCAATTTTTGGCAGTCATCTCGCTCTACCAGCGCCAGTTTCAGGCGTTCCTCGACCAGACCACGCCGTTCGCTGGGCGGCGCTGGGCATTCACGGGCGGCGCGCTGTTCATATTCATGCTGCGGATCGTCCTGGCGCAAGGGTGGTACATCGTCTGCTACGCGCTTTTCATCTACCTCCTCAACCTGTTCCTCGCTTTCCTCACACCCAAATTTGACCCGAGCTTGGAGGACGACCTTGCAGCGCAAGACGTCGAAGAGGGCGAGCCGGGCCTTCCAACCAGTGCAAGCAGCGGAGTGTTCAAGTTTGGGTCTAGGAGTAATGGCAGCGGTGGTCTGATGAGCGGCATATTTGGTGGACCACAGCCGGAGGACGAATTCAGGGTGCGTGGCATGCGCCCACGCAGGCATCCTCAATGCCACGGATCGATCTCGAAACTGAGTCTCTCCCACTCCATTCTCACAGCCTTTCATCCGCCGCTTACCTGAATTCAAGTTCTGGCTCTCAGCGTCACAAGCAATCCTCATCTCTCTCTTCTGCACATTCAGCAGCATCTTCGACCTGCCAGTGTACTGGCCCATCCTCGTCGTCTACTTTTTGCTCTTGTTCGTCCTCACTATGCGACGGCAGATCCAGCATATGATCAAATACAGGTGAGTCTACATGTGCTCTCGTTGACTTCGCGCAGTCCATCATTTGCGGATGGTGACTGAATGCACATTGCGCGCTCTAGATACGTACCCTTTGACCTGGGCCGAAAAGCGACGTACGGCAGGAAGTAAAGAAAAAATCTGCCAGCGGATGGCTGCCTGTGAGCATTATGAGCTCAGGATGGACCGACGTCAGCAGCAGGACAATGCGGCATAGAAGGCGGAACAAGCTGCAACTCAGCAAATGGGGCTAGGTTGGACACATTGGTGATATTGGAAGCATTGGACAAGAGCAAAGCGGGAATGTACAATATTGGATGGGTCTCCAGCCAGGTCTCAGCATACCGCAACATCTCGCAGAGTGCACGCGACGATGGAAACCCTCCTGTTTCACATTCGTTCGCTCGCCGACCTGAACGTTCCAGGCTCATTCGCTACTGCCACGACTCTCCATCTTCGCCAGACATGTGCAATCGACGTGGTTTCACATAGAAGCAACACATTTGCGGCGGTGCCCTGAGAGCCTCCGTACGCGTATATGTTCTTTCTGCAATGCAGCCATTTCAGTATAATTGTATAGATCTATTTTGTCATGGCACGCCTCAGCTGCTCCTCCTTATCTGCTTGCGACCGTTGACTGCGGTTTTGAACGGAGGATTCGAACGACTATTCTACATGACTGGGTAGAGCGGGAAAGCCTTGGTTGCGTAATCGAGGGTGCCATCCGTCTTGCTTCCTCCTGGTCAGCACGAGCACGAGGAATGTGAAGCAAGGCGCTCTATAGAGGGAAACATACCGCGAGGGTGTCCGACTTGGCTTCAGAGCTTGCTACCAACGTGCACCCTTCCGAGCTGATCTTTGAACGTCGCCAGCGCTCTCCGCTTCGTATCGCCGCCATGGGAGATGGGTACGGGAGTCTTTCGGAAATCTGGCTCGTTGTGCCGCAATTGCTGCTCCCTCGCGTCCATAGGAACGTACTCCCTGGCGGCCTCGCCCACATAAATCTGCCTGGGGCGCCAGATCTTGACGCCGGAAGACTGCAGGACCATCTGCCGCCAATGCGCGAGCCATCCTACGACGCGCGGCACGGCGAACATCAGGACGTAAAAGTCGGTGGGGAGACCGAGGACCTTGTAGCAGATGCCGCTGTAGAAGTCGACGTTGGGGTAAAGCTTTCGGTCGATAAAGTATGAGTCTGTCTCCGCAGCTTCTTTCAGCGCCAAAGCCGTGTCCAGCAGAGGACTTCGACCAGCGACTCGGAACACGTCCTCTGCTACTTGGCGGATGATGGTGCTCCGTGGGTCGGTGTTCTTGTACACTCTGCAAGTCAACCCCGTAGGATGTAGAAAGCGTTAGTCAGCTCAGTACTTTTGCGTGATGCGACATCCTGTGAACGGACCTGTGACCGAATCCACTGAGAACACGCGTCTTCTTCTTCACCTGCTCGATGAACTTGGGCACATTCTCCTTCCCGCCGATCTCCTCGAGCATGCGTACAACCGCTTCGTTCGCGCCTCCGTGACTGGGACCATACAGAGCAGCACAGCCAGCGCTGACGGCAGTGTACGGGTCTGCAAGGGTGGAACCGACTTGGAGAACAGTAGCAGTGGAAGCATTCAGCTCATGATCGGCGTGCAAGATGAAGAGAATGTCCAGCGCGCGCTCGAGCACTGGGTTGGGCTTGTACTCCCGCTCGTTGAGCGCATCGATCATGTACAAGAAGCTGCCCGCAAAGCTGAGGCCCAGCGGAGGCTTGTTGAATGGCCGACCCTGTCGGACGCGGTAGGCCATCGTGGCCAGCGTAGGTGCCTTGCCGATCAAGCGGTAGATCTGCTTGTCCATGTTAGCCATCGCAGCCATGTCGCCCTTGGCCGCATTTGTGTACAAGTTCTGGCCTTGTAGGGCGGGGTTGGCTTCCGGACTAAAAGCACCAAGGGCGGCAAATGCCGAGGTGAGCATGGCCATTGGATGCGAATCGTACCGGAAAGACTCCATGAGCCCCTCGACGTCGCGGTGGACGAATGAGTGATGCATCACCTCGCTGCTGAAGATTTTATACTGCCGCTTGGTGGGCAAGTCGCCGTAGAGGAGCAAGTAGGCTACCTCGAGAAAATTGGACGAAGCGGCAAGCTCCTCGATGGGGTAGCCGCGGTAGCGCAGGATGCCTCGTTCGCCATCGATGTACGTGATCGTACTGCGCAGCACGGCGGTATTGGTGAAGCCTGCATCGTAGACCCTCAATCCTCCTTCAGTCTCGTTCTCCTCGCGTTGCCTATCTCCAATCACGGCTGCCGAGGAAGCCTTGATCTTCTTGAAGTCCGATGCGAGAATCGAGTTGTCCGTGATTGGGATCTTGTACGTCGAGTTCGTACGGTTGTCAATAATCGTCAAGCTCTGCTCGGGCGCTGGCCCAGCGCCAGCATTCGAAGTGATGCCCATCTTGATTCTTCAGCAGCAGCGGTAGCAGACGCTGTATTTCCTTGTCCCGTGTTCACCTGCATGAGCTGAACCAGAAGAGTACCAAGTGGTGTAGTCTGCATATTGCATATATATGTGCCCTCACAATCAAAGCGCAAAGCATCAGATACCACCACACCCAGTCGCCCCAATCCGGCTTGAACAACTGCCGAGGCGAGTGTGGCAGGTGTGGGGTTTTTGACTGTTCCGGTGCCACTCCCCAACATCCATCACTCTGTAATGAACATGACTCCATCACGGTCCCATCTCCTTGGCGCAAGGAGCAAGCCATGCAGTGAGAGACGCATGGCGGCGCAGGCCCCGCAGCTCCCTTCTGTCGGCCGAGAGAAGGTCCTGACCGTGATTCTCTCGACCGAAAGCTCTGCTTTTATTCACTTTATGCGAGATCCTGCGTCCAGTGCCAGACGCGTGCTTGAAAGCTCCACATCGCACGGCTGGCTTCTTCATCAAGCTCTCAAGGCTCATCATCAAAGACGAATCTGACAACTGACAGCGGAGGAACAGGCCACTGTTCCATGTGGAATCTCGAAGCAAGCTGTATGCCGATAGGAGATTCCCAGCCCGCCGAGACTGGCCGGAATTGGTCTGGGGACCGGAGTAAGTCTGTCACTGCCTTTTTAGCCGGGATATCGGCTCCACACTCATCGCGCTAATCTCGCGCTCTGTGCGGCGGATCTGAGCGCCTGACCTAGGACCCCCTCATCCAAGCTTTGAAGGGCAGGGTCCGTTTAACGCAACACATTCGCCTCGCCCCGCTCTGCAACATCGTTGTTTTGTCATGAAAGTTGGGTGCTCTTGAGATCGTGCGCCTATCGTAGTCAACGTCCGAAAGCAGGAATAGATACATACTCAATTCAGAGCAGCCTGTAGCGTCACCCGCATCGAACTCTGATCCGTATCCAGTGAGCCTCGCCTCTGCTTCGTCGTAACAGGAAGCAAGTGATGGTCCGTCTCCTCTCGACCAAAGTACACCGCGTCGCCTTCGATTTGTCCGCGATCTGTGTCGCCCATGTCTCCCAGGCGCAGTGTATGCGTGCCGAGCTTCCGCATTGCCTCGTCAAAATCGATATGCGGGGTCAGAGGCCGACGCGGCAAAGGCGCCAGCGTGTGTCGCGCGTCGAGGTTGATAGAGAGGATATTCGAGGAATGCGCGCCCTCCGAGATGGTGATCAGCAGCGTACGCTCCGGCTTGACACCTGCGGACGGTGACCCGCCGCGTTGAGAGTTGGCGGAGGAAGATGGCCCTTGATGATGCTGCTTCTGCTGGTGAACTTGATGATGATGGTGCCCATGCTGGTGGCCACGATGGATCGATGCCGGCGTCGACTGGATCCCCGCCGGCGCGCCTTGTTGGCCCACGCTGCCATTGCCAATATTACCAGTGGCGCCGAACGAGCTGGACGTCGGACTGTGCCCCACGCTGGAGGGTACGCTGGCACTGATGCCGTACTGCCTATCACCACCCGCATAGGAGCTCGTTCGCTCGTACACCTCGAATGTGATGCTGCTAAAGTAGTCCAGCGGTGGCATGTGCGGCATGACGATCGGCAGGTCGGAAGCGAACACAAGGTTGAGCAGCGTGTGGATGTGCGACTCCTTGGTAAAGTAGAGCGAGCACATGCCTCTTGCCTCCTCTGAGGCGCGTAGGTCTGAGAGGATGTTGTTGAGCAGAGGCGTGGACGTGAGGAGACCGATTTGTTCCTGCGGGGGTCACCGGCGGGCGTTGGTCAGCCCGCAAGTCAGGTGCGCTGATCTGACGCTTTGAATACACCTCACCTTCTCTTCTGGCGTCATGCCGTATTCCCGCGGGCAGACATAGAGGTACAACGCAAGAGCTTTGCGATAAAGATCATGCAAGCGATCCAGCCTGTCTCCTTCCGGTTCGTCTGGAGAGGTGAAAATCTTCTCCAAGAATGTCCGGTTGTGCAGACCGTCATGTGAGAGCATGTCGTACAGCTCGGACGTCTGCAAAAGAAACATTTAGGTCGTGAGTTCGGGGTCCGAGCAGCGTCTTCGCTTTTTTAATCTGACACTCACTCTCGATGGATCGTGCGGGTCCTCCTCAAAGTCCGCAAAAAGTCTTTGCCACAAACGGCGATTCATCAGAACATTTGGTTCTTCACGGAGCCAGTTGTGGACGCAGACACTCACTTCTCCCACCGTTCCCGGAACAGCGCCGGCGTCTCATGCGTGCACCACCGCATCTGAATGCGATCGACGTCCAAACGAGCATAGTTGTCCTGCATCGTTTTTCTGAGACTGCTGAGTAGCTCAGCGATCGAAAGCCCCAGCTCGGGCGGCACAGGCAGGTCCTTCGGCCAATCCTCTGGCACGTCTGCCTTGGCGCCAGAAGCGCCAGGACGCAAGCTAGCCTTGAGCTTCTTCTTGACTAAGTCAGTCAGGTCCTTTGCAGCATTGCTGTCGTCGAGCAGGTCTTTGCGCACAACCATGTGCAGCGGTTCGGTGCGCTGTTCCGGTGCCTCCGGGTCGTCCAGCAGCGCCGCAGCAAAAATCTCGGCAGACGCAGTAACGCGTCGTTCGGAAGAGGTATAAATCGTGCAGTTCTTCAGCACCGAATCATTCATAATCAGCATGTCGCGACGCATGTTTAGGCCGTACTCTTTCGCCTGGTGGCGCGCTGCATGCGAGAACTGCCGAGAGCAGGAACAAAATGGGGAGGTGAGTATGCATACATTCCGTTGTCGGATATCTGACACTGCCATCCCTGCGGCTGCGTCACTGCTCACCTCTCCTCCCCACTTGATGATCAACTGCATCTTTTCCAGCTCTCCAGAAGCTTTGTCGAAGCTGGGTTTCATCTGGATCTTTGTCCCCGGTGCGTCCTTCTTCCTCTCAATGACGTCGATGACTAACTTGAGATCCTCTTTGTTGGCTCCTGTCACCTTCAATGCCTTGGCCGCTGCATCAGCCACGAGGTGCAAATTGGAACGAAGGATGATCTCCTCGCGCCGCCCTTGCAGCAGCTCCAGCAGCGGAGCGGTCCAAGCGCCATCTTTCGGCTTGAAAGAGCGCTTGAGCTTTTGCTTCGGCGTGCGATCGCCGTGCCGAAAGACAGTCACGTTAGCTTTGAGTTGCCAGCTGCTCTGTTCCGACAAGCCCGGCTCTACCGTTGCGCCTGCCCCTTCTGCCAATGCAGACGCAGACGACGAGGATGCTTCACCTCCAGCTCCGCCTGGTCGGCCCCTATTCGCCCCACCAATCTGTACGGCGCTCGCTGCTGGCGCAATGTCGCTGCCTAGTGCACGACTTGCGCCAGAAACATCAATGGTCAGGCCTGCTGCCATCGCTGCAGCCGCAGCGCGCATATGCGGGCCGGTAGCTGCGTTGTTCTTGATGAATTTCCCCAAAATCTCCGCACACTTATCATAGTAGAAGTCATTGCCCTTGACGAATGACCATCCGTTGACGTCAATGACGTAGCTCTTTTTCCCCACGCGCAAAAGGTCGAACCCGCAAATGTTTTGCTTGAATGCTTTGCTGATCGCCGTAGCCATTCGCACTTCTTCTTCCGTCAGCTTGATGATGTAGCGAATCTCCTTGCCTTCCGGATTGCGCTTGACCAGCCCATCAACGACGGGCGATTTGCGCGTTTCGGCATGGACAAAGTGCGGGCCGATGGTGTAGATCTTGATGTCCTCTGCGTTATCTACATCCATGAACTCCTCGTAAATGTAGCTGCCTTCCATCCGGGGGTTGGTAAGGTCGGGATCGAACTCGCTACTCTTGTTTCCAACCTTGCGGAAGAGCCGCCTACCGCCGCCACCTTTGGAGCGTGGAAAGTATATGTGTATGTTGTGGTCCTCTCCGCTGACAGGCTTCTCGACGAACGGTTTGCGGATCTCCCGAGCGTCCTTGCCTGACCCAATGATGAGGACGTCTGTATCTCCATCTTTGAGACGACACTCCTCGGCGGGCATATTCAGTAGCTTGGATGTCTTGATCCCCAGACGCGACTGCAGGTCGTCAGCTATTTGTGGCTCGAGCGGCCCAAAGGGCCCACCGTCACGATTGACTTCTTGCCTGCGTGGCGTGAGGACCTTGATCGAGTCGAGGATGGACAGCACGAGTCGTCGGTCCCAAAGGACCTTTTGTAGACGCAAATCATTGACCAGAACAGGCTTTCGCAGGTCGACGTACGCGATGGCTTTCTCGAGCGGGAAGCCGGTTGAGAAGAAGGAAATGAGCACGTCCACGATGGGCCACGCACTCGGTGGGTCGTCGACGAGGGCCTTGTCACCGAAAATGATGATCTGAATATCCAAATCCTTGTTCGCCAGCATGCGATTGAGGATATTCTGCATCGGTTTGGAGCGGGCCTTGCGGTCCATGGCCGCGACGCCGAGGATGATCGGGTGGTCCATGGCGGAAAAGCTTTGCAGGATGTCTACCGTGCGGTGAGTTGCAGTTCCTCGTCTTAGCAGGAACAGCGCGATGCAGAATTTCGTGGGGGAATTTGGATCTTTCCTGCGACGATCCGGTCAAGCTGACATCACCTCTTAAGGTCCACCAAGCCAACAAACAGCTGGAAGGAGTACATAATTCATGTTCATGATAGTAAGGTGACAAGAAATCAAAGTCAACCGCCAAAGACAATGTGCCTTAGTCGTGTCCCCCCGGGAGAGCTACTGAAATCCCCCGGAAATAGCAATATTTGGGAAGTCGTTGCGAAAATGCAGTCATGAGGAGATGGTGCGAAGTGAAAGATCCGAGCTTCAACCTTGGGCATCTGTTGCTTGTCCTTCCCCCTCCCTACGAGGACCCTGCACTGAATATTGAATACTATAGACCAGTTGTGGTCGCCAACGACGACAACGACGAAGCTGCATGCAGATAGAAAGATACTTTTTACGAGATTCACCTGGACAAGCGATAGAAGATGCACCAACGCGTGCTTTCTTTCTTTTGTCGCACGCCACCATCAGATATAACTACGTATAATGGAAACAGCCAAATAAAAGAACCCTCGAGATAATTGGTTCCACAGTTGGTGCAGTCATAACCTCCTATCGACCAATTGGTTCATCCACCGGGTTGACCGACCAGCTCGATTATTGATAGAGAGACAATACCACCTCAACCAACCCCAATCTGAGTCTCATACACACTTCTTACCTCCGCCAAGACCGCTTTGAGCTTCTTCAAGAAGAAGGAGGGTGCAACCGCAAGCATGCCTGCAACACGCTCCGTGCGATCGTTCGCGGCCTCGCACCAAGGACATGGACACGTGCATGGCGGCAACGGGCCACCGTCACCGACGCTAACCGCGACGACGCGCGCCTCGCTAGACTTTCCCTACCGGCCCGCTGTCCTCGTCACACGCGCAGACTTGCGCGCATCGGTTCAAGCCTACGAGCGCGTCCTGGGCGCCTGCAAAGCGTATACCAACTCGATGCTCGTCCTCTCACACGCCAGCGCCGACCTGGCCTCTGCGCTCCAAGAATGCAGCAAGGTCAAAGGCGCTCACGAGCAGGCGGACAAGCTGCAAGCGTGCGGGGGACTTCACTTCCTCATAAGCAATTACAGCCAGGTCCTCGCCGATAGCTTTTGGAAAGACTTCCAGATCCCGCTGTTGGAAAGCTTTGATGCGTACAGGCAGGCTTGCAATGAGCGGCAGCTGCTACATGAAAAGCAAATTCTCGAGAAATCACGTATGCTTAAAGAGACAGAGGCAAGGAACATGAAACTCGGATCCAAAGGCGGACGAGGAAAGGGTGCCGAAGGTGGGCGTGACCTCAACAGCTTCCGCAGAGCGCTCGCAGAGCTGCAAAGACAGGTGGACGAGCTGGACGAGCTCAAGGCAGACTACTACAATGAAGTGCTAGAGTCCGAGCAAGAGATGTGGGAGTTCATCCAATCAAAAGTAGGTTGATGTTCAAGTTCGAGCGAGTGGCCCCGATGCTGACATTCTCCGATCGCACGATAGGTCACGCACCTCGTCCGGTCGCAACTAGAGATCTACGATCGAATCTCCTCTAAGGGCCTGTCCGACCCCGTCCTCGAGCCTCTACTTGCCAGCATCCCGGATCCATTCGACTCGTACGGTCCACCCAAATCGGAAGACCAGATTTTTAGCATCTTGCCTCCCACCAGTTTGCTCGGCGCCAGTGCAAGTGGGTCTGGGGGCGCTGGCGGGAGCCATACAGGGAGTGGGGCGGTGACGCCAGCGAGGCTTGTAGGAGCAGGAGGACCTCCTGAGGAAGAGCTTGGTATCTCCAAGGATGGGTCGGCAGCGCGTGACGATGTAGCAGACCCGGCAGGAGCAGAGCCTTCCACTCTAGCAAATGGGGTGAATGGCACCGCTTTACATTCTTCACCAACTTCGACAGTGGCAGCAGCAGGGCCAGATACAAATGCAGGTACATCAGGAGAGAGCGTCAAGCGGAGCAACTCTCTCTTCGGCACGCTGCGCTATGAGGACGGGCGGCGCAAGGGCGACGGGTCCGGCGAGAACGACGACGAGGAAGATGATGGATTCCTCGCCTCATCCACTTCTTCTACCTCTCGCAAATCCAGTAGCAATGGCAACAGCGGTACATGCGCGAGCAATGGAACGACTAACGAGCCAGCTCCGGCAGCGCAGCGGGAGCGCAACAAACACCCGCTCAGCATCATTCAGGAGGACGCCCCCGCCAGCGCTGTTGTATCAGCAATATTGCCTTCAGCACCAGCAGCGCTTGCACCCGACAAGGAATGCCACTCGAAAACTGCCTCTGCTGGATCTGCAGCTGCTGCAGCGTCTGCAGTGGATAAGGAGAAGCACACTAAAGTCCAGGAAACGACGGAGGAAGGAGATGACGAGGGAAAGGAGGAGGGAAAGGAGGAGGGAAATGAGGAGGGAAATGAGGAGCCAGTAGTAGCTGCAACTGCGTCGGCAGATACGAGCACTAGCGAGCAGCAAGGCGACGCCGATCTTGAGTAGCATCGAGACGACCTTCAGAAGGCAATCGACCCTTTACCCTTCCCTCCGGTCATACTTCATGGACCGCAAACGCGCGAGCAGCACTCGCTTGAAGACAGCAGCAGCAGCCTTGACGCCTCGTGCCAAGCACTACGGTTGATGTCGATACAACCTTACTCACGATCACGTGTGCAATAATGACAACGACACAGCGACATTCTGGATCGCCTCCCGACATACGCCAATGACTGACTCGCAAAGAGCGATACCCATGACATTTCCCCTTGCTGTCTCGCTTGCCTGATCAGTGCAAGCCACTGCTGTACTTATACGCTTCAAAATCCACCGTACCTAATCTCAATCTGCATGAACACTTATGCTGCGTGCTCCCTCTATTGGTGAAAGTCCTTGCACGTGTCTTCCACCATGCGTTTGTTAATGACAGACCAAGGCACAAGCCACATGAAGCATTTGTTTGATGCGATTTGGATATGCGCACCGCGGCAACATTTTCGTGTTGTAACTTTGCAACTCCCTAGCATACATTCACATTTCTGAGCAGATGGGGTCGTCGAGGAAGGGTAGGCTGCTTTACATATGCAGGTGATGGACTGGGTAGTGATAAAGATGTTGACGATGAAAAGGAAATCGTCAAGAGTATGGGAGGGTTGGGAAATATAATTTGAAAGAAAGGAAATATGCGATCCGTTTCTCGGATTACCGAGGGCGCACCGGCACTGCCCTCGTTGGCCGCCAGCATTTCCTCTCAATTGACTCTGGGCGCCTGTCAAGGGTGTAACGAGACGGAGAGCGACTGGTGATTGTGAGAGACAGTGCATCGCTGTTCAGAGCAAATTAGAGAAGCATGCCTGGTACTGATGCTGCGCTCGGGTCCTACAACTACCGCTCGCCAAGATCTCAACCGAAACCTGTGAGACTAGTCGTCCCGCTTGCAACCACTGCTTACCTTCCGGAGCTCATTTTCGATTCGGCGCTTCAGCGTGGGATCTCGCGCCATGTGGTCCACCAGTGGGCTGGGTAGCGGAGCCGGTGCGGGAAGTATGCTGGCTGCCGAACTGACCGAGCGAACCGACGAATGCTGCACGTCCGGATAGTCCATCATAAAATCCAGTGCAGCCTGCGCCAGCCCACGATGACTGTGCACAATGTGGTACGCAAGACCGCCTCGTTGTCGGAACCGTTTGCGGCAGGGCACGCTCGCTACGTCTTCAGCCGAAAAGCCCGCAGTGATCACTGCTGCTTCTACAGGCGACTGGCGTTGCGGTGAAGGCTGACTCCCAGGCATTCTGGATGCCGAGCTGCCTTGCACGCCGATCCCTTGAAGGTGCAAAGGTGACGACTGCGAGCCTTGTTGTCCACTACCGTCGCCGAAATTCGAATAGCCAGCGCCAGCGGCAAAATTCTGCGCTTGCATGAGCCAGCCGGATGATGCGCCCAGTCGTGTGTAATTGACCATGTTCGGGGCTAGAGATGATGGGCCAGCTGACGGCTCTACTGACTTAGAAGAGCCAGATGGGCCAGCTAAAGCACCGTGAGACGGCGAGTTCACCGAGGTGACGATAGACGGACTTGAAGGCGCTTTAAGACCGGTCGCTTCTTCTGTAAAGGGACAGATCCAGGGTTGCTCTGCTTCCAATTTCCTGACGTGCTCGCGCTGCGATTCTACTGCATCCTTGATGTTCGCAACATGCGCTGCAAGAGGAGAGCTGGTATTCGGGTTCCACGGTTGCGACGATGAGCCTGCCAGTGCAGGCGAGAGCTTAGAGGTGGGCGCCACCGTACCACGACCGTGGCTGACGGTTGGGATGGCTGTTCGCCAATGACCGTGCTTTCCTTTGCCTGAGACTTGGATATGGTATTGCAGCCCATTGATACTGCTCCATCCTTTCCCGCATTTAGGTACTCCACAGCAGAACAGCTTGGGTAAAGAAGGATCGACGACCGGTGCCTTTCCCTTTTCGCCGTCCGAAGTGACACTCTTGACCGACGTCGAGTCGTGCTTCTGCCCCTTGTGCATTTCCAGCAAGCGGGGGTGAGCTCCCCGCAGATGATCCGATAGCGCCCCAGCACTTGGAAACATGGGCAACGGTACTTCTTCCACGGGCGGACGCTGCCAGCCGGCAGCGAGGAGTGCGTTCGCTAGCTCGATCGTCTCTGGTTCGTCCGGTGCCACAATTTCCTTCCAGCGGATCTTGCATTCCGGTACGCCGCATGCGTATGGCCTCACATTCGGATCGTCCGAAACCGCCATGGCAGTCCGCGAGAGTGTCCTTTCACGGCGTGAACGTCCACGCCCGCGGCCTCGCCCTGCTTCTCTGCTCGACCCTACAAACTGTTCGTTCCCGGGCCCGGCTGCATGCGGCTCTGGCGATGCGTTGAGGTCGTGACCGTTGCTCGAAGAACTCAGCACTGCACATGGGGAGAGTGAGGTAGACGCATTCAGCTTGTGCCCGTGGAGAGGAAGGACTGGAAAAAAGCGCGCAACTCACAGACTCCAATCTGCATCGGACGAGTCGAAGACGTGTCGTCGTTGATGCCAGCACCGACCATGGATCCTGGCATGTGACCATGATGTAATCGGTTGTTCAAGCTGGGCAGTAGCGGTCGTCCAAGCGTGAGAAGATTGGAAGACGTCGAGGATGACAAGGTCGGATTTGTGTCCGAGTATCTGTAAAGGGGTTGAGAGGCAAACAGCCGCTCGGCGTTAAAGTGATGTTGGAAATGGTGCGGTTGGACTTCTCGTTGCAGGTCAGGATGGTGATGAACGGATTCATCGGGGGTGGCGTTATGATTTGGGAGCTCATGATATTGCGACGGTTGTATAGAATAATGGATGTATGCAGGCTGTCGCAACTGCGAGTTGTGCGACCCTGTTGGATCTGAATGCGGCAGATTTGGGTGAGCTGACTGGTATGGCAAACCTTGGCCATGGACAGGTTGCAGCGAAATGTTTGGCTGTTGCGTCCCGCTCGCAGCGTCTGCGTAGCCCATAGGATAGTGCACTGTTTCTGGTGATGAAGTCACGGTTCCATGATGATGATTATACGCAGAATGTTGCGGAGGAAGCTGCTGGTGCTGTCGCAAAAACGGAGCCTGGTGCGTCGGCGCGTATGCTGAATCTTGTCTTCCGCTTTGCTGCTGGCCGGCATGGACCGAAGGCTGCAAGACATGAGGTGATTGTTGTTCCTGTTGCTGGAGGTGCTGGGGTTGGGGTTGCTGTTGCTGTTGCTGTTGCTGATGCGATGATGGATGATGAGCGTAGTACAGCGAAGTAGTGGATGCTGTTGGCGCACCATGATTAAGAGGGGTCATGGGCGACGGAGCTTGACCAAACGAGCGATGCTGCTGCTGCGACGCGCCACATTCCTGCTGATAATACTCATCCTCGCGTTTTGGTCGCAAAGCTGGCGAGCTCTGCCATGGCGATTGATTCGACATGGGGATCTATTATTATGGTGCGCGAAGGCGGAGGATTGAAACGCGGCGAGGAGCTTGCAACTAATTCTCTGTCGGTGCAGAGAACTGCAGCTCTTGCATTCAGTGCAAGCGTTTGTTCTTGTGTCACACGCTTTGAGATGATAATCGTCGCAGCCCCAGTCCAGCGACTCGATCCGTAGATTGCAACAGCGTCGCGTTCTCATCCCCGATACATCCTTCTTGGTGTAATGGATGCGTTCAGAAGTAAAGAGGTGCGTCCTACCCGCCTTCTGACAACCTCCAAAGGACGTATGGGGCTACGACGCTACGCGCGTGGGAAAAGCCAGATGATATGGCTCCGACCTTCTCTCCTCTGGCTCGAGCGGAGCTTTTGCTTAGACTGGCTCTCGTTTGTCTCTCGCGTGCGCAGATCCCTGTCTGGGTACGTGTCCAACTTTGCCTCTCGTGACCGCCGCAGTATTCGTTCGGTACTCTTTCGGCGCTGCGGAGCGCTGAGCGCCTGAGCAAGTGGACGATAAGAACAAAGTTGGTTTGAAGCACAGCACGTCGAAGCCTGTCTTGGTACGATGGCAAGGATAGCACGACATTCAGTCATTTACACTATGGCAACTCCTTCTGCCAGGAGAAAGGCCCACTCTCTTGCTAATCTGCTGGACGGCCGGTCGATGACCTCTGCGCTTTTGGGCTCTGGCCGATCGCCCTGATGAGATATTTGTGGCTCAAGGTCGAGAAGAGCGGCGCTGCTGTGACAGACGGGCGGACCGAGAGGCAAGAGCGTGCAAGAGCCACAGCTTACGGCAGATCACGGCTTCATACAAGGTCTGGTGTGTTCCGTGGTGGAACTACACCGCGGCGGGCTGTTAGAGGCTTTCTCTTCTGCAAAGGGGACGAGTGCAGAACAGACGGTGCGCCCTCGTGCTCTCGCTCTACTCTCTCTGCCTCTGCCTGTGTACTATATGCGTGTTCACGCTGATGAGATACATACAAACGCAGCTGATGCGCAGCTTACACGGTCGTAAAATCTCTCGTCTTGCAACACAGCGACTTTGTGAGCAATTCGTGGAATCCGTGCGCGGATCCGCTTTGTCAAGCGATCCGGAGCTTTTCACTCATTCTCTTCGGTGTGCCGGCCGCCTGCGGCGCAACAAACGGCAAATTGGGCTGGGGGGGATGTTGGGGACTGGAGAGATTCTGTGCATCCAAACCCAAAAGCACCAACGCAGTGTGCTGCCCTGGAAAAGCCTCATGAAAGTCGAAACTACTGGAAACCCGAAAATTTACATGAAGTATTTCCCTCTTCCAGTGGCGTCGGTTGTTGAGTTTATACCATAATAAATTGTTGCTTCGTAACTTTTGACAAGAGCTTCGAGCCCATTCCGCTCCACTTTTAAGCACAAAGCATCCACTTGCCACAAGATGCCGCCGTCTTAATGAATGTCCATCCTTCCTGAGTTCAACTATACAGCATAGAAGCATGTTCCTTCCACATTGTATGCCGTAGGGACGGCGCCCAGGAACCTCAGCTCGATCTCAATCATCATTCGAGGCGCCACATTTTCCTATTCATTGAATACACACTTTTCTGGATGCTCTTTGATCGCCTGCCTCCTCGTATGCCAGAAAATGAGCAAGGACCGTGTAATGACTGACAGGTCTGGACGAGCAACCATGTATTGCCATGCTGCCATACAGGAACTTCAGCACAATCCAAAAGACAAACGTAAAAGGCACAAGAGTGCAACAACAGGTCGACAAAGAATCTACGTTTCCGCTTCCTCAATGCGCGAGCTGGGCGCCTACAGTCCCGTAATGAGAACAATATACAAGCTACAATCACGGCGCAGCCTGGCGCCCTCAAGGTACCACCAGAAGGCCTCGCACCTTCCACAATACTGGAGAAGATTCGGACAATGTCGAAGAATTTTTGCAGGAGCTTGGCAATGAGAATGCCGCATATGTGTTTTCTGTTGATGTCTCGCCGATTAACTTTATATAGCAGCAAGATGCCAATCAAACGACGCTCATCGACAGTTCGAAGACGCTGATAAACAGAAAAACAATGCTAATCAATATGGTGAGGCAGCAGCAAGAGCATGAACAAGCACATGCATGGTGCCAGCCAGAACTCCAGATTCTCGATGAGTTCCAGCGCGCTAGTAGAATAGGGACGGCGAGCTCTTGAAGGGCATACGGAAAAATGCATAGGCTTGCGGACAATCCAGTGAATGGCCTACAATCACACCTGCTGCTGCGCCCGAGCATGTCCGTACGAGATAGCTTGATGCAAGTAGTTGGGTGAATGCCTTACGCATCTTTGCGCAAGAGCTGCAGGCATCGGAGTCGTGCAACTATCCCATCGTTCGTCGACCTTTCAATCAAAAATCGCCTCTTTCCGCCGTTGCAAAGCATGGCTTGGTGGCGATATCACAAACCCCTGGGGATAACTCCTTTAGCACGAAGTACTTATTTCAGAGAGACGCAACGGCACCGCGGTCGGCACCATCAGCATGCTCATCGTGGACACCTTCCAATTTCGTCTAGAATACGGTACCCCAGAACACCCGGAAGATTGCGGATATTGCGAGCAGATCGGCGGGCAGACCCATATGTCACCAAAGCTCACCCTTGGGCAGGCAGTTCAGGATCTCCAGACCATAGAGTACCGGAAGTAGAGGGATGAAAGATGAGTCACTTTCTGAACAGAGACTGCAGTAAATTCATTGGGGACTAGATGCAGTGAGGGAATGCAAAGATATGCATGTGACTGCTATTTATGCGTTGCAAGAAGGGCGTTGCACACACAAGAAGATGAAAGCTGAACCCGAACTATGTTTACTACACTTGCTGCTGCGGGCGAATGCTGCCATGGCCACTCCTGGTGACACCGACGTTCGACCGGTGACATCATATACCATGGTCGGCGCACGAACCTGATGTATCGCTGGCCTTCAGTCCTTCAGCGACGCATGACATGACGGATCAACTGACACCAAGACTCCTTAGAATTGAGCCAGTTGGACTCAGGATGTTAAATCACCGTGGAACGGGCTGGAAACCCGAATGGCAAGACATGCTTGAAATGCATATGAATGGTACTGATTCTCACTCCGTCTCTTTGCGCAAGCATATGCCCCACCACTGAGCACAAGCGCAAAGACTTTAACGGTGATGTTGTAAGTGACGCTGAGAGACGGCGTAGGGGTTCAGACTGTAGAGCTTTTGTCTCGCTGCATGGCTAGCAACAATTCGTAACATCCGGCGGGGAAGTGGTTCTAAAGCCCAGATACATCATTGTAAAGCTTACTGGTCACTGTTAATGGTAGACCTTGTCAGCCAAATGACGATCTACTTTGACCCTATGCACGAAGTTCCCCTGAGACGATGTTGGAGACGGTGGAGGTGGTACGAGAGGGGGGACTATTGAGTGCAAAGCGATGAAGTACCAATATTCGATTGGCTATTTTGGACTTTGAAACTTGGGCATGATTGTGCAAGGCAACTTTATGCGTGGAATTGATGGATGATTTGTGGTATAGGAAAGCATATGGTGACGAGAAGGGTCGGCGCCTATAGTCCTTCAAGGCAGAGGACCATGAATTGGATGAGGCTAAAATTCTTGCTGTGGATCAAAAGCTTACCTGAATAAATGGTGCATGTAGTTAGCACTGCGAATCATGTGCGAGCATTCAGACTTGGACAAAACAGAGAACCGTCAGCTGTCGTGCCTTGAACGGCAGCAATTATGCCCCTCATGCTTCCTTGCGAGCGCCAGGTCCACCTGAAGCGTTGGCCGCGTTTGTAGATTTCAAGTGTGACCTGCACAGTAACCGCAGAAGACCATAATCGCATTGCATATGCTGGAGATGATAGATGCATTGTGCAAGAGCATGGATTGAGAGGACATGACGAAGTGAAGCAACTTTGTCAAGCTGATGCTTGTTCCTTCTTGCAGTGGAGCGGAGCAGGCTCGAAGCCTTTATGAAGGGACGACGCAACACCTTATGGTACAAAAATCAATAACCAGCTGCGTCCACATATGTATAGACAGACCTACGCGTATCCCCACAGGCAATAGTAGGCAATCTCCACAGGCCATCCCCTGGTTCATCTGAATTGAATTTGGTGGTTTCCTCGGCCAGCAAAAGCAACAAAAGCCTGCGTTAGGGCCGGCAGAGCCAAGCAGATGAAGCGGAGGTGTGCTGATCTGCTAGAGAATAAACCGGCTGCCGGAAGGGGGTTGGGTTTATATACATAAGGAACATACGAACTACGATACCCATTGCCGCTGTAAGTATGACATCGTATGGCACCCGTGTTGGAGATTGCTGGAAATGGAGACATTACGCGATGATCCCTTGATTTTGTGGGCCCATTATCTGCTATCCGTGCTTACTGCTGGTAGGGGTCGCTGGGGAACCTGTACATTCGAATTGAGGCTATTTTTGCAGGATGCGCTGCCGCGCGGCGCGCTGCAGCCTGCTGGGTAAGTGTAAGAGCAAGGGGAGCGAGAAGGTCTCAACCCTTTGCACATAGCTGTTGAAGCTACATGTCGCGGCCACTCGCATTTGGACTGTACAACAACATGTATATTACGGAGACCATTGAAATATACATACCACTAACTTCGTACATACATACACGCATGTGCAGTGCATGTGCCTCGTTGCCTATGCCATATATGTCCACACATAATAGTATCGAATATGAATTATCAGGCTCCTGTATTTGGAGGCGACAAAATTGAGTAGTTATACACTGTTTTCAAGTACTATTACAGCGTGCTTAAAAAAGGAAAAGAAATGACATCAGGAAATGTTTTTTCTAGTTCCCCGCCAGCGGGTTCCAATAGTGTTCCAACTGCCACCAAAACGGAACTGACTTTTTATCCTCGTACAAACCCAACCAGAAGAATATTTGTACGTAAGCAAGCACACAGAGCTCCAGTGATCTATGGGCCAATTCTAATTTGCATGCGACTCCTCATTCCATCAAATGCTGATATGCCAAATCTTTTTCCTCTCCATATTGCGTTGCAATATCCATCATAATGAGATCCAAGCCCAACTTCCGTTGAGTCAGAGTCATTTGGAGTTCGGAAGGACGGTATGGTCTCGTTTCGTTGATAATATTGATGCGCTTTCGCAGTTTAGTTTTACATGTTCACATATATGATGAGCACAGACCTCCATACCTTGATACTGTACAGGCTAGCACAGTGCACACTGCACAGTCATAATGGTATATACAAACAAAGTACTTGCAATTTACGGATATTACATGAAGCAATTTGGCTTTTCTGGACACTTCAAACATGTTCCGATATACCAGTATTTATGTCGGTCATTATTGTGAGCTACGTAACCACTTGTCAATACAAGTTGCATGTGCGTACGTATATGCCGACATATTCATGAGATATTCCACTGAACACTATGTATGATTTGCTCGGATTACACGACTTTATATGTACACATGCGTGACTTCATTTTCCGATCAAAATTGAAACAAGCGCCAAAAACCCGGTTGATGAAGCCCCACCGGAGCCCAACAGTCTGCTGCAGCGGCAACAAAGCCTCCTCTGCCTTCAATTTGCAACTCAGAATGATCTCTTGCACATGGATATTATGTCTCGTACATAATCAAATACGAGTACATCGCACTATGTATTTCCGTCCTAGCGATAGCAATTGGCAAGCAAGCAGTGGCCGAAGGCAATACTCGCCCCCAAAGTGTCGTGCCGCTAAAACGGAGAATCGCGTTCCTTGGACTTTTTGTTCTCAGGACTCGACGCAACTTAACCTTGTTACATTTGGCTTGGCCTTTCTTCGGGCCAGGGTAGGTAGGTGGTCGCAAGGCTCGTCAGCAGGCTAGAGCCTGCTCCAGAACAAGTTTGGCCATTGCTCGAATGATCGTATGCGGTGTTACTGGTGCCTCGACAATCACCGTCTTTGAAGCGGTGTCACGCACTTGGCAGGACCTACGGTGGCACTGCAGAGGCCGAACGGCCAAGGACTATCTGGGATGCCGCCTAGCAACACTACGATGTGTATTGCGTCAAAACCCCAACAGAGCAAAACGCTTCAGGGACCAATGAAGCTGGACCTCGGTCCAAGTTGTACTCTGGATCCTGGTCACTGCTGGACGACAAAGCTGGAACTTCTGGAAAGGCCACGCGGTTCGGGCGCAATCCACTTTCACATACCACATCGCAACGGAAAGCTATTATGTAGACCTGGAGGCACAGGCACACCCCCTGCCAACGAGAGTGTGAGGGCGAATCCGCGTCATGGCGATTGGCGTCAGACCCATCACATTCCGGCAGGCGATAGAGGCTACTATGTATCACGACTGCAGTTTGCATGCGGGGCTGATCCAAGGCTGATCGCTGATCATCGAGCATGTGGTCTTGAGTAATAAGTAATGATTGAATTGTAGCCAGGTGGCGTCTGCTTTACAATATTATTAATTCTTCTTGAAGGAGGCGATGAACCGCTAGAGGAAATTGGGCAGCGCTTTATTGAACAGAACTGAGAGTGGCCGCTAGCCGGTATTGTGATGTTCCATTTTAGTGTCGAATCAATGAGTATTGAGTATTGATGAAAAAGAACGAGGGTCTAAGATGGTAGTCAGTGGGAGAAGGCTTAGCAATTTTCAGTATCTTGATGCTGGCTGCCGTCCTGAAGGTATGTAACGCCTTGCAGTTTACTTGCAGCGCCGTCGCCATGTATAAACCTTAGCGCCACGAGCCGTAGGCGATAGCGAGGTAGAACAGTATCACGAGCCACAGCGGCAACGCGGTGTGTCAATGGGGCATGCAATCTGCTCCTTGGACATGCACAGCATCTGTGCGACCCTCATCTCGCCGACCATGGTTGCTGCCTGCCGACATGCAAATTGCGCCTCGTAGTCCGACTTCGAGTTGGATAGCGGGTGAGCAGCCCCGCCAAGTATTCACGACCAGAAAAGGAACAGGGAGTGCTGGACAGAGATTAGGACAGGGTGTATCGCATTTTATGCAGCGACGAGGTGGGTTGCCGTTGCGATGCGCGTGCCATTGAGCTCGCGGGAATCTCTTCAGCGGGGCGAACAGAGAGCCTGAGCCTAGTGACACCCGCCGTACAATGCTTTCCACTTGAAATGACGAGATAAATGCTTGACAAATCACGGACTGTTGGGTCCCAGTACCAAAAAGCCAAAGAAATCGGGATTGACGTTCCAAATAATCCACAGGGGAAAATGGGGGGCGGGTAGCATAGGAATTTCTCGGAACCGGACCGATTTCTCTGTTGGTTGATAACTGCTGTACAATCGACCAGACGCCCGACATCATTCGTTGGCACTATCATCAGTGAGTGTGGTCGGGGAGCGATTCAAAGCCTGTAAGCGCCCCCTCGAAATCGGCTTGGCAGTTAACAATACGGTCAAGCAGAGTCGAAAAGGTGAACCTGGGCGCCTATTCTTTCCAAATGGTCAGGCATGCAAATCGGTCAGCAGCCCTGGAGTCATACGCGACCTTCGTATCCAAAACTACTTGGATAGCACTCCAAAGGATGCTGCGGCACATGCATTCGCCTCACGGCGCAAGCGTCGCCACAGCTGAGAGCACGGCTGTTATCAAATTTATTGGAGACAATAAGCTGATCCCACTAGTCGAGTCCTCCTTGGCTTTCCTTAGATCGATCAAGCCGCCGCGCGCGAAATCTTCGCATTGGCTTTTGCTGTTCCTTGCTGCTGATGTGCGCATTGAAGCACGACAGACGGCCGGGTAGCTGAAAGCTGAGTGCTCATCAAATACTCATCCATTGCGAACAGGCCAACAACAGTGGCAGCGTTCCAACGTGAGCAGTCAGTAGCACTTATCAGTAGTCGAGAGCATTGACTCCATTTTGTGGGGGACGAATAGGAGCGTCTGTGTGTAGCGAGCCGCGAGCAGTGAGGACTGATCAGTATCCAAGTGAAGGCGATGAGCGCCAAACTTCAAGACACAAGATCTGAAGCTGATCGCAAGAGGCTGTCGATTTGCCGAGAATGTTCTAATAATCGTCCAATGCGATGAATGCTGGTGAGGGCTACGTTAGTAACGATCAGATTGATCGGGTATAACATCACGCAGGCGCGAATTGCCGATCAGGGCGGTGGCCATGCAGAGTCAGGCACGCCATGGAGGTGAAAGCGGCACTCCTTATAATTTGGTCAAAGTTGATCATGGCTTGAATGGCTCGACTTGTCTCGCGTAAGTTGAAAGATCCAGAACACGCTCTATTTGTTTGTTGAAACGGCTCCGAACTTTGGTTTGACCGATCTCTTGCGTTCCATTGTCTTCGATCTGCAGGGCAGGCAAACGCTCGCGGACTGTGGAAACCTGTGAGCACTTTTGAAACTCCATCCATCGCTTGTGCGCAACGCAGTTCTGTCCTTTCCGTGCTTCCCAGCATCAGCCGTTGGCGCGGGGTAAGTGCGACCCTGTGCCACCCGCTACAGCTTGCGTCTTGGGACCTGCGAAATTTGAGGGCAAGGGCAGAGAGGAAAAACCCCCGACTTCCGAGCCGCCGACTGCTGAGACTGCGCCAACCTTAGAGGCGCAATCAAAAGTGTGGGTGGTTGGTGGGAGCCGGAGGTGGGAACACTGGGAACCGGAAGGGTCGCGCGAGGGCTGGCGTTGGACTGGGCCAGTACTAAGCCGGGCCGCTAAGAGACTGCCGTGGGGTATTCTTGCTGGACTCAGTCCTATGGCCGCCTCCGTAAGGCCTCTGCGCCTCTGCCTGCCTCTGCTTAAAATGGACGGGACCCGGAGCCGCAGGCAAAGAAAACGCGATGGACACTGCTGACGACCGACAGCGATCTGCAAAAGTCTGTGGAGAGCCCGGGAAGAGCGGACCAGAGATCTTGAGACGCGTTATGCGGTAACGGCTTACGAGGCGGCGACGGCCGAGAAGAGCAAACAGTCATCGCAGAGCGCACGAGCAAGGACTGTGGAAAGATTCCCCCGTCAAAAGGTGGACGAGTGCCTCAGTGAGTGACTGATGGCATGCCGTAGAGAACATCTTGATGACTTACCGGCATTGCAGCAGTCAGTAACTCGAGTACTCAACTTGAAGGTCTGCCTTAGTCTGCAAGCATCTCTCCCATTGTCGCCCAACTAGGTAGGCTACACTTCTTCACCTCTCATCAATTACGTATTCGACTCGCTTCGGCGAACTTGGAACTGGAATGGTCGCATGGTACGTTGACACGTGCCTCGATTCTCCGAACGTTCGTCGGCACAGTAAGGCATCTACGCTGGCGACCAGCTTGCGGATACGCGAGGTGCTCGCCACGATGGCCGCCTCTGTTTCGCTCTGTCGAATGTCGAAAGTCTGTGTCAACGCGACGAAAAGGAAGACGCTGCATGACAACTGTGCAACTGCTCTTAGCGAGCATGTCTGCCAGACGTCCTGCTCAGCAAAGCACTGACGGCTTTGAGCGACTCGAGCATTTTTCAGAACGCTGCCGCTCGGCAACAATCCATTGCCACTGCCGACTGTGGTTGAGGTCAAACAGAGAAGACTGAGCTAGTCCATGCTGCCACGTCGCTATGTTTCCGACTGCGTCCTCGAAGGACCAACCACCCAAGTGTCAGAGCTTTGCATCATCGAGGCATTGATGGAGCGGGTGTCGTCTGGAGCTTGGCATGACTGCGACCGACAGTTGACAAGTTCTTGAAGGATGCTGACCACAGAGTTACAAGGAGTAACTGCAACTTAACGATTCATCATCTTCGTCAGTGGAGGATACGCAGGAGCTTTGGGAGCCGTCAACGCCTCTGCAATGTTGCACTTGTTTTGCTCTACTCCATCACTCACTTCGCTTTGCATCGTGGAGCATATAGCATAGCGTGTGGAGACCTAGGCTGCGTATTAAGCCGAGCCCAATCGGCCAAACATCTCATCCTCGACACCCCGTGATGGATCAAGGAGGCGACACACCTTTGGCTCGTCGCCCCTTCGTGCAGCTGCATCGACCAGTCATGAAGACGGAGCGATGTCAAGGTTGGACGCTGAATTTGCAAGGCTCACCTTGGGTTCATCGGCACCTTGCCGACGGGGTTTATCTGACTTGCATTGAAAAGGGGGTTGCTCTTCTTTTTTGCAACAGTCAACGCAGTCCGATTTGGTTGGAGAGAATCGCATTCTTTCTTGTCCCGATCTGATAGGTTGATCCTTGATGTATGCTTGGGGATTGATGCTTGATGCACTGATGTTTGCTGATGGACGCTGTGATGGTTACAGTCGACATTGACCACAGCTGACAGTCTGACACAGTAGTGATAGCCGCTGGTCGTATCGATCTACTGCTCTCCAGTCGACATGGATAAATCCCATGCAGCCTGCAGCCTGCTTGGAACTTTGGGATTGGGGCTTGGATTGTGTCTGAAATTGCAGCAGTCAACACAGTCCGCTTCGTGCGTTGTGTGAGCAGATACCAGCCTGTGCCAGCTGAAGTCAAGTACTGGAGCGGGCCGCTAGAGTACGTTGCTGCCTGATGCGACCCTGGAGGACATCGTCTTCCCTGCTGCGAGTTTCACCTTTGCAAGCCGATGTCGAAACAATCCAACGAAGAGCGAAAAGAGTGCTGATCCGCTGATCGCGGCAGCGAGCGCGGCTTACCATCTGACCCTGACCGCCCGAACACTGACAGAGAGAGCGAGAAAGAGCTCCGCGAGACCGCGGCATGACAAAGCCTTGCGTCTGGCGCCCGGCAGGACATGGCAAGACCGGCAGCATATGCAGCGCTTTGAAAACTGCAATACAAGAACGCGGGAGACTCGTCGGAATCTCGCGAATATCCATGCCAATTTCGTGCAAACTGGAGACTGGCGGCTGGTTGCGGCTGGAACTGGGTGCGGTTGGAGTCGGGACGCGTTGTGATGGTGGAAAAGTGACAATCCTTCTGAAAAACTCGACGTCAGGGTGCAGCTGGGTATTTCAGCAGTTAGGTGTTGACGGCTGCGACAAATCTGGGGTGCGGCCAGGGGCGGCCGGCTGCGAAACGGGAACCCCAAGAAGCAAACTACCTTCGACTTACTTCATCGCACAATGTTTGTACTGGTATAGACTGGTACAGACGGCAGACCTTCCAACAGTCGGCGAGACTTGATGAGCGCTTCAAAGCATGCTTCGTACGACATGTGCAGGTCATCAAAGAGCTTAGTCGAAACGACGAAAACTATCCGATGTCTCGCTTCGTTGGAGACCATGAGAGTGGATACTCCGTTCAGGATCTCCATTCTGCAAATACTAGGGACAATGGAAGCGCATACATGCATTTTATGTGCTTGCAAATCCTTGCTTTGGCTGAGTGAGCACATTTGCAGAGTGGCCAACCCGAGCGAAACTTGCACGACAAGAAACAGAGGTATCGGACGTGAAAGAAAGACCTCACATCTCACATCCCATGCTGATCATTTGCGAGCAACGATCAACGCGTGTCCAAGCACGACCCTGCTAGCTGATGCACTTCTCTTGTAACCGACCCCGATCCCCAGTAATCTTTGACGAGAGAGAACCGTGGGCATGGCTGGAACGTTAAGAAGGCGAGAAGGCTCTTCATCCGACACTCTATTTTGGCTACGTTTGTTTTCGAAGCAGTCAAAGATCAATATGATCTCGGCACCGTCGCGGTGTTACAACAGACGAGAGCGTATCGCGTGCAACCATGAAGCACACTCTCATCCTTGTTCCTCTTGCCAGATTGCTTTTACTCTCACAGATACGGTTCCAAATCATCCGATAATATGCCATGCTTTATATTTCATGCCTTGAAGACTGAAGCTTCTTCTGCCAATGATCATGGTAGTGTGTAACTTTCCATGTCGAACAATCCATGTCCTAAAGCCTGACAATCGGTGGTTGTCCCCAAACTCGAAATTTTGCTCGTGAATACCGCTGCTTGCACTTGCGGTACTAGCCTTTCTTTTAAAGGAACAAAATATGAATCTAGCAGCCGAACATGTTATGTCTAGCGAGGGAAGCAAAACGGTAAAGTTATTCAAGATCCAGTACGGACGCATGACCACGGCCCACGTCTCTCTGCTTGACAACAGCACCGGGCGCCGAAGCGGTCGTTGCCAAGAGCTAGACCCATCCGAATAGCTTTGCGATTGAGAGCGCAATGTGGCAGGTATCACTACTCGCGCAAAAACGGCGAGGATAAACCAAGTGGAAATTTGAATGCTGAACGTGTCAGTGTTGCGGCCTACGTTTTGAGTTTGCAGGTTGAAGGTCTGGTTGTGTTCATGAGCAGAATGCAATAGATGATCCTTGAACGTTGTGCACTCGGGCGTAGGTGTGAGGATTTGATTGGATGTGTGAGCCGCATATGAGCGAGAAAAGGAAGGCTGAAGGCGACTGTGATCGCGCCTGGTTGTCTTCTCCTTTGCGAAAGTCCATCCTTCTTGCCGGTACACACCTGATCATCATCCTTTGTGACCTTATTCGCTCGAGTGAAGCAGGTGGAAAGGCTTCGCTGAGACGAAAACGGCTTGAAGCATCATGAGTGATGCATGGTTGCCGAGGCGGCTGGCCTATGCCCCTTTCGATGTGCTCAACCACGGCGACCCGTCTGTGCCTGACGTGGCCACACATCTGCGACGGATACCGAGCCAGCATCCCGCAGTCGATCAATCTAGCCTCTTCGCCCGCTATCCTGGCCTGCAGACGCTGCATTCCGAGCACGCAGAGCACGCGGCGAGCTGCACGATTGGTGGCTCAAGTGCACATCCTTCTGCATTCTTCTTAGCCAGAGCGATCGAGGACGGAGGCATTCTCGAGCTAAGATGGCTCAAATACATCAGCAACACACAGCACGTACAAGATGACATGCGGTGTGAGCAACCGCTGCACCCATTTGCTGAAGTTCACGTTGGGCTGTCGGCGCCATCGGCGCCTGAGCTCTTTCAGTTCCCAGCGCCGTTGCTTGCGGATATCAGCATCTTCGCGGATGACCGGACACGGACACTGCAGCTCCTCTGTGTAACAGTGACCGGCTATCTGTACCGCTTGACCTTCAAGTCTCCTAATGCATTCCATGCGCGAAGTTTGCATGCAGGATGGGTTACAGAGCATCGCGTTAGTGGCTTAGCCGGCATAGATGAGCAAGGAAGGCTTCTGAATGGAAGGATTGGACAAAAGGCGATCGCGGTCCACCCCGGCATGGTACTAGTCACATGCAACGATGGAACAATCGTCAAGCTCGAGCAAAAGATGGGAGAGTCACACGCTTCCGGGTTTGATGGTGAGTCTACAGCGAATATGTCGATTTACGTTGTGCGCTCACATCGCATTCCGGCGAATGCGCAGGACCATGGCAGGAGACGCTGCTGCAGACGACGTCCTTCGTGCGCAACCTCACGCGTTACTTTAGCAGATCCTCTATCCCAGGAACGTCGCTCTCGGCGTACGGAGGCGATGTGGAAGCCTCTTCGCCGCTCGCTGCACTGAGCATCGCGACGCACGTGAACGACCAACATACGCCCTATGCGTTCGTCATCTGCCGAGATCGCAAGCTGCGTGTCTGGGACCTAGTTGCAGACACCTGCATCCGCACGATGGATCTTCCAGTCGCAGCCTCCTCTTGGGACGGCGGCGACGCAGATCGCACTGACGCGGGAGAAGTGACATCGCGCCAGGGCGAAGCAATTCTTGGCCCGGATGCCAAGCCTTTGATCGAGGTCGTGCTACCCGATGCAGATAACCAGAGTGGTTACGATCTCTATCTGATGGTTCACGTACCGACCAGCGGCGCTTGCGGTAACTTCTTCGTATACTATGGCCTCGAAATCCTTCCAGCCAAGGCAGGAAGCACCTCGAATGCGCTAGGGGACATTGTTCGCATCTGGGACACGCGTTGCGAACCAGATACACGATCCTCTGAGTTCGAATTCCGCGATATTGCTGTTCTCCCCTACGGGACGTCAGGCCTGCGGCTCTGGGCCCTTTGGGACGATACGGGTGGCCCTCTACTTAAGAGTACAATCGTTGTGGAAGACGTGGTGGACGGAGATGCAAGCTATGTCTCCATTGCGGCGAATTCGAGTCCAACAGAATGGTCGACGATTGCGGATTGGCGCCCATACCTGCCGCTACACGGTGCTGCGTTCGAGGCGTCCATCGCTGCAGTCGCTGAATCCAAGGATGACTTGGCGGAATTCTTCCTCGAGCGTATGTTTGAAGCTGGCCGCTTCAGCGAGCGTGCGCTTCAGGCCGCACTCGCAGAATACGAGGGGGGACTGCTTCGCACGCTTGCGGATGTGGACGTACCGCTTGTGCTGTCAGCAGATACGACTTTCGCAACACTAAGGGATCATATGGCTTGCGTTGTGGGGTGCAACTGCTCTCTCGATACTGATCCGTCGGTGGGCAATGCATTAACAGCCCAGTACCTCTCCGCCCTGCGCAGGGAGTGGATGAAAATTCTGGGCTTTGTCGAGCAATTCGAATCAGCAGCGCGCTGGCCGCTTCGACTGATCCGACCAGACGTGTCACAGGTGCGCTCACCGCAACCCACAGCAACGCAAAGTCAGCCACTCATTGCAACACGAGACTATGCAGTCGCCATTGCAGTAGAAGATGCGACATCAGCCCTGCTCCGCATCTCGACTCAGATACACGAAGGCACAGATCCACAGCTGGGTCGGAGAGCTCTGGTCACAGCGAAAGGAGCTGCTGCGGAGCAGGCTTTCCTCATCGGGGATGGGCAATCGTCTGCTGCGACTCGACGCGCCCTATCACAGGGATTTGAAGCGTGTGACGATCATGGCGATGCGATCTTCAGTCTGCTCAGTACAGCACATACCCTTGCTGAGGGCATCCCAGCTGACCGCTTAGAGCTGTTCCGTCGCCAGCTGCTTCTGACTTTCAGCGGCAAGTTAGGAGAGTCTGTAGAAGACGCTGTCGCACGCGTGTGGGAGGCCACTCTGGAGGATATCATGGGGACCGACACATTCCAGTTCCTCTCAGAATCGTGTCTGGATCTCCGAGATGGGCTCAACGAGAATCTGCTCAGATGGTCCGACATGCTGTTGGAAGGCTTCAGGCCTGATAAAGCAGGCGCTGGGGCTAAAGTAGGCGTCAAGACCGACCTGCAGTCAGCCTGGGTAATCGATGATCTCACAGCGTCACTACGCACACGGAGAGCATCGGCAGGCCTTATGGTACTCCTGCTGGCAAGCATGTGGGTGTCAAATGGCCTCCAGAGGAGCGTTCCGTCGCTGCCTATTTTGCTCTCGCGCAGCATGTCCGTCATGCATCTATGCAATGCTCTGCTCGACGTGGCGGATCTCGAAGGAGCGCCTGATGCATGCGCCTTGGTCGACCCGGCTGGCGAGGAGGCAGCAGATCAGGATGCTCTCACACAGCAGTTCTCGAGTATGCAGGTTGCAACGCAAGGCGTCTCTGTGACCGGCCCAGTGACATCGCCTTTGCACTATGCGTGTCAGAATGGGTTACTTTACGGGCGCAGCACGGTCGCAGGAGGCGAGGATGAAGATGAAGAAGCGGAAGAGGTCGATGTGAACCTGACGAGACACGCTATGGCAGCCCTTTCGGCCCTGCTTGCTCCCGTTGTGGAAAGCCCTTCCGGTTGGCTTCCGGCTCTATCACCGCCGTTCTCCCTCTTGGCGTATGGACTTATCCGCGCCGGGTATGCGAAGGCCGCCGAGGCGATCATCACGCAGTTTGCCCCGTGTCCAGCAGGTTCATACATCGAAGGCTGCTTTGCGGTAGCCAAGGGTATGCCAGATGCAGCGATGCAGGCGCTTGACAAGGTCGGCCTCACGCTCAACAGCGCTGATGCTCTCCTGGAAGACGAAAGCGGACTGACCGATATACTTCCGGCTGCTGTCAGCCGCATCGCACCTGGGAGGCACGCCTTGGCCTTGTTCAACCGTCATGCTGGAAACCTTTTCGGCACGATAGGCAGTGTCGAAGGTATTGCACGTTACGGTTCAGCAGCGTTGCAGCACGGGCTCAACCAGGCGCTTGCTTCGGACCCGGTTGCCGTCAGCGAGGTGTGGTTCTCGACCTTCCGTGCCCAGCTGCAGCTGGGCGACTTCCAAGCGGCCTATCGGACAATCATGAGCAGTGCGGATGACAGCTTCAAACGTGACTGCATCCGCAGTCTCGTGACGGCCATATGCGAAGCAGGACATGTTTCGACCTTGCTCAGCTTCAACTTTGCCGGATCGCAGGGCGAGTTGGAGCGCACGCTGAGCTTCAAGGCGCGCAATTCAGACCCATTCGCCATGCCCAACTACTTTAAGATCCTTTACGCGTATCACATGAACCGAGGTGATATGAAGAGCGGTAAGTGCTTTGAGATGAAAAAATGACGTTGCACTGTATCACTGCGATTGCTGACACGCTGCTTGGCCTGCCATGTGTCTCTCAGCGGGAGCAGTCATGTACCAGCAATCCCATCAACTGGCGTCGCTGCAGCGGATGGGCTACCGAGTGGCCGTGCGCGCCCAGGAGGCTGGCTACGAGCAGTTCGAGGACATCGCCTCGGTGCAGGCGCGCAGCTTCCTGGCCGCAATGAATGTACTGAACCTGGTGCACCCACGGGATGCCTGGTTTGCGAACGTGCTGCCGGTCGACGGCAATGGCGCCGACGCCGACGCGCGAGAGCAAGGGGAGCAGCAGGAGTATGGCATCTTTGGCGACATTGCGCGGCAGAAGGCGGCGTTGACGCCGAGCCGGACGACGCACTACATTCCTACGGAGGAATTCACGGAGGGGACCAAGAACATCGAGATTGTCCGGCTGGACGACATCAAGCGCGAGTACCAGCTGCTGCTCGCACGGCTAGAGCTATCGCGCGGCTATGCGGAGCTGGCAGCGCCGCGATCGAAGTTGAGCGCGGCGGACGCGGTTGCGCTGTACCTGCGCAACGACCGGTACGACCAAGCGCTTGCAACAGCGTGCGCACTGGGCGTGGACATGT